TTCTTTTGTATGATAATAGTACTAGGTTTGTTCCCCTTGGCTATGCCCATGTATCTTTTTATAAAACTGTTAGGGTAACCCATTTCAAGCAATAAATTATGGATATAATCTATCTCCTTCAGCACTTGATCATCCGAACATATTTTGCGTGCTCTGTTGGTGAAGCTTTCGACCAGGTTTGCTTTGTACCGAATTGTTCCATGACTGATAAAATGTGTATACTGACTTATAGATGTGGTCTTCCTATAAACACATCTACTGAGTGAACCATCTTCTCTTCTGCTTAGCACCCAAGACATCCAAGAAGTGTAGTTTACTGGCATATATATATATATATATATATATATATATATATATATATATATATAGTAAGCTATTTGTATTAGAGTAAAGCCTGAAGAGGATCAAATTGAAAACAATGTTGTTCGCTCATATGTCTTGTTCTAGATGGTTTTATCATAGAGTTTTCATTGTTATTCTAGACGTCACATCATCAATACAAACTTCAAAAGGAAGTGAGTTATAGAGTTTACTCTATAAATGGGTTGGTAGCTTATCTCATTAACCTTGTGTGTGATTGGTTGTCTCTATGTTGATTCTGATTGGTTGATAAATTGAGTCAGTGTCAATATGTCTGTTCATCACCGACTGACCTGAATGCTAAGCTTCTACAAATTCTCTGACATTCTATGTGTTTCATCTATCCAGCTAGGATTTCCACATTTTCCCAGTCAAATTTATTTCCACAGTTGCCCGTATGGATTGATACAACCAAAGTTATGTCATGACGCTTCCATTTCCTACCATTTCCTATTCATGTATTATCACTGCTCATCTCTGGTAAGGAATCTCAACGAAAGTACGACTAATTATATCTGGAGGTTTCTGAAGATTTATTAACTGAGTTTAGGTTGGAATTCATCATGGACTGACATCAAGTGGAGTAACATTGAGAACATGGAAGCGTTGGGCAGCTGTTTCGTCCGACTAGTATGGAACTCTTCAGCAGCTCGCATCCATGACCCAGTCGCAGCAGGGATCGAACCCAGGACCTTCAGGTTCCTCGGCTTGCTTGTTACCATTGAGTTAGTCACTTGGTCGGAATCCAATAGTCCATATTCCTATTGTTTTTTTTTCAGTTCATGACATGGTGCGATCATCATCCAATGTCATCGTTGAGTAGTTATCCCAGTTCATATACCTAAACTAGATGTCTTTGAATGACCACCCTAGCAATGACTAAAAGAGGCGAATAGGTTTCTTTGTTTAGCATGAAAAGACAAGTTTCAGTTGGTAGGTTTTTTTTCAGTCACTCCATAAAACCAGTGAGTGTTTAGAGCCACCCTAATAACTGCTGAAATAACTAATCAGTATTGACTACTTCAGCTGAAAAGAAACTTGATGCTTTTAGCGTAGCCTTTTAGGATCATTCAATTACGTTACCCTTATGAATTACATGAGATTGTACTCTATTAACTGAAACCTATCTATGCTTGACTCAGATCGCTGATATACGAGGATGATGAGCATCAGTCATTGTGTTTCTATTGTACAGAAGTTTGAACACGAGTCATATGACTAATTCGTTTATGAATTATTTACATACGAGGTGTTGCAGGTATACACGTAGATAATCACATGGTTAATTAGCACCATAGGGGTTATTAAACAGTTACATGATCCAAACATCAATCTGCAACTATTATTATTATTATTTGTCCCTTGGTTCTAATGGAACATAGGGCTTCACTAGCACGTCTCCAGTTCACTCTGTTCTCTTCAGTCTTTTCTTTCAACCTGCCTCCACAACAGCCCACAAACTCTCATTTCTTCCTCACACACCATCTCCTCCGTATCACCCTCGCCTCCGACGTTCAACTCGTCGCTTCCCATCGAGGTTTCACTTGAGAGTATGGCCTGGCATGTGATATCCTCAGTCGACCTTCTCAGTGCATGCACAATACAATCCATCTCCACTTTCTTCTCCTGCATATTTGTTGGGTAATAGGTTCTTCCTTCATTGGTTCGTTCCCACAGTTCCTCCTCGTTTATTCTTTCTGGCCATCCATCTCATCTGATCTTCAGTATCGAGTGAGCGTATGCAGCAGATGTTGATCATCTATGTATGTAGTTTGTTGGAAATGCTTTTCGTGACACGCCAAGTCTCCCAAGCATCACATAGAAGCACTGACTTGACTGACTGACTGATGTGGTGTTGAAAATCCGGATGTAGTTCACGCTTCATGCTTCATGCTTCATGCTGAGTGCAGAAGATCTCCACACTGGTTTCAGGTTAATGAACACCTGTCTTGCTGTCTTTACCATCCTGACTGGCTGGCTTTGACATCCTCGTCTGTGCCTGTGTCACCTGCAGTTGAAACAGTGCTGCTGGATAGGTGAAGGAGGCTGGTTCCTTTACGTTTCTCCCGTTCATGGTGATTGGAGTTTGTTGTTGTGGTTGGTGGTGGTGGTGGTAGTGGTGATGTTGGTTGGGTATCTTCATCACCTCTGTATTCTGTACATTCAGTTGAAGTGCCGTTTTCGCTGCCTTGCCTATTCTGTCAACTTGTTAGTTTTCGCCTATAGATCTCTGAGTTTGTGCGAAATCAGACACAAGTCATCGCCAGCAAAATCCAAATCTTCTAGAATCTTTTCCCCAGTCGAGCCAGCGTATGCCCCTCTTCTCGCTCCTCCTCACTGTTTGTTGCATGATCCGTCCACTACAATCAGGAATATCATGGATGGTAGTAGGTGGCAGCCTTCTTTTACTCTTGTCTTCACTTCAAAGGCATCATTGAGCTTTCCATTGTGAATTACAATCTGCAAATATAACACTTATAAACACTTCAATAGTTTCCTTTAATCATAAAAAGAGAGTTAAGCCAACAATTAGTTTTCGGTGAGATATCTTGTAGAAATTAAGTGGGTTCTAGAAGGTGAAATAATCACTTGGCAACTGAATGGAATGAATGTAACGACAAGTCAGGTTTTTGAGTTCTGCGTATTCCGTATACGGGTAGTAAAGAATATTTGAGGGTATAAGGGTCGAATGGTTTTCTACATCACTTTATCAGACTTGCTTTAGCAAAGATTGAGATTTGTTTTTTTGATTACTGAAAAGTTATACAACAAGTCATTCATGAAATCCAATCTCATTTACCTAAATTTGTTAGATACGTAGGGCAAATATCATGTATTTGTAAAATTTCTCAGATGATGAGCACTAATAATGACCTGAATTCCATTATTGGCTACAGGATGTAAAAGCACTCACAACAAGCCTACGAAGTGTCTTAAGCTAACCAATGTCGCGAACACTTTCGCGGCTTCATCAAAGAAATACATCTTCAATTACTCTTCTATAAACCCAGACCGGTCAACCTCCAAATTTCAACAGTTTTGCTTAAATGCACCAGCGAAGGTGGTCACTATAAACTGAAGGAAAGTTATATTGGCGCCTTACAATCCCCTGAATGAAGTACGAGAGATTTCGCAGCTCAACGGATTGACACGATGTCAGCCATTGGTCAAAATTGAAACCGGTTCTACACTTTCCTCATGTCATCTGTTTGTTAAAAGTAACACAAATTGGATGACTGTCCTGTTCGTTTAGAGGTGTTTTTTCCCAAGCCCATCGTTGATTGGACCGCAATAATGCTACAAACAACAACATTCAACGCTCCCACAGCCAGCAGTAGAGAGTGAATGTAGTGGTTGAGTGGATCAATCGCCGATATCTGCCATGATATCCGATTGTCTATTAAGGATCGCGTATTCTGCACAGCAGTCCAATCTGCTCTACTCTATGGCTGTGAAACATGGTGATAAAAGGCAAAATACATGAGAAGGCTTCAAGTCTTTGACCAACATTGTCTTCGTAGTATAGGCCGTATCATGTGATCCCACCACATGAGTAACACAGAAGTCAGGTGTAGAGTTTTAGGGAGGGAAAAGAGGTAAATCAGTTGACACAGTTGTGAACCTTCATCGATTGAGATGGTTGGTTGGGATATGTGTTACGTGTCCACAGTCGCCGATTACCTCGTCACACAATGTTGGCCGAAGTAGGTCCAGGCTAATAAAAGGCTCGAGGTGGCCAGACTAAAACATGGAATCAATGTATGAAGTCTCTGACTGTTGGTTTAAGCCATGTAGGGGGATGCAACTGAGTGGTTGGTGTCCACGGGACAAGAGGAACCACTGGTGGTTGGAGACTGACTCTAGGTGATATGGCTCAGAACCGATGTCAGTGGTGCAGATGTATCCCACACACACACACATTATCCTCATCTTAACGACGCTATACTTAATCTCACCATTTTCTCATTCTTCCTTTCTCTCTTTTAGTACTTAATATTTCTCTTGGCCGAATTCTCTTTTCTTCATCTTCCACTTTATTGCCTTGTTACTTGATGTAGTGATATGAGGTGTGGCAAGTGGGACGGTTACTCAGTAATGTCTAGTCCTATGTTGATGTTGTTGCTGATGATGATTAAAAGTACCCGTAGCACAAAAAGTGACCATCTTGACTCTTTGGTCTAGTGGATACTTCTCTGGAGTCTGAAACAGTTGGCGCCGGTTTCGAATCCTGGTGGAAACAACACTCACTTTGAGGCAAATTCATCCAGCTGATGAGTCCCAAATAAGTGCGAAATGGGCATGCTGGATTCCAAGGTTAGCCACTATCCATCATTGGTGTGTATAATCGAAGCATGGTAATATCAAGGCATTTACGCAGGAGCATATATGCCAACAAAGGCCAATCAATCTGGTCCAATCAATGACTGGATCTTATAAGCAACAACTTCAGTTTATGTGGTTATTTTGTTCCCTACTAGCCTTGTAATCTTGATTGGATAAAATCCAGTCTGCAACCCTGTAGAGATTCATGGAGTAAGCAGTGAGAAGTCACACCTATTGCGTTAGAGGGCTAAGGATATTGATTATTCAAACCTTGGTTGGTAGAGTTTACTTACTGTATACCTTTTTTTCTTCTCTAGTTGATCGTTTATGTGTATCTGGTCAAACATTTAGACCGAATACGGAACCAGCTAAATGGCCTGGTAAGTATTTTATTATATAATGTACATTAACACTTGTCATAATGGCTTTTATGTCCAACACTTTGAATTTTTTTTCAACTTGATAATGTTTTCCTCATCAAACTAAATAAATTGATGAATACCTACTTGAATTTTGAAAGCTTAGATAATGTTAAACAATTATCATGTAATTAGAGTACTCTGGTAGTTGTTGATTTCAACTTGAAAAATCACTTAACTCCCATGAACAAGCTTTCACCTACTTAGGCAACATCGTTTTAAATACAGGCAGCATAGGCACAGGTGAGGATGTCAAAGGTGTAGGATTGGAGAAACAGAAATATAGGCCTTCATCAATCTGAAAAACCAGTGTAGAGATCTACTGCTCCACGCTGCACTCAACATGTTGAAGGAGATCTGGATCTTCAGCATTAAGTTAATGATTTTATGTAATCGTTGAGAGACTTGAAGCATTACGAAAAGCATTTCCAACAAACTGCAGACATACATGAATAGCTGCTGTATACGCTCACTCGATACTGAAGATCAGATAACCGGAAAGAATAAGCAATAAGTAACTCTGGCCTAGCAACTAACCAATCAAGAACTTATCACCTAACAAATTTGTAGAAGAAAGTGAGGATGGATTGGATGTACACTGAGAAGATTATTCGGAAAACATCATTCGCTCGGCTAGACCCTCTAGTGGAACCCAAATGGGAAAGGACGAGTTGGGCGTTCGAGGATATTATATGAGGAAGAGATGAAAGGTTGTAGGCAGTGGTGGAGCTAGGTTGAAAAGACTGGAGTGAAGAGAGTGAAATGGCGACGTTCCACTGGGAACCCAAGGGGACAAATAAATAAAAATAACTAGTGGAGTAGCTTATCATTCACAAATTCAACGAAGCACCTTACTTTTTTCTATATGATCCAGTTAGAAGGTCGAAAAAAAACTTTCTGGATAGTTACGCTTTTTGGTTTTCACCTACTCAATTAGTCGATCATTATTGTTCAGTGTTTTATTTTTAACCGCTTGTGCATTTGTCCAGTAGGCACTAAGCTACTTCTGTTATGTTAAAGTTGATGATGTTACTTGAATTCTCAAACTTTGGCAGGCAAAGGCGATTCCGAATCTCCGGTATAAGTTCCATTAAGATAGTGTTTTTTTTAAAAATATATTTCTGGTCTTATGTTTTCTTATGTTTTACAGGTCTTACATGCTTGAAAAATTACACTGATCCACTTACAAATAATAAACCTATGCATACCAGCCAACTAAGTCGTATAACATCAGCACAAAGTCTATCAGATCGTGAATCATTATCATCTACATTAATTCAATGTGTAGATCGTCGTCGATTAATTGGATTATTAGCTCAAGCTTTAGCTGCATCTTATTTTGGTTTACTTGTCTATGCTTTATATACACGTGATGCATGTACACTTTATCGTTTAGCTTGTACACATTTAGATGCTAAAATATGGAGTCGTGTATTCGGTGGAACATATCGAGCTAAACCATTTCGACCACCTACACAACCTGGTATAGGTGTTACATTCAATATAAATTCAGAGAAAAAAATTCCTCCACCAAAACCACCTATTCGACCAAAACGGTTAGTTTAACATTATTGTTTTACAGTTTATTTATGGTACTTTAAAAAGGGATTGATCTGAGTAGAAACAGTCATATTCAACTGATAAAGTAGACCTGAATTTTATTTGAATGGCTGATTGATGTTAGTTCTCCATGTATCAACCATTATTAGTCGAATGTATTGATAATATTTCAGACTATCAATCAATCAATATCAACATAGGACTAGACATTACTGAGTAACCGTCCCACTTGCCACACCTCATATCACTACATCAAGTAACAAGGCAATAAAGTGGAAGATGAAGAAAAGAGAATTCGGCCAAGAGAAATATTAAGTACTAAAAGAGAGAAAGGAAGAATGAGAAAATGGTGAGATTAAGTATAGCGTCGTTAAGATGAGGATAATGTGTGTGTGTGTGTGTGTGTGTGTGTGTGTGTGTGTGTGTGTGTGTGTGTGTGTGTGTGTGTGTGTGTGTGTGTGTGTGTGTGTGTGGGATACATCTGCACCACTGACATCGGTTCTGAGCCATATCACCTAGAGTCAGTCTCCAACCACCAGTGGTTCCTCTTGTCCCGTGGACACCAACCACTCAGTCTACATCCCCCTACACGACTTAAACCAACAGTCAGAGATTTCATACATTGATTCCATGTTTTAGTCTGGCCACCTGGAGCCTTTTTTTAGCCTTGACCTACTTCGGCCAACATTGTGTGATGAGGTAATCGGCGACTGGGGACACGTAACACATATCCCAACCAACCATCTCAATCGATGAAGGTTCACAACTGTGTCAACTGATTTACCTCTTTTCCCTCCCTAAAACTCTACACCTGACTTCTGTGTTACTCATGTGGTGGGATCACATGATACGGCCTATACTACGAAGACAATGTTGGTCAAAGACTTGAAGCCTTCTCATGTATTTTGCCTTTTATCACCATGTTTCACAGCCATAGAGTAGAGCAGATTGGACTGCTGTGCAGAATACGCGATCCTTAATAGACAAACGGATATCACGGCGGCGCCATAGATGGCGCAAATTGGCAAAAGTTAATCTAGCCTTTTGTATCCGTGCAGAGATTTCAGCGGCAATAACCCACCAGAGTTGATCCTACTTCCCAACACTCTCTATTATTAGCCGCAGCACTGTTGAAGACCAGTCCTGGAGCAAAAATTTCCTTTGGGTTGTGAAAACCTCATCCCAAATATTCTCAAATTCCCACTCAAAGTGTTCAGAAGACTTTACATCTTGTCAGCGTTTTCACCTAGCAGGACTGTGTCATCTGCATACTCTGGATCTAAAGAAAATTCTTCTGTGATTAGGTCAACGTCTGTGTAATTAGGTGACGAGAGGGAAACCTCCATAAGTATATCTATGATGAAATTAAATAAGAATGCAGACAGTGGGCATCCTTGATAGACACCAGTCGATGAGTATAGCTCCCTGCACAACTCGCCATAGGCTCTAACACACCCACAAGTGTTCGAGTAGAGAGCTTTCAATAAGGTGATGTACTTACTCGGCACACCTTTCAGTGACAGACATTGCCATAAGACTTCTCGATCAACGGAGTCAAATTCTGCCGCCTTCAGGTCGAGGAATACAGCTATTGTTGGGCGTCTGTAAGCATGCCTATGTTCCAGGACCTGGGGCAGTGTGAATATTTGGTCGATACACCCGCGGCCAGGTCTAAAGCCTGCTTGGTTTTCTTGGGATTGCTGTTCATGATCTCTACTCATGTGTCGGAGAATTATACAACCTAGGATTTAGGATACTATGTTCTTCAGGCTTATTCCTCTGTGGTTATCACAAGAGGACTTCTCGCCTTTCTTGAAGACTGGGATGATGAGTGACTTAGACCAGTCGGAGGGGATTGTATTTGATTCCCACATGCTAGCTAACACTTCTGTTAACCTGACTAAGAGCACTCTACCACCATTTCAGACTGTGTTATTAAAGAATCAAGTTACAGTCTCCAAGAGGAGGATAACAACACTGTCTAAACATTTGTGTGTAGTAATAATAAGGCGTTTATAGAATTTTCGTTACTTTAGGCATTTGATGCAAACCCTTCAACATATTGACTTTAAGCTCTAAATTAATAGACATGGGTTTTTTTTCTGATGATGTTGCGTCCACTAACTTGCGTCACCTATGGCGCCAATTGGTGAACGATATCTGGCTGTCTATCAAAAGACGAGTCTACTTCGCTGCAGTCCGTTTTTTTATGTTGTACGGCTTTGAAATATAGGTGTCTTCGTAGTATTGCTTACGTGTTCTTGAATCATCATGTAAGTAATGTTGAGGTCAGACAAAGGGTATTAGGCAAGACAGGTAATTCGATTGATGAGATTGTGAACGTTAATCGACGGAGATGGATGCACATGCCAAGTCAACGCCTACCTCGACGTGCTACAGTAGGGGGATATTAGATTGTGATAGAAAAGGATTTAGGGTGGAGATACCAACACCTGGCACCAGTCCTTGAACTCTCTAATTGTTGGTTTGAGTCTTGTGGAGAGATTTAGACTGCTTTGTTTGGGTCATCGAGATGAGAGGAATCAGTTGTTGAGGACTCTTGGTGACATATCTGAAAACTAGTCGCAATGGCACTGTTTTTTTCGCTCCTTGATATATTCAAATTGTTTATTTTCTCACACTACTTTATCTACCTTGATATCACTCCTTTTCTATCCATTTATTCTTTTTGTACTTCTGTGAATTGTGGTAACTTGAGCCGATGCACTTTTGTAGGAGTTTCTACGTTGATTTTGTTAGTCAGTCAATTCCATTCCCCCCTAATAGATGTTATAATCTTGAGACATTAATTGTCTTTTCAAACTTTAACGGATAACCCATCTGAGTTATAAATCTATATTTCCCACAGACATTATGTACACAGAACTTGCCATCTTCTTGCTTAAGTTACACTTTCTGTCATCTCTTGTCACTATGACAACCAAGAGTTAACTGTTTGAACCATCTCTCTCCCTCCCCCCCCTCTCTCTCTCTCCCATCTACAATGTGTAAATCTGTCTACATCGTAACAACACAATATCAACTTCTATGTATCTTTATCGAAACTCAATTCCTTTTGCTTTGAAATAGATAGTGAGCCATGAACTATGTAATGGCGTTAGCCAAGTGGCAATTGATGAGAGATGTACCTGCCGATTATTACAAATTATATCAACCCTTAGCATCTCAAGTTGACTGATTTTTCGGAAAGCTTGACTACTGATAGTCTCATTTCAGTGACTGAATTGTAACTTTAATGCTTGATATTAGAATTTCTTGGGTCGTATCCAATTGGGGATCAGCATTTCAATGTGGATGAGGTATTCTGAACCAGTTCTCCTTGCTCTAAGATAGTATTTCCAGCGATTATCTTCATAGCATTTCTGGTGTTTGATAGGATCAGCATGTGAACAGTATTGAAGTCCGGTGAAGGATACTAGGCAAGTCAACCATTATGGTTCTGAACCTTAGTCGACTGCGCCTTCCGAGCCACAGCCTACCTCGATGCCATCCTAGGGTTAGCCGGATTAGGTTGGAAGAGGGATTGATGGTTGCCAGATCAAGACGTGATATGAATGAATGAAGTCTCTGGCTGATGGTGCAAGCCGCATGGGTAGGCGTAGATATTATTTGACTGTGGTCCGCGAGACGATAAGAATCAATGTTTGAGGACTTTTTGTAACATTTGAAAGATTTCTTTGAAAAATCCATCGTATCTCATATCAATATATTCATTTTAGTTCCTTCATCGTCGCGTGTTCCTTGCTACTCTTTAAACAGTGAAATACACCCATTTGATCGTAGGAGAAGACAAAACGCGATTTCAGCGAAGAAAAAGTTTTCTTCCTGACGAAGTCATTTACTATGCTGTACATTTGTGAATATATGTTACAGTGGGCAGGACGTTCCAGAATTATTTCCAGCTAGGCGGCAAAGTATATTGGATAACTAAAGGAGGTTCATGAATACAAATCATGGTTTAGAGTCAAAAAATAAACAGGGGATTATGAAGATAAAGTATCTGATTACATACTACAGGATGAATTTATGACAGTGAAGGTGTTATGTTGACCACGGGAAAGATAAAGGATGGACGTACCTTTTTTGAACATATTAGGTTGGTTTGAATTTCTGAATGGCTAGCACTTCAGCTATACTGAAATGCCTTTATATCACTCTCTTCAAGTGGTTTGATTGAACCGTGTAGAAGATTTCGAATGAGTTCTCAAATGGAGCTAGCTAAGTGGTCCAAGTTCACAAGGTAAACTGAAGATACATCTCCTTTCTGCCTTCAGGAGGGAGGTTATGTAGTGTTTAGAAGCATGTTTTACAAGTGGATTTATGGTATTGTTGATGTACTCAGCTCCACAAGAGCCAGTAAAGATCAATTATGCACACTGATATGGTCCAATGGGTCAGCTTGTCTTTCATATATTGATCAAAGCATTTTCTGCAGGAGAAAATAATTCGAAAGTTGTCGGTGATGTTCTGTTTATGTATTTTGACAGTTGTTTCTTGAAGATGTCTTATTATTATTATTATTAGTCCCTTGGGTTCCTAGTGGAACATAGGGCTTCAGTAGCACGCCTCCAGTGACCTCTGTTCTCTGAGATCTTTTGAACCTGGTCCCACGACAGCCCACAACCTCTCATTTCCTCCTCGCACGACCTCCTCCATGTCACCCTCGGACGTCCAACTCGTCGCTTCCCATGGGGATTCCACTCGAGTGACTGGCCTGACGCGTGATGTCCTCCGTCGGCCTTCTCAGTGCATGGCCAATCCATCTCCACTTCTTCCGGCATATTTGTTGCGTGATAGGTTCTTGGTTGGTTCGTTCCCAGAGTTCCTTGTTGCTTATTTTTTCTGGCCATCTGATCTTCTTGAAGATGTCTGCAGCAATATTATTTTGAGTTCAAGATTCAACAAAAGAATCTTTTTCAGCCTTAAGAGTATTCGTTCAGTTAGGTTCTGTAGCTTCATGTTCTTATCTATGAATCTGGATGGGAAACTGTTTTCTCCTTGAGTTCTTGAAAGATTTTGCGGTTCTTCATCAACAGTGTCCTCAGTACATACTTTGTTGATGCTTGAGAGAAGTGAATGGATAAGATTTCTCTTCTTACTTAAAGGAGACCTAACGAATATATATATATTTAAGGATGTTTCTCATACACTCCTCACTATCTGAATGTGAATTATTGCGCCTAGACTCGTCTTCTGCGGTGCCATGGCTAACGATAGGGATTAAACACTTCATTTACCTTTACCTGGCATGGCGGATCAGCCCTTATGGGTCAGTCACTGATGAAATCTCTGCATGGATACCAAAGGCTCGATTTACTTCCGCCACCGCGATATCTTGTTGTCTATTAAGCGTCGAGTGTACTGCTCTCCATTTCGCTTTGATCTATTCTATGGCCGTGAAACATGGCCACTAAAGGGTAGAGAACATGAGACTATCCTTATCTCCGTAGCATAGACAGTTTCGTGATGTCAACACATATATTACGTACAAATCATGTGTAGAGTTTTAGGCAGGAGAGACAAGACAGTTGATGTTGTTGTGAATCTTCATCGACTGAGTTGGCTGACTGGCTGGGATATGTGTTACGTATGTCTAGTCACCGTCTCCGCCGTTGCACAATGTTGATTGAAGTAGGCTCAGGCTGGTAAAAGTCTCAGGATAGCCAAACTGAAATTTGGTAACAGTGTATATGAAATCTTCGACTGTTGATTTGTGCTATGTAGGGAGATTCGGTTGCGGTCCATATGATACTAGAAACTAGTGGTTAGAGAGAGACCGACTCTAGGTGATATAGTTGAGAGAACCGGTGTCAATGGTGCATGTTTATCCTCCTTGTTCAGTAATGTCTAATTCTTTGTTGTTGTTGATGAAGATGATGACTATATTACTCATTACGACTACAATTTTCTTGTGAATTATTTCCAATATTATAAGTTGTACTCAAGTATATCTTGTTAAAATTCAATGATTATCAACGAATTTTTTTTTCCAATCAATTTCATATTCTTTTATTTAAATATTTTTCACTAATCACCTTTTTTATGTTCATAATTTTTAAAAGATTACCAGGTATTGCTATACCAGGATTGATATTCACTAAAGTTATGTAAGTGGATAGAATACTTACATTTCTGTATATTAATACAGAATTGTCAAAGCATATATATATGAGCTCATTAATAATTGGGTGTTTTAATTTCTGTATACATTTCTCTCTATCTTCCCCTTGCTTTATTATGTAATATATGCATATATCATGGTAGATATACTTCAAAGATTAACAGCAACAAGCGGTGAACCCTTTTTTCATTCCCATGAAGCACTACTATCTTTATTCATTTTTTTTTCCAATCTATCCTAACCCTTTAGTTGATGTTTTTCTGTTATCTGAGCATAAAAAAACATTTCATAAGGTTTTAATGTTACTGGTTTGTAAGTTATCATTACAGACTGAGCTGAACTGATCTCTGGTTAACAGTAGAATCCAGGATACGTGTTTCGTCCCACTCTTGACTCGTCATCTGGATGTGACTGCCTCCCTTTGAGACCTAACTATTACAAATTACTGTTATTATTATTATTTGTCCCTTGGGTTCCTAATGGAACATAGGGCTTCACTAGCACGTCTCCAGTTCACTCTGTTCTCTTCAGTCTTTTCTTTCAACCTGCCTCCACAACAGCCCACAAACTCTCATTTCTTCCTCACACACCATCTCCTCCATGTCACCCTCGCCTCCGACGTCCAACTCGTCGTTTCTCATCGGGGTTCCACTTGAGAGTATGGCCTGGCGTGTGATATCCTCAGTCGACCTTCTCAGTGCATGCACAATACAATCCATCTCCACTTTCTTCTCCTGCATATTTGTTGGGTAATAGGTTCTTCCTTCATTGGTTCGTTCCCACAGTTCCTCCTCGTTTATTCTTTCTGGCCATCCATCTCATCTGATCTTCAGTATCGAGTGAGCGTATGCAGCAGATGTTGATCATCTATGTATATAGTTTGTTGGAAATGCTTTTCGTGACACGCCAAGTCTCCCAAGCATCACATAGAAGCACTGACTTGACTGACTGACTGACGTGGTGTTGAAAATCTGGATGTTGTTCACGCTTCATGCTGAGTGCAGTGAAGAAGATCTCCACACTGGTTTCAGGTTAATGAACACCTGTCTTGGTGTCTTTACCATCCTGACTGGCTGGCTTTGACGTCCTCGTCTGTGCCTGTGTCACCTGTAGTTGAAACAGTGCTGCTGGATAGGTGAAGGAGGCTACTTCCTTTAACTTTCTCCTGTTGATGGTGATTGGAGCTTGTTGTTGTTGTTGGTGGTGGTGGTAGTGGTGATGTTGGTTGGGTATCTTCATCACCTTTGTATTCTCTACATTCAGTTGAAGTGCCGTTTTCGCTGCCTTGCCTATTCTGTCAACTTGTTAGTTTTCGCCTATAGATCTCTGAGTTTGTGCGAAATCAGACACAAGTCATCGCCAGCAAAATCCAAATCTTCTAGGATGTTTTCCCCAGTCGAGCCAGCGTATCCCCCTCTTCTCGCTCCTCACTGTTTGTTGCATGATCCGTTCCACTACACTCAGGAATATCATGGGTGGTAGTAGATGGCAGCCTTCTTTTACTCTTGTCTTCACTTCAAAGGCATCATTGAGCTTTCCATTGTGAATTACTTGGTATGTGGTGTCTTCATATAGTTGTTGAATGAGATTGATAAAGATTTATGGTATTCTGTAGTGTTGAAGCAACTGCTAAATTACTTTTCAGTCGACGCTATCAACGGCCATTCCCGACTCTATTCTACGATGATGCGAAGCGTTGCAATTTAGTCCGCATATGATTTATACTTCTAACTACTACAAACACCAGAGTGTTATGCAATGGGCCGTTAATTCACGAATACCATAACATAATATTTGATACCTCTTGGTCAAGTGATTGTCAATATATATGATTCAGTAGTTTTTTTGAGTTTTAATGTGAATAGTGTTAAGTGACACTTTGTAATATGCCTAACAGTGGCAGATGACTTTGAAATAAGGCGAAATCTATGTCCTGAAATTTTATCAATTGATGTTTCATATAATCTCTTATTCTAGTTCTTACCTATGAATATCACCTATAAAAAGACGTTTTTGTGAATGAAGGGCAATTAAACAGAATAACTGGCAGACTCACAACTAACAAGTCATGAAATCAGTAGTATGATATTACACACAGTTGAAAAAAAACACTTAAAAATCCACCTTTTTTCAACAACTTAACAGAAATATATTTCCAAGTTACTATTATTCATCACATCAGAATCGGAAGAGCAAGACAGGCGTTCATTAACCTGAAACCAGTGTGGAGATCTTCTTCACTGCACTCAGCATGAAGCATGAACAACATCCGGATTTTCAACACCACGTCAGTCAGTCAGTCAAGTCAGTGCTTCTATGTGATGCTTGGGAGACTTGGCGTGTCACGAAAAGCATTTCCAACAAACTATATACATAGATGATCAACATCTGCTGCATACGCTCACTCGATACTGAAGATCAGATGAGATGGATGGCCAGAAAGAATAAACGAGGAGGAACTGTGGGAACGAACCAATGAAGGAAGAACCTATTACCCAACAAATATGCAGGAGAAGAAAGTGGAGATGGATTGTATTGTGCATGCACTGAGAAGGTCGACTGAGGATATCACACGCCAGGCCATACTCTCAAGTGGAACCCCGATGAGAAACGACGAGTTGGACGTCGGAGGCGAGGGTGACATGGAGGAGATGGTGTGTGAGGAAGAAATGAGAGTTTGTGGGCTGTTGTGGAGGCAGGTTGAAAGAAAAGACTGAAGAGAACAGAGTGAACTGGAGACGTGCTAGTGAAGCCCTATGTTCCATTAGGAACTCAAGGGACAAATAATAATGATAATAATAAATAACTTTCGCTGTCAACTGAGATCATATGTGAATAGCTTGTATATCAACATTAAAGTTCATGTAATTAGATGTTTATATTGATGATGAAATTCACGCTATAGATTTCAATTATTCTCTTTAGCTTATGATATTGATATCTCCTCGCTATTCACTCCGTACGTAAATAAATTTTTTTTGTTTAATCCATCACTTGTACTATTTTTTCTTGCTTCAACTTTGTGAAGTATCTGGTGAGATTTACAGTAACATCTCTTCTTTTGTATTTTCTTCGTTTTTTCTTGCTTTTTGTTTTTCTTCTCACAGTTTTATGTAAGCGAAATGCAATCAGTAGGAAGTAAGGTATATCTTTAGTTTACCATATATTATCTCTGTCTGTTGTCTGTCTGTCTGTCTGCGTGATTGGAAGCCTATTGTGATATAGAAAAATGGAACTATTCCATTCAACTGTCACTAACAGGCCTATACACTGGTGTGTTATGTAATATATTTGTTTGCATAGCAGCTAAATTCCATCATGTGTAAATGTAGATTTATTTAACTGTCTTATCTTATGAACGAAATATATTCATAACTATTCTTTTTTCTTTTTTTTTTTCATCGTTATATGATAGATCAACTGAAGTCTCTACTAATGAAGAGAGATCACAATCAAAAAGTCCAGAGAAGACTGTTATGCGAGCTAGAGATCGTGCAGTTGCAGCTCTTGAAGGTGAGTTATATCACCTTCCTTCTTTTTTACCAACTAACCTATAATATATATATATATATAATATATATATATATATATATATATATATATATATGCCAATTGTTCTTCAAGAAATAGGTCTTAAAAAGTAGGATGTTGGATAAAACTCCTAGAATTGGACGAGAATCTGTAGGTTATCAGTCATAAACATTGAATTTCACCCTCTCTTATCTTCTTCTAGTAACTTTAGGTACAACCAACGCATTCCGACACCTTCGAATTGCTCTTCTCTACTCGATGGTTATCTCTTTCAGTTAATCGACGTGCTAATTCGCGATCATGGTCAGAAACTATGTGTTTATGCATAAGCTCTTTTTAACTAGTTCTTGTCTTTGTTGAAACAACATAAACTCTCATCCATGGCCTCTCATCTTCGCCCTGTACTACTACTATATGACTACGAGAGATGACCATTAAGAGTAGAGGTCTTGAATAAGGTTTAGGTGTTTGAACTCCATTACCTTCGTAGTACAGGTCATATTCCATGGTGTCACCACATGAGGAACGCAAAAGTCAAGTGTAGAGTTTTAGGGAGAAGACGTAAGTCAGTTGACACAGTTGTGAACCTTCATCGACTGAGATGGCTGGCTGGAACATGTGTTACATACGCCTAGTCACCATCTGTCTCGTCACACAATGTTCGCCGAAGTAAATTCAGACTGGAAAAAGGCCTGAGGCCACCGGACCAAAGCATGGCATCAATGTATGAAGTCTTTGATTGTTGGTTAAAGCCATGTAGGGTGATGCAGACTGATTGGTTGGAACTATTAGTTGGAGACTCTAGGTGACATGGCTCGGAACCGATGTCAGTGGCGCAGATGTATCCCCATACATATTATCCTCATCTTGACAACGCTATACTGAATCTCACCATTTTCTCATTCTTCTTTTCTCTCTTTTAGTACTTATTTTCATCTTCTACTTCAGTGCCTTTTTACTTGATGTGGTGATATGAGCTGTGGCAACTCGGACCATTACGCAGCAATACTTGTTCCTATTTTGATCTAGATGAATGGATGGACGTTTGTTGTACAGTTACTCACCTCCATTACCACCTAGTCAAGGTGCCTACAAGGCTATTTGTTCTCCGCTTCCCTCGCTCTAAAACTATCCATCTAACCTCCTGCCCCCCCCCCCCCCTCGAAAAAAAATCATAGGTCTTTTAGCTTTTTGACAAAGTGTGTCAGTGACTCCTGTATGAATGAATAATATGCAACTTCTCATATCATTCCACAGTATCTTTTGCCAGAAGTTTTATTTCAATTGTGGAGGTGATGATTAAAGTTGTAATCAAAATCTTAGTTAATCTATCATACTAATAGGTATATTATATATATATATATATTTTTTTTTTTTAAACAATTTTTATTCTAGTTGCATCTAAAATTGGCAGTCCACCAAAATATTCTGTATTAACTAGTCAACATATACGCTTCTAGCGCATGCTGAAGCTTCAGCTATCGCTGATTCTAAACGTGATACAATTCGATCAGATAATTCAGAAAATACTAAAATTTCAACAACTGAACAATCAACTACACTACTCAATCATTATCTTCTATCAGTCCAGATGAATGGTTTATATTTGCTCAATCTTCTATACTATCTTGCCTAATTGAACGTGTTAGTGAACCTTTTTTCGCCCCCGCCCCCCCCCATTATTATGATTACTGTATATATTGTTGTTGTTTTATTCAATCAAGTTTTATGTTGAGACTAACGTCTAATTGGTTGATCACTGTTGCTTATTATTGTTACTAATTTGATCAAAACTAATCCATTTCATAGGATGATCATGTCAATATGATTTTCTTTGGAAACTAATGCATAAGTCAAGATCACTAGTAGTCATCTCTGTCTGATATAAAAGTGTCATGAACTAACAGAATGAATAGTTGGAATCTACTCATCGTTCTGTTTAGATCTTCCAAGATAGATCAAGACTAGCTAATTACGAGGAGATTGTTTTGTTTGTTTTAGGGTTGGGCTCATCAACTGCACACCAGGGCAATAGTATACTTTGATAGTTTATGGCACGTTTGTGTCAGAAAGCCATAAGTAGTTATAATCTTGACTGATAGGTGGTCTCTAACAGAAATCTTGTTGTTGCCATAGTTGAGTAGTTGAAAACTACTAAGCTGTGAGAAATGCCCTGATGGATTGTTCAATATGTGAATCATTTAGAAATTGATCATCCTGTTTTAGGAATACTGGTCTATGCAAGTTAGCTAGCCAGATTCAAGTGATCTGTGAACTTATCTTTTCCGCGTATACTATTGATGATCTCTGTATGGAATGAGTGTCTGGAACGGCCATCTGGTGTTTAGATTTGCATGTCACTATAAACGATTCACAACTACTCACTTTTTTCATTAGTATATTAATTCAGTTCGTTCTCTTCTGTTACCTTGCTTGCTATACTTGATGTCTAATAGCTAGCGTGCACATATATTTGGGATTTCGTCTGTAGGTTTTATTGATGTGATCTATGCAGGTGATGTAGATCTTGAAGTTGAGAAGTAGCTCTAGTTTTTTCTTATCATCGCAATGAATCCTAACCTGTCAGTGTTCCTTCAGTTTCACATATTATGGAAATGATGAAATGTATACCAAAACTTTACTCTCTGTTGTTGAACAAATGCATTTCATACATTCAGTAGGTCCAGATTATATATGATTATTATTTGTCCGTTGGGTTCTCAGTGGAACATAGGGCTTTAATACCACGCCGCCATTTCACTCTCTGCTCTACAGTGAGCGTAGGCGGCAGCTGTTGATATATGTCTGTAGTTTGTTGGAAATGCTTTTCGTAATGCGCCAAGTCTCTCAACAATCACGTAAAATCACTGACTTCACTTACTTAGTGTTGAAAATCCAGATCTGGTTCTTTGCGCTGAGTGCAGAAGATCTCCACACCGATTTCAGGTTAGTGAAGACCTGTTTTCCCGGTCCTAGCTTTGACATCCTCATCTGTGCGTGTGTCTTTGCCTGTGTAGCTGAAACGATTCTGCGTAGGTAGGTAGGTGAAAGCGATAGCTTCGTTTAGATTTCTCCCGTTAATGTCGACGGGTGGTTGTTATTGTTGGTGGTGGTTGAGTACCTCGATCACCTCTGTCTTCTCTACTTCCACCTGAAGGAAGTCCCTTCTTCGCTTCCTCGCCTCTTCTATCAACTTGTTGGTTTCCACCTGTAGATCTTCGATATCCAAATCTTCTAGGGTCTTTTCATTGGTCAAACAGGCAGCGTATGCCCCTCTTCTCGCTCCTCACAGTTTGTTGTGTGATCTAGTCCAGTCGACCACAGTCAGGAAGATGATCGGTGATAGTATGCAGCAGCCTTGTCTTATATGTCTTCACTTCAAAGGCATCTCTGAGCTTCCGATTATGAATCTCTTGGCATTTAGCATCCTCATATAGCATATAGCTGTTGAATGAGGTTGATAAAGGTTTGTGGCGCTCACATTATGCCAACATTCCATGTTCTTATGTTTACTTTTGCTTTCATCGAGAGAATACACTTTGGCCAATTGGCTTCCTGAAGGCTTTCACCAACTGGCGTCATTTCGTTTCCCCTATTCCAGCGAAGAATAAGTAAACTAGGCGAGATTACTCTACATCTTATCAGGATATTCATGCGTACTGTGAATCGACTATGGAATCTTCTTGTGTACAAAATCAATCTATCCAAATAAACCCAAACAAGGAGAGAGTAGTCTCTTGTGATGACATTGAAGTTAATTATTTATGCACCGTTTCATCGTAAATTACCTTTGACAATTCTTTGAAATACATACTTATGCATTAGTATATATGAAGTTGACATAACGACGGAACTTGTTGACCATGAATTGTCTCAGCTGGTAAGTGTACCAGTTAGGTTTAATTTATTACAGTATATATTTTGTAGTTATTCACTCTGGATACATCATTATCAGCTTTGAAACCATCGTTTTGAATGAGATAAGTCAGTTCATTTAAGTAGGTAATCAGAATCTAGACAGTTTGAATAATTTGACTTTATAGTGTGAACTGATCTGTGATAAATCTGATCACTTTCATCTGATTAGTGAGCACTTCATGATGCTGATCTTCAACTACTTATATCAATCAGTAGTATATTTCATCTAGGGTTGTTTTTTTTTCCTCTTTCATTATATATCATTGTATCATTATTCATTTTGATTCACTTTTCTTTTTTAGCCTCCAATACAAACTGATTTAATTGATGATCCAAGTCAAATATTCGATTCAGATACTGATAGTGAGTCATTTACAACTAGTGAATATAATACGTTTGAAAAAGCATTAGTAAAACAACAACGTCGTATTCATCGTATTCAACGATTTATTAAACATTCACATATAGTAAAACAGCGTAAAAATGTTCAACATCGAGTGAAACATTCATTACATTATCGATTAACTGGACAATTTATGAAGAATAATCCTGTTGATAATACTGAAGATGATGATGATAGTAGTGGTAGTGGTAGTGGTGATGTCGATGATCACTCTGATAATAATAATACTGATAACAATAGTGTTAATAATGAAATGGATAAGAATGACTTTAGCTATCATCAAGAAAATAATTATAATACTAAATTATATTCAGAAGGAAAAAATGAATCTTCTTCTTCTTCTTCTTCGTCTACTGCTGCTAACATCTCTGCTATAAATTTATCCAATTTACAACCACAATGGATATTAAGACGTTTACACTTGAATCCTGATTTTATGGATACATGGTGGGGTAGTGAATTAGAGTATGAATTCTATGCAGCTTTGAATGAATTGAATGCAAAATCAGATCAAAAACAAACAACAACAACAACCCATACTAGTTTAAAAGATTATTATGATAGTACTCTTAATGAAGGTAATGATGATGATGAGGAGGATGATGATGATGATGATGACGAAGAAGCTGATAATTTAACAATAGATCCACTTGGTAATTGTAGACTGAAAATGTTTGAATCTGATCGTCAATGGACATACAGTGATAGTTATGCCTGGCGGCTTATACGCTTAGGTTTAATGCAAATAGCTAAACGAGAATTGAATAGACTTATACAGATAATTGATTTCAATGGAGAAGGTGAGATATCTTTTTTGTTGTTGTTTCTTTTAATTTTGTTATAATTACTGATTGATTGATAATCTTTGTTATTAGATCTAATGAAATATATTTCAAACAGAACACTAACAATTAAGCTAATCTTGTGTATATGCCACAAAGCATCTTTGAACGAATACAGCATAAAGGTGACGACAACCAGCTATTCAAAATTTCGGAAACCTCCAAAACAACTTGAAAAGAAGGAGCGCCAGTTGGGGGGCGGAGGGGAGAATAGTTATCATCATCAAGATCAAACTGGGACTAAGCATTACTGCGTAACGGTCCAAGTTACCACACACCTCATATCAACACATCAAGTAACAAGACAATAAAATGGAAGATGAAGAAGGAAAGAAAAATCCATCGAAGGAAGTAGGAAGGAGTAAAAGAGAGGAAGGAAAAATGAGAAGATGATAAGATTCGGTATAGCGGTTCAAACGAGGTTAATGTGTGTACGCATCTGCGCCATTTACATCGGTTCTGAGCCATATCAACTAGAGTCTCCAACTACTTATTCCTCTTGTCCCGTGGACACCAACCACTCAGTCTGCATCGCCTCATATGGCTCAAACCAACAGCCACAGACTTCATACATTGATGCCATGTTTTAGCCTGACCACCTTGGACCTTTTTCCAACCTGAGCTTCGGCCAACATTGCATGACGAGGTAATCGGCGACTTGGGACACGTAACACATATCCCAGCCAGCCATCTCAATCGATGAAGGTTCATAATCGTGTCAACTGATTTACCTCTGCTCCCTAAAACTCTACACCTGACTTCTGTGTTACTCATATGGTGGCACTACAGAATATGGCCCATGCGAAGAAAGCAATGGTAGTCGAACACCTGAAGCCTTCTCATGTCTTCTGCCTTTAATCGGCATGTTTCACACCCATAGAGTATAACAGAGTGGAGTGCTGTGAAGTACACATGACCCTAAATAGACATCCCATACATTCTTAAATTGCCACTGAAGTTTTCCAGAAGACTCTATATCTTATCAACGTCTTAACTTAACAGAACTATGTCGACGAAAATTTCTCCTATGATTAGATCAATCTATATGTGATAAGATGACGAGAGGAAGACCTCCTGATGAACATTTATACATGTATATAATATCTATAATCAATTGATATGCATATCATGTTCATTTGACAGATAAATAAATAAATGATAAGCTCAATGAATCCCTTAACTCTTGGTTTAATCCGTATATGAGGAGATGTTGCCTACCTGATTGGGAGATCTTTAAGATTATAAAAATCAATGGTTAAAAACTCTTGATGATATAGGTGAAAATTGGTCATAGAAACATAAATGTATTCATCACTCTTGAATATATATATATACTTACCTTTATCTTCAAATTGTTTATATCCTCTTAAAATATTCTATTTCCACTAGATATCTTGTTTTTTGTTTTTTTTTAAGATCATTACATATTGATATCAGTTTAACATTGTATTATTCATTGATTCCTTCTCTTTATATCTACAGATTTAGCTGTTCATGCACCAGGTCTAATGACATTAAAACGTCAAATTGATTATGGATAACTGGTTATCGTTAGAGTTAACTTCACCGTTAACAATTAATCCAATTCAATTAAAATTAAAAATTAATAATTTTATTGATGAACAACTTATACCACCGATAAATTTTTTACCGGATATTAATGAAGATATAAATTCTACTATTAAACTTAATCATATTGGTAATAATGAAACAATTAGTAATGATTTACCATCATTACCTGCAACACGTTCAATGTTACGTTTGAAAAAATTGATAAATATTAAAAATACACCATTTCAGTGAGTTTATTCCTTCTTGTTCTTCGTTTTATTGGATTGAATTGATCTATTAGTATATTGGCACCTTCTTGGATTCTTTGATATTGTCTATGTTTCATTTATACATATTAATGATGGATAATAGCTAGCAGTGGTAAAGTTCGAGTCCTAATGAGAGGCAGGTACATCTGGCTGACGAGGCCTAACCAGGACGAAACGCATGTTCTGGATTTCACAGATGTTGGAGGAAGAAAGGAAACCTGGGAGCACTGGACAGCTGTTTCGTCCTAGTATGGGACTCCTCAGCAGTGCGCACCCACGACCTCACCAGTAGGGATCGAACCCGTGACCTTCAGGTTCCGCGGCCAGCGCCTTACCATTGAGCCACTGGGTTAGAATCTAATGCTCCATATTTCCAACTTCTGTTAGCTCACGATATAGCGCAAACCGCCACCCAATGTCATCGTTGAGTATTTGTCCTCACGGCCATCAGGCTTTGACTCCACTGGTCACGACTTGTCATTGGAACTTCGGGAATACTTCTCGAAGCTAGTCACCAGTGAGCACCAGTTCTATTTATCCAGTTCATTTATTGTTTTTCTTGTTTGTTTATGTTGTTCCTAATGATGAATTGGTTTCCGTTTCTCTTGCGCTACTGCTGTTACTGTTGTTGTTGTTGTTGTTGTTAGTATACTCAAATTCTTGAATCGATACTGAAGAAGACAACTTGACCTACATATTCATTTGTTGAATCAGGGTAGATAAGCTATGAGTTATAAAACTGTTAGGCCCAACAATTGAGTTTTCTCCTTTAGCAGGATCACGAATGTAGATATGATATGGTCCTAAACAGACGATTAGTAATAAAAATAATGTTACTATTCCAAAAATCATAAAACTCTCTACCTCAACTTTATCGATTTTAAAAAAGCCTTCGATACCATCGATCGAGAAGTAATTTGGCAGTTGCTTCAACACTATGGAATACCACAAACCTTTATCAACCTCATTCAACAACTATATGAAGACGCCACATGACAAGTGATCCACAATGGAAAGCTCAGTGATGCCTTTGAAGTGAAGATAGGAAGGAGTAAGAAAAGGCTGCCGCCTACTATCACAGATCATCTTCCTGATTGTAGTTGACTGGATCATGCAGCAAACCATAAAAAGCGAGAAGAGGGGCATACGCTGGCTGTTTTACCGATGAAAAGAACTTAGAAGAAGATTTGGATTTCGCCGATGATGATTTATGTCTAATATCTTGTCGCCCAAACTCGAAAATCTACAGGCGAAAACTAACAAGTTGACAGATGAGGCAGCGAAGACGTGACTTCAAGTGAATGTAGAGAAGACAGAGGTGACGAAATTCAACCAACAACAAACACTAATCACCATTAACGGGAAAAATCTAAAGGAAGTAGTCTCTGTCACCTATTTAGCTACCTAGGAGGCATCATGGTTTCAACTACAGGCGGCACACATGAGGATGTCAAAGCCAGTCAGGATCGAAAAGGCAGCAAGATGGGCCTTGCTGCGTTAATCTGAAATCAGTGTGGAGATCTACTGCACTCAGCATAAAGCGTGAACAACATCCGGATTTCCAACACCAGTGTCAAGTCAGTGCTGGTATATGGTTCAGAAACTTGGCACGTCATGAAAAACACTTCCAACAAACTGCAGACATACATCAACAGCTCACTCCATACTGAAGATCAGATGGATAGTGAGAAAGAATAAGGAAGGAAGAACTCTGGGAACGAACCAACGAAGGAAGAACCTATCACCCAGTAAATATGCAGGAGAAGAAAGTGGAGATGGATTGGATTGGGCATACACTGAGAAGGCCGTTTGGGGAACATCATGCACGTCAGGCCAGGCCGTCGAGTGGAACCCTAATAGGAAGCGACGAGTTGGGCGTCCGAGGTGAGAGTGATACGGAGGAGATGGTGTGTGCGAAAGAAATGAAAGGTTGTGGACAGTCGTGGAGCCAGGTTGAAAAGACTGTTGAGAACAGAGTGAGATGTTGATGTGCTACTGAAGCCATATGTTCCACTAGGAACCCAATGGAAAAATAATAATATTATTATTATATGATATTTGCTTGTGTTTATTCTGCCTTACAGGACACGTGATCCATTCTCTTTGCCTGTAAAACGTTTATGGTGCTATTTAGTACGACAACCAGAATTGGATGATATATTTCTACGTCATATATTCCGTAAACCATATCTTGTACAATCTACAGTCACATCGAATGTTAAATTCTTATCCTCCTTGTCATCATCATCATTGTTGTCAACTGCTTCGTCGACGTCTACTCGTGGCACTTCTGACCTCTTAAACACGATACCTACTGTAACCAAGTCTATATCATCATCGAATTTGAAAAGTATTTCTACTATTTCTACTGTTAATACTACTAATGCGAATAGTAGTAGTAGTAGCAGTACATTGGTAAGTTAACGTTTATGCTATAGTTTCACTTTGATATTGATTTCGATAATTGTACAATTTATCAGGTTGATCTATCTTGTATAACGTGAATGTCTGGTCTAACAGTGGACACTCTATTTACCACCAATAGCCTACGATTGACTCCTCATCTATTGTCGAAAATATACAAACATTGAATACACAACTTTCTGTTATGTTATTGCACTGCTCATTGATTGTATCACTTGTGTACATACATGATATGGTGAGTATATATAACAAATTGATCATGTATAGGATCAGTATTATGAATGAATTAGCAGAAATCATATAGTTCAAACATTGACTATTAGGTGACTAGATCTAATAACTGTATCATTCGTCTTGATATGAATGAATCTAAAAGTACCATCTTAACAAGTGAAATAAGCAATTCAACTTCTTAATTTGATGGAAAAGTTGCCTTTCCAGTCGAAGTAGAGATATCTAGTTGGTAATTTCATTCGTTTCTAGAGTGGCCTTTAAAGTTACCTGTTGATGATTGTATTATATTTCATATATATTTTAAATGATCTACATCGTGGATCATCTATCACCTTTTTACAATTATGCAACAGTTATATATGATGATGATGGTTTCATGTTCTCTGAACTTTGATATTTCATCGTGAATGTTTCATCATTAAGCTTACTGACATCTTCAACACTAACTTCATAAGGAAGTGAAGTATGATTCATTGTATAGGATATATTTTTATTTGTATAATCCCGGCGTAGTATATTAGAACAAATAACAAAATAAACAAATATTTTGTGCATTATTCCTCAACGTTTCGATCTTACTAGGAAGATCCTTTTCAAGAGTATGAATCTGACACTAAGTTATCAAGTTGTTATTCATCGAAGACTGACATCAGTTGGAGGAACAAAGGAAACCTGGGAGCACTGGACAGCTGTTTCGTCCTAGTATGGGACTCCTCAGCAGTGCGCACCCACGACCCTAAGTTACCAGGTTAATATTCAAGTTTTGGTACACAAAGTGGTGACCTTTACAATCATCCAATTACATAGTGATATGGAGCAAAGATCAATGTAATACAGGTGAGTGAACAAGCAACTCGATCAGAGAGGTTTTTACGTTGTGCGAGTAAGGTGGAACAAAAATAGGGTGGGGAAATTTTTTAGTTCGTCTATGAAAAGTACAATGGGGTTATGAGACATCAAGGGTGAGAAAGAATAGATTACTAGTTTGGAAGGATGAATATTTGAAGATGAGACAATATTATCTTAAAAGCTGTTTTCATGTCTATCCTATGGTTAGTTTCTAGTATATGTTTAGCGATAGACGAAGATGGATGTTTGTCACCTGCACTTATCGGATCTGTTGAGGTCATTTGTTTTTGTAGCCACTTAGGTACATGTTCAACCTCCCTTAACTGCATATCACGATTACTCCTCCCTATATATATGTGTCCACACATACATGTAAATTGATAAACAGTAGGATGTGATGTAATCGTTTATATGTTGTTTCGGTTTGTGCTGCAACATGGACTTGGTCTTCTCTACAATGATGACCTTAGCTGCATAATACGTTTTACAGATGGCCCATCTAAGTCTTTTCCTCACAACAAAGCTATGTGAATCACCTCTAAATGGTAATGAGATGTAGACATTTTTCTTAGCAACGGAACACTGTATACTTTTCAATGGTACATAACTTTTGCACCTGTCGATAAATCTCAACGGGTATCCATTCTGTATCAGAGTTGTCGTCAGTAAGTTGGCTTCTTCCTCCCTGGTGTCATCGGTGCAGATGTGGTTTATCCTGTTGAATAAGCATCTGACTAAACCACGTTTGTATTGGACTGGACAATAGCTATGGAAATTAAGATATTGCCCTGTCTATGTAGGTTTCTTAGAGATCGACCTCCTGATCGAGCCATCCTCCCGTCGACTGAGCAATATGTCTAGGAACGGTAGCTGGTTGTTCGTCTCTTGTTCATAAGTCAGTCAACAGATCCGATAAGTGCAGGTGACAAACATCCATCTTCGTCTATCGCTAAACATATACTAGAAAATATTATCTTAACTAAATAATAATAATGATAACCATAAATGTACTTTTGATAACACTTGAAGTATGAGTGATAACAAAATGGATTATGTTATGGTTCATCGAATGTATACGACTCAGAGAGTAGTGTAAAATTGATGAAAATAGTAGATCAATAAGGTGTAGGTAAGAGGACTAGACAGTCTATCTTCTCTTCAGATATTATTTATAACTGCCTAGGCGAGTCATTAATGTTTGCCATATTAGTGAGATGTCTAACCCATCTTTTCTGTTGATCGAAGAAGGATATGAGCAGATATGCAAAGCTTCTGCAATGGTTCGCTCTTTGTTAGAGAGAAAACCCTTTTGCAGAACTTTTGTCTGTTCCAATGATATTATATGACCTGAATATAGGGCATGAACTGCGATAGCAGAGCTTTTTTCAAGTTTTTCTAGATCATAGGAATTTTTTGGTGGTTTTTTGGAACTTTTACCGTATTCGGCTAGACGTGTTAGTACTTGACGTGATATCTCTTCAATATATGTGGCATCGCATTCACTGCAGTCTACCTTATAAACACAGTTTTGTTGTTCCAAATGAGGAATCGTCACCTTAAAGAATACTCTGATGTTGTAAGGGTTAAGGATACGTCTTATTTCCTCTAAAGTGGATGTTCGATAAGGAAGTACTATAATACTTATCCAATCTTTATGGCTTGACTTTTTCATATTTTTATTCGATAAACTTTTTTCGATCCTTTTTAATAGTTTGTCTGGATAGTTATTTTGTTTTAAGACTTCTCGAACAGATTTTTGGCAACGTTTAATTTAGTTTCCAATGGATGAGCCGAATCGAAGTCAAGGTACTTGTTAGAATGTGTATCTTTTCGATAGACATCAATGTCAAGTGTCCCATCACTGTTTCGTATCGCCTTGCAGTCTAGGAAAGCTAACGTTCTGAATTCTGTTTCTAGTTCATATGTGAATTTTACAGAATTGAAACGGTTGTTTAGGTATTCAAAAAGACTTTCTAATCCTTGCTTTTTGGTTATGACGAAGGTGTCATCAGCATACCTCCACCATACTCTTGGTTTTAAATTATGTTGGTTAAGTAGGTCTGATTCTATTTTGTGCATGTATAGATTAGCCACAATGGATGACACAGGTGAACCCATTGCTATCCCACTGGTTTTACGATAAAGGTCCCCTCGAAAAGTAAAATAGGTTGAGGTCAGACATAATCTCAGTGCACCACAGATTTCACTGATAGAAATATTACATCTAAGAGATAAAGAAGTATCTGACTCTAATAAAAGTCTAACAACCTATATGCTTTCATCAATCGGAATATTAGTATACAGAGAAACAGCGTCAAAGCTAACCATTACTTCATCATCTTCAATCGTTGTTTACAATAATTTGAAGTCTAATGAATTCTTAATGATACTTACCAAATTGTCTTGTAATGGTTTAAGCATTTTTGTGGGGGTACATTGAAAGGTTATATGTTGAGGAATTCGTAAAATCTACAATTGGACGAATCGGAAAATTGGGTTTGTGAATTTTGGGAAGGTCATAGAAGCGTGAAGCAGCATAACTTTTTAGTGCTAAATTAAACCACAAAGCATTCCCTAATTTCGATTTCAGATTGTATAACAGTTTGTTAATCTGTAGTTTTACCTTGTTAAGTGTAGGTTTACGTTTCTTGTTTTCTATCATTTCATACGGTCCACTAGATAGTTGCTCTGTAACCTTTTGTTCATAGTCTGATGTATTCATAACCATTGTCAGCTTTCATAATCCGTATGTTCTTATCATTTTTTAAAGAGCGAAGAACACGTTCCTCTTTTATCGATATGTTCATATCTGACCGTTTTTGATTAATTAGAACATATGAGACTTTATATCTAACTTCTTCTACGATATCCTGCTGGATTAGTTTTATTGCCGGTTCTAATGACGATGCGACTTCGAGTATATTCCATTCTTATACGAACGTGTTTAGATAATGTTTTTATTCACCTTCAGGGTGGGGAAAAGACTTTTTTGCTTACTACATCTTGACCTCTTTCACCTTAAATTTATTTCACTGATAGATAATCTTTATTGAAGTGATATTGTGCTCTCATACTGTGCATCATTATTGATTGATCTGGTAGTAAATTTGCTCTTAATTGATGAGTGACCGTTTTTTCTTCTTAAATAGATTATAGATTAGGTCTATATCCACATGTCTATTGACTGATATTTCACTTGAAGGTCATACTTCTAGAAATTCTCTTACAACTTTGTAAGATTTCCATATTCTCCTAGTCGTATTTATCATTGTGATTGTCTGCATGATGTTGTTGCTTTACTGTATGTTTGTTGTTTATGAATTCTTTGAGAAATTCAACAATGGGTAGATTGACCGACATAGTGTTGTGAACAATCTTTCCAGTTGATTTTGTAGATCATAAATATCTTGTCGTTTTTTTTGGCAATAGGTCTATTGGTTTGCACAGCATGTTGTATAGTGATTTGGTTGATTTTTGTACTACTCTAATTTTGAACAGATAAAGTAATCGGTTGACTGTTTCTGTGATATGTTTGATGCAGAGTCGTGTAACGTGCTTATGGATTTGAAGGAGTAACTCTATCTTCTACCCTGCTGATAAACACGTTTTTCTAAAGTTGAACAGTGTTTATAGGTATTTTTCTTTGGCTTTCTGTAATGCTTCAACACTGGAAAGTGTTTTGCTTCTTGAGAGAATACAAAACTTGTAGAAAATAAAGGGGATGAGGAGTAGTACATTTTTCAAACCTCTCTTGGTTTAAAATGAAGTAAAGATTACCAAGGTTGAAGGTTTAGGGGTAAGGTAACGACGAATATTTTTTGAATACAAAAATGCTAAGGCTTCAGTAAGCGTAGGTATACAGTCTTAAAGGGTGTTTTGGGTTTCAGTGGTGTTTCTTTAATGTGTTTCCGAATAGTCGACGACGTCTTTCTGACCGCTCTGTATTTATCGGAGTATTTCGAGTTAATTAGATTTCTAGCCATTTTGAGACATGTCGCACTACTATCGACTCCTTAGTTCGATTTCGCCTCGCTCAAGTCATAGCACACACAATGAGATGTAATTTAATCGCCTAAGTGAAAATACCCTATATGATGAGGTTTTTGTTGAAGGATGAGTTTCGTTTCCTTTATAATAACTGAGTTTGGCTGTATAGTATGCTGGTATTCAACATGGACTTACATCAGTTGGAGGAACATTGGAAATCTGGGACCACTAAACAGCCGTTTCGTCCTGGTGTGGGACTCCTCAGCAGTGCTCACCCACGTCGCTGCCGGAGGTCAAACCCTCAGCCTTCAGGTTCCATAGCCAGCACGTTAGCATTGGGGTAGTCACTGGATGTGAATCCAATGGTCCATATTTCCAACTTGGTAATCGGTTGACTGTCTCTGAGATATTTGTGATATAGGGTAACATAATGCGCGTATTAATTTTGTTTTGGTTCTAGATAATAATTTTTGTTTACAACATTTCTTAAGGACTGTTGGGTGATTGTTGCTGTAGTTCAGTATTTGACCTGTCTGTGTGTGTGTCTGTGTATATGGTGTCCTTGTACACTTCACTTTTTAAAGTCCCGCTGTATGTTTTGGTGATGAGAACATTGAAGAATAGATTCGTTTTCATTCGATTCGTCTTTCTTCTGTGAAGTGAATTCCTCCAAATTTTCGGCTTGATGAAAGGGATGATTTCAATCAATGGATCACAGCTTCAGCAAGTAATCCTGACCGATAGCTGGTACCTTGACGTGATTGTCGGGCTTGCATAGCACAGTGACCTAATGACCTATGCTGGTGGAACTCTCGTTCTCTCGAGGTCTCACCATACCAGAAAGGTCTGTTGGATAGTGGTAAGACGGAAAGCAATTACCGTTGTAGTGTAAATTGCTACACTATGATGGGGGTCTGAGGGCGAAGTCGTACTGCTGCTAGCTAGATGGGGTGTGACAGCACTAACGTGTTCTCTTGAATGACCAGCAGTGCCTTGCTGATTCTGCCTTCTCAGTGGAAGGAGAGGAGGGGGGGGAGGAGTTAGGAAAGGTCGGCCCAAAAATAACACACTCCACCATGCCCCATGGTCTGCCGGGCCGGCGGGGTTGGTTCATTTGCCATTTCCTTTCGACCATCCGGCCCCAAAAATACAAAAGTTTAAAATAATCATTCTCAAGTATTCCTGATATTGGTGATCCTATGGATGTGACTTTTGTTTGTTTGTAAATCTTCTCATTGAATTGCCAACAGGTTCTAAGACATAACTCAATCAATTCCATTAAGTTTATAACTGTTATCTTCGTATAATCAGAAAGGGTTCTGTCATACATGAGAAGAATATCTATTGTCTACTTGGTTAAATTTGAATCGATTGATGTGAAGAGCGAAGTTGCATTGAAGGATATCATCCTTTCATCATTGCTTATCTCTGCTGAGTTGACTGAGTATTCACTTCCATTGACGAGATGTTTTTAGTTTTTTGTATAATTCTTTGGATAAGTGGAATGAAAGTGTTCCATGAAGTGAAACTATTAGTCGTAGTGAAACATCATCTATTTTATGTATCTTAGGTCGACCGTAGGACCTCGGTAGAACTGGTCCATTTTTTTTCATCCGCCATTGTTCTTCTTTTGGCTAGTTTCCTTTGGATCTAGTTATCCAACTCTTTATTTGGATTGTGGTCTACTGGTTGATACACACTTCCATCATTTAGTATTTCCTATGCCTTTTTGACACAGTTCATTTTGTTCATGATGACACTTTGACTTTCTTTCTCCAAAGGTAATATTTACAATTGTCTTATCAGTCAGTAGTGATTTCAGTGCATTTTCTTTCCTTTGTGTTTAGTAAGTGTTGGTTTCCTTTGATTTTCATCAGGGTCATAATTGATTGACATTACTTCCTATTATGTTGCTCAACATTTAGTCTTGAGGTTTTCAATGTACACCCCCAAAGAAGCATAGAAATCAAATTTGTTTGCATTTTCAGTGTTATTGTTCAATCCCTTCTGAAGTAAGTCTTATTCTTTGGTAGACAGTGGACGCCCTAAAAGATTCACTACTCATTCTGTATTGCTTGTGATAGCCTGAATTGTTCATTATTCGACTTCTGCCTCCACTTCTTGACTACCATCAGCATCTTCCTGAACTATAAATCTGTTTCAGCATTTCAATAATTATATATATATATATACTCTTGTGAATACCAGTGAATAATTTATTCACCTCTTTTAGGTCGATATTCAAAAGTCATCTGGTAAACAAACACGCACACAACAACTACAACAACAGGCTCATACTACTTCAGGATCTCTGCTACTCGATGAAGCCGTTCGCCTTATTCATAAAGAACATGATCCACTTATTGCTATGTGCATCAATCAGGTAACTTTTGAAGTTCATGTCTACACTTATCATAATGATTCCCTCCTATGCTTATAATTAACTCCATACCAGTTAGTTAACTTTATCAATTTTGAAAAGGCCGATAACAACGTTGACCGATAAGAAACTTGGCAGCTGCCTTAAGACCACCGTTTTAGTGCGACAAATATTTATCAACCTCATTCAATAGCTATATGATGATCATGATTATCCTAAAAGCCAAATGATTTACAGTATGGAGCTCAGTGATGCCTTTGAATTGAAGACAGGAGTAAGACAAGGCTGCCGCCTACTATCACCGATGATCTTTCTGACTGTGGTCGACTGGATCATGCAGCAAACAGTGAGGAGGACCGAGAAGATGGGTATACGCTGGACCGATGAAAAGACCCTAGAAGATTTGGATTTCGCCTATGATAATTTAGGTCTAGTGTCGCACAAGCTCGAAGATCTACAGGTGAAAACTAACAAGATGGCAGAAGAGGCAGGGCAGCGAAGACTGGACCTCCTTCAGGTGAACGTAGCGAAGACAGGGCTGATGGAGATACCCAATCAGCAACAAGCAACAATCATCATCAACAGGAAATCCCAAGAAGGCGGTCTCTTTCACCTACCTACCTACCTACCTACCTACCTACCTACCTACCTACCTACCTACCTACCTACCTACCTACCTACCTACCTACCTACCTACCTACCTACCTACCTACCTACCTACCTACCTACCTACCTACCTACCTACCTACCTACCTACCTACCTACCTACCTACCTACCTACCTACCTACCTACCTACCTACCTACCTACCTACCTACCTACCTACCTACCTACCTACCTACCTACCTACCTACCTACCTACCTACCTACCTACCTACCTACCTACCTACCTACCTACCTACCTACCTACCTACCCACCTACCTACCTACCTACCTACCTACCTAGGCAGCAGCGTTTCACTGCACTGCACTGCACTACACTCAGTAGTAAACCTGAACAAGATCCGGATTCTCAACACTAAGTCAGTCAAGCAATTCAGTGCTCCTATGTGTTGGTTGAGAGACTTGGCGTGTTACAAAATGCATCCCCAACAAACTGAAGACATCAGAGATGAATAGCTGGCACCTACGCTCACTCGATACTGGAGATCAGATGAGATGGATGGCCAGAATAATAAGAATAAACGATAAGGAACTCTGGTTGGCTGACTGGCAACGAACCAACGAAACAAGGACCCATCTCCCAACAAATATGCAGAAGAAGAGTGTGTAGATGGATTGTATTGGGCATACACTGAGAAGGTCGATTGGGGACATCACGCGTCAGGTGAGGTCAGGTCAGACCGTCGAGTGGAAGTGAAACGGGAAAGGATGAGTTGTGCGTATGAGGCGAGTGTGACATGTAGGAGATGGTGTGTGAGGAATAAATGAAAGGTTGTTGGCAGTGGTGTGGCTAGGTTGAAAATACTGTAGAGAAGAGAGTGGAATGGCGACATGTTACTGAAGCGCTATGTTCCACTAGGACCTCAAGGGACAAATAATAATAAAGTCAAAATGCCAACAGTAATTCCTCTTCACCATATGATGTCGTACAGTATAGTACTTATGTTCTTCATATGAATTAGTGCAGTTGCTTATCCTTAAGAGAAGACAGGAAGAAATTTTAGTTTCTCTGTGACAACACCAATATGTATTCATATGATAATTTTCTTAATCTTTCTATTGTTTCTTCATCATTATTCATTTGTCTAATATTATTTATAGGTGAATTTCAATGCAATTGCTATAGCTACACCAAAAGAGATTATTGAATTAGATATTGAAAATCTAGTCAATTTACCATCATGGTATGCTGATGAAATTGAATATGATCTAGAGTTAATGCGTCGGTAAGTGATCTTGTCATTCACTAGTCATTAATATAATAATCACAACTAATCTATCATTATCATTATCCTTACCATTATTATAAATTGATTGGTTGTGGCTAGCAAAAGAATTCAGGACGTGCGTTTCGTACTATTTGGGATTCGTCAGGAGCATAGGAGCCCATATGTCAATAAAGGTCGAACAATTCGATCCAACAAAACAACAACAGAGTATAACAAGTATGTCAATAAATAGTGATAACTACTACCCGTTGTACAAGAAGTGACTATCGTTCCTCCATGGCATATTGGATAACGCCTTGGCGTTTGAAGTGATGGGTACGAGGTTTAAGTCCCTGTGGGAACAACATCACTGGGCTGCAGGTACATCCAGCTGATGAATGCCAAATAGGATGAGACATGCTTCCTGGATTCGTCTGCTAGCCACAACCAACCAATTTATCATAATTTACATTCAAGCAATATCGAGGTATCCGCATAGGACCCCATATGCCAATAGAGGTCGAACAATTCGATCGAACAAAACAACGGAGAATAATAGAATAGAATAATAAATGGTAGCTGCCACTCTTATTATTATTATTATCGTTGCTATTATCATTATTACTGTCATTATTATTATTGCTACTACTGTTATTATTATTTCAATAGATGAAATATATTTCGTAAAATCCAAGTGAAGTAGAAAAATAACAAATTCTTGACGTTTTGTGACTTTGAAAAAATAGCTTCTTCAAAGCAAAGGTGACGAATTGGATAACATTGTCGTCTATACATGATAATAATATGAACATAAATGTCAATTAGTATAACTCCATGTAATATATACCCTCGTTGATTGATTGGACCGAATTATAATTGGTCTCTATTCGCATATGTACTGTTGCACGGATTCCTTGGTATTGCCTATATTTTTAGTTATATAGTAATGATGAATAGCGGTTAGCAGTGGAATTCAGGATGCGCATTTCGTTTTATATGCTACTCCTCAGCTGGATATACCTACCTTCCAGTGAGTGATATTGTTCCCACTGTTGGTCACTATCCATCATTACTATAATTAATACACTGGTAATATCGAGGCATCCGCACAGGAGCCCATATGCCAATAGAGACCGATCACTTCAGTGAAATCAACGACAGTATAATACATGCATTAGTACTAAAACCTATACCCGTCTCACAAGAAGTGGGTACCGTGACTCGGTGATGTAGTGGATAACAGTCTGGCGTTTGAAGCGATCTCCTCCTAGTCCGAATCCAGGAGGGAACAACATCACTCACTGGGAGTCAGGTACATCCAGCTGATGAGTCCCAAATAGTACGAAATACCCATCCTAGAATCAACTACTAGCCACTATCTATCATTACTATTGTCCAGGTTGGTTGGATAGTTAGGCCTTCCTTTCTGTTGAGTGCATTAGGATTCAATGTAATGTGAAATCCGTCAGCTATTCTTCTTTCTTTATAGTTTGAAATACGTTTTAAATGAATAATTTGAATATCACCGACTTCATTTGTAAATTTTCTACTTCTACAGGATTATTTGATTGGGGTCATTTCGTGTAACTTGCATGTTCTTTAGCCCTAATGACGATCTCTCAGGATGATTCTCCTATATAATAAGCATCATAGTCGACACAATTTTGTATGGCGGTAAAAGGGACTTTATGTTTTATGTGGATTAGAGCATTCCTGCGAATGTTGGTTATCTCGTAAAAGGTCCTAATTCGGTGCTTTTTTAAGATTCTTTGTAGCTGTTTGGTTGTACCTTTATTATTATTATTATTATTATTATTATTATTATTATTATTATTATTATCGTCATTACTATTACTACCATTGATATTAGTCACCATTATTGCTATTATTACTGTCGTTATTGTTACTACCACTATTATCTTTATTGTTAATATTATATATTATAACATCATATTATTATTAGTATTATTCTATATGTTCCCACTACCGTTATTATTATTACTGTTATTTGTCCCTTGAGTTCCTAGTGGAACATATCGCTTCAGTAACATGTCGCCACTCCACTCTCTTCTCTACAGTATTTTCAACCTAGCCACACCACTGCCAACAACCTTTCATTTATTCCTCACACATCATCTCCTACATGTCACACTCGCCTCATACGCACAACTCATCCTTTCCCATTTCACTTCCACTCGACGGTCTGACCTGACCTCACCTGACGCGTGATGTATGTCCCCAATCGACCTTCTCAGTGTATGCCCAATACAATCCATCTACACACTCTTCTTCTGCATATTTGTTGGGAGATGGGTCCTTGTTTCGTTGGTTCGTTGCCAGTCAGCCAACTAGACTTCCTTATCGTTTATTCTTATTATTCTGGCCATCCATCTCATCTGATCTCCAGTATCGAGTGAGCGTAGGTGCCAGCTATTCATCTCTGATGTCTTCAGTTTGTTCGAAATGCATTTTGTAACACGCCAAGTCTCTCAACCAACACATAGGAGCAGTGAATTGCTTGAATGACTTAGTGTTGAGAATCCGGATTTTGTTCAGGCTTACTACTGAGTGTAGTGTAGTGCAGTGCAGTGTAGTGCAGTAGAGTAGATCACCACACTGATTTTAGGTTAATGCAGGAAGGCCTGTGTTTGCTGTTTTTGTGATCCTGACTTTCACATCGTCATATGTGCCTGTGGTTGTGCCGCCGCCTTTAGTTGAAACGCTGCTGCCTAGGTAGGTGGGTAGGTAGGTGAAAGAGACAACTTCCTTTAGATTTCTCTTTTTGATGGTGATCGGTGCTTGTCGTTGTTGTTGGTGGTGGTGGTGGTTGGGCATCTTCATCAGCTCTATTTTCTCTACGTTCACCTGAAGGGAGTCCCGTTTTCTCTGCCTTTTCTGTTAAGTCAAGTTGTTAGTTTTCTCTTGTAGTTCTTCGAGGTTGTGCGACATAAGTCATTGGACGCAAACCATCGTCGGCGAATTCCAAATGTTCTGGGGTCTTTTCATCGGTCAAACAGCCAGCTTATGCCACTCTTTTCGCTCCTCACAGTATGTTGCATGATGCAGTCGACCACAATCAGGAAGTCGATCTGTGATAGTAGACAACCTTGTCTCGTCTTGCTCCTGTCTTCATTTCAAAGGGCATCACTGAGCTTCCTCTTGTGAATCACTTGGCATGTAGCATCTTCATATATTATATAACTGTTGAATGACGTTGATACAAGTTTGTGGTACTCCGTAGCGTTGAGGCAGCTGCCAAATTGCTTCTGGGTCGACGCTGTCAAAGGTCTTTTGAAAATCGATGAAGTTCAGGTACAGGTACAGTGGACAGTCATTCTGTTCTTGCAATTTGATCCGCACATGATTTATTCTTCCTGAAGCCAGCCAGCCTGTTCCGGTTGCAATTTTGAATGCAGCGTATTGTTTAGTCTCTCCAGGATTATGCGGCATAATATTTTGCTTAGGGTGGACAGGAGTGGAGCATAATTCCTCCCCAGTTATTGCAAAGTCTTAGGTCACATTTCTTTAAGAGTTTGACAAGATAGCCATTCTTCTAATCAATAGGCAGGTACTTTTCCTTCCTTCCAAACCTTCTGCAATAGTGTTGTGGTGTGGGCATGTCGGCTGTTTTCAGTGCTTCTGGCGGAATCCCATCTAGTCCCGCTGCTTTCCCGTATTTCAGCAACTTTATGACATGGCGTTCAAGACTTCTCCTTTTGTCGGAAGGCTTCTGTTCACTGATAGTTCTGTTACTGCTGATGGTATTTCTGGACGAGTTGCAGGTGGTGGTGGTCGACTGAAGAGTTTTCTTTGTCTCTCCTCTTTGGCAACTAAGTTTCCTTCACTATCTTTCGTCGGTTTCATCTGTGTTGATCTATTCTCAGGTAGTAACCTGATTATTTGACATAATGTCAGGTCTCTCTTACCTTCAGCCTGTTCTGCTTCACTTGCCAGTGTGCTGTTGAAGTGTCTTTTGTCTTTCCTCGCTCTCTTCGCTTCTTTGTCCAGTGTAGTGTTTCATCAGTTGTGTTCAGTTCTTCTTTTCGTTATTCATCCCTGTACTGCACTGGTTCATCTTTTGCTTCACCATCCTCCTCTCCCTGCTCTATCAGCTTTCATGTGTCGGTGAAGATCCATTCATTTTCCTGTTTTTCTTCCTTCGTAATACGGTTATGCAGGTTTTTTTCTACATAGCTTTCAAAGAGTTCCAGTGTTCTTCCATGGAGATTTCTTCAAGGATGTTGCTCAATGTCTCCCATGCTCCCAATCACCAAATCGTTGAATCTGCAGAAGTCTGCGAACAGTTCTCCATTCTCATTCTCTTCACCGAGTGCATATCGAATTATGATGAGCTCCCTGTCTGTGTTGTCTGGTTTCAGTTTGCCATTCATGTCATCCATTATAATTTTGATGTCGCCAACTGGAGTCTTGTCCTGTACTGGTTGTAGTTGTCTGTAGAATTCCTCTTTCTTCTCTTGATCTACATTATTTGTAGGCTCATAGTGTGGAATTGTATGACTGTGACTTTCCTTCCTTTCGATTTGAATCTTGTTGTCATGATCCTGCAGGATGAGATAGGTTTCCATTGCCTGAGAGCGTTTGATGCACTAGAAGGGGACATCAAGATAGCCACTCCATAACTCAGTGTGTTGATGGTTTTCACCCGGGTGACAATATCTCAGTAGATTATTGACTCTCCAGTTGGCAGTTTGGAGTCCACTTCCATTCTATCTGCTTTCACAGATTCCAAGCACCTCCATGCTATACCCTCTCATCTCCTTCGCAATCTGGGCAGCCTTGCTGGGTTGAGACATGGTGCGGACATTCCATGTCCCTATACTTACTTTCGCTTTCATCGAGAGTAGAGAAGACACACGGCCAACTGGCTTCCTGAAGGTTTTCACCAACCGGCGTCATTTCGTCTCCTCGATTCCAGTGATGAATAAGTTTGTTTTTACTTTCTTACATTTTGTTTGTGTTTTGAAGTTTCTTTAGCGATTGGACTGGTTTCACGGGGTAGGGTTGCTAGCCCTATGAGTAACCCTCCCTTTTTATCCGGGCTTAGGACCGGCTAGTAACTAGTGAACTAGTTAACTAATCGAGGCTCATTAGTATCATTACTACTATTATTATTACTTCATTATGATTATTACCATTATTGTTACTACTATCGCTGTTGATAAATACCACTACTATTATTGCCATTATTGTCGTTACTATTATTATTATCATTAATAGTCCTATTGTCGTTACTATTACCATTATTATTATCATTATTATTACTATTATTATTATGGAAACCCCCTCTGAACGATACTGCTACGATGTGAAACCTTTTTTTCCCCTTATGTGTGGTTATAAAATGAAACAAAGCATGAGATTGATCCCTCTGTGTTGTGAAAACGATTAATTTTCTCAATATCTTAGTGTTATTGTCTACTATGTCGTGATACTACTATATTCCAGTACTCTGTTTACACTAGTCTTGAAAATGGTGTTAAATTTCTCCTTTTTCAGAACTTCACGTTAGCATATACTTGCCTATCTACAACCTTGTATACATTCGTGCAGTAGACAATGTACCCACACAACTCATTGTGTGAGGGCTAATGACTGCCCAAACCTTAGTAGGCGAAGCTGGGTTCGAACCCGTGACCTGTCAGTTGGAAATGAAATGCCTCAGCTCCTGCCTATTAGTAAACAAGTTTGTTAACTAGAATTTAATTCTGACAATGTTCCCCTTCGTTACTAATCAACTGACAAGCATTACATAACAAATGCCCACCATTTGTAAGCTGTTAGCCTAGTACAAGTCTTAGCGAGAAAATCAACACATAATATACTATTAAACATAATGAATAACATAAAATCACTTACACTGATCTGTAGATTTTGCTAACTAGACATCAGATTGGTTTAAACATTAAACCGATATTTCACTTATTTGGAGTGGAGCAGTTTAGTTCAATTTTTGAGTAAATTTAGCTCACAAGAGGTGAATTTTTTCGGATTCATTAAATCTGAAATCTTATTTGGATGGTTCGATGGATCATTATATAGAATGATCAATTTGAAAATTGCACATTCTGCAATAATATTTCTCATGGCTGAAATATAAAAAAGAAATAAAGATTGAATATGAGGGTTATTATTATTATTATTATTTATCCCTTGAATTCCTGATGGAACATATGGCTTCAGTAGCACGTCTCCAGTGCACTCTCTTCTCTGCAAACTTTTGAACCTGGTTCCACAACAGCCAGAAGCTCTCATTTCTTCCTTGCACGATCTCCTCTATGTCACCCTCGGCACCGATGCCCAACTCATCGCTTCCTATCTGAGTTCCACTCGAGGGTCTGACCTGGCTCGTAATGTCCCCAGTCGGCCTTCTCAGTGTGTGCCCAATTCATTTCCACTTCTTTCTGCATATTTGTTGAGTGATAGGTCCTTGGTTGGTTCGTTACCAAGCCAGAGTTCCTTGTTGCTTATTCTCATTGTTCTGGCCATCTGATCTTCAGTAACGAGTGAATGTAGGCAGTTGTTGATGAATGTCTGTAATATGTTTGAAATCCCACTTGTAACGCACCAAGTCTCTGAGCCATACAGAAGCAGTGATTTGACGTTGGTGTTGAAAATCCGGATCTTGTTCCACATGCTGAGAAAATAACAATTGAGTCAAACTTATCGTGTTGTAATCACAGTTGAAGCAAACAGAAAACAGTAAAGTTGGCTGGCTTACATTATTATCAAAGAAGTTATATCATTTTGACTATCTGAGATAACCGTTGTCTGGAAATGTGGGCCGTGGCCGGATTCGAACAAACAACCATCGGGTTTCCGGTCTGATCCTCTGCCAACTAATCTATGAGGTCTGACTGCTGGTCAGATTTTTATTTCACCTCCAGCCATCACTTAGTATCAATATTAGTCTGCGAAACTACGCCTATCTTAGATGGTCAGAATGATAACCAATATGATGCTCCCCCTCTCTTATTCAGTTACATTTGGATTTAGATGAGAAGTTCTGACTAGGCACCCAGTGTAAGCGGTAGTAACGTGTCACAAATTCCCATGACTAGCAGTCGAACCTCGTAGCTCAGTTGGTAGAGCATCGGGTCGGAGACTCAGTGGTCGGCAGTTCGAATTTGGCAGCGGTCCAAATTTTCATTTCAATTTCAATCATCACCCAGTTTAAAAAACGTTGATGATTGATGCATTGTGTACTGACTGACCTTTCTTTGTATTGCCTAATTTTCCCATAAAATATACTGCGTATATAAATTTAAGTCTGCTTATCAAAATAGTTTAGTTTTTGCATGTGTTGCATAGATGATAACTCTGAATGATTATTGGCAATTGTGTACTTTGTTTGTGAATCTGTACAAAAGGGAAATAACAGAGAAAACAACAGTTTGATCAGAGCTTAAATGATATCTCCTTGAGGTCGGTTGTACACGTAGCTTTTTAAAAGTTTTATAGTTTAGTTCGTTTTTTTTTTCGAATCCAGCTGGGAATCCATACCTCTGTCACTAGAAGACTTCAGGATGAAGGGTGGGGTACTACTTTTTAGGTTGACCCCTCTCCTAACCCTTCCGTTCATATGCAAAGCAGTATCAGAATGATCGCCCTCAGATCTCTATCATATCACCGTAACAATAACTGCCTTTTGTCTTATCACTATCTAACTGATGGTTCTAGTATGATAAAGCCTCGAGGGAGCAAACATTTCAGTCAATGTAGCTCTTTGGGTCATTATAACGTGGAATCTTGACTACCACATCAGAGTAGCAGCTGTCAGTCAGATTATCTTGTTGATTTTCCATTATTTTATTGCCTTTTGCTATCCACCGAGGAACTAGGCAATCATCAAAAGGTATATCTAAAGGTTATTGTTCAGGTATACACTTTCATGTATACAGTCAGGTTATATCACCATTGAACAGATTGTTGCCATGTTATCCAATTCAACCTTGTTATTTCTACTCGTTCAATGTTCAGAAAGTGGAAATATGCATATGTAGTTTTGAATAGTCTTTAGAGTGGGATATTAAAAGCTCCTTTCAGTTGTTGAATGTTAAGAGTCAATTGGTTAATGCTGACGACTGAGGTTACTCAAAAACTGTTGGCTTCTTGTTGAAAATTCACATTCCTTAATCGAAACCTACAGATAATTTTGAAAGAGTTCTCTAAAGGAGCTGAGTGGCTCGAGTTCACAAAGTGTTTTGTTATTGAGTTGAAGATGCATTACTGTTCTTCTTTTGTTAGCCAAACTGGGTAGTGTTCTCACGCACACTTAGCGAGGGAGCCTATAGTACGGCCTATGTACTATGTTTCATTGGAGTAAGAAAAGAAAAATTTTCACTTTACTGAAACCATCCTGTTTTGCCGTTTCCTATCAACAAATAGGTCTATTCTACTGTTGTATAATTTCTTTTTTTTTTGTAATTGGATTAATATGACTGTGTTTTTCATGTATAAAATCTTATTCACTGACACAGACCTCAAGCACGTCGATATCCTGAGGGTGGGACAGATGATTTCATTGTATGTGATACAAATATTGGTACAACAAAATCTGGTGCTACTGATTATCAGTCAGAAATGACTGGAGTATCCAACTCTCTAGCATCTTCAGCAGCTGCATCGATGTCTTCCACTGGTGATAGCAGTTCTGCTAGTTCAGGTGGACATGTGGTAAGTTAGAATCATGTAACTTGCTTTTCAGTCTGTTTATTATATAACTTTACTAGCCGTTGGAAACATTGAATGAGATGAAAAAAATCTGAAGTTTATCTGAAAATAATGACAAAAGTGTAGATGAAACGTATTCTCATCTTGAACTGTGTACTTTACGGACACCTGATTCACTAGTTGGAAATGGTTTCAATAATCGAACTCACTCAGTTGGATAGAATCAGAGTAGAATCTTGCACACAAATACATCACCTCAAGTTGCCACAATTCACAGTAGTTTACAAGGGACCAATGGATAGAAAAAGAGTGATACTGAAGTAGACGAAGTCTTGTGAGAGAATTGACAGTTTGAATTGGATTGTGACTACTACTTACGAGGTAGAAAATGAACAAGGAGAATAACCTATATTGGATTGCAAGATTAAAACGAAGGAGAAATGGTGGTTTAGATACTATCGTCTACAGGAAACCGACACATTCCAACAGGTATCTAAACTTCAAGTCATCTCATCCAATGTCAGTCAGTTAATACAGGTCTAGTCAAGTGTCTAAATGATGGAGCCAGAAAACTCACTAGTCAATGCAAAGAGCTAAACCAGGAACTGACATACAAAAAAGAAGCACTAATAGTTAATAATTATCCTCTACAGTTTATTAAGAAATTCACATGAACATATAAGAAATGAAATAATAACAGTAATACAAGTATGACTAAGAAAGAGAACACGAGTAGAAAGGAGGTTCACAGCGTCCACTGTGTTACCCTATAAGGAAGATACATCAGCAACTTTGCATAGGATCCTCAACGAAGTTGGAATTAGAGTGGCATTGACACCTACAAACTCACTCAGCGATAAGCTTTGTCGACCGGCTTAAGCATCCGAGAGAACCAATTCAGCAAAATAATCTAATCTAATTTAACAGGTTCCATGTTAATGACTATGAGGTCAAGTGCATAGGTGAAACAAGCCGATTAGGGTTAGTTAGAATAATGGAACAGGAATATAGAATGACAGACCCGAATCTAGACAAACAGATCGATAGAAATGACACAACAACACCTATACGAGAGATATGCAAAATCTCGCTACCAATAAAAACAAATCATATGGGGTGACAGAACTATAAACAAAGCGGATGTCGAAAGGAGTTTGTAATTACATATTGATATGATTATGAGCAATGATAATTTATGCTTGAAAAGTTGTCATCAAGTAAATAATACTGTATCACTATGCGCAATATATCAACTAAACAGACCTAATATGAAATTACATTCTACCACAGTGCCCAAGTTTCACACTTATATTAGTTTTTCATATTTTCTGAAAATGAGCTATTTATAGTAATAATGGATAGTGGGTAGCAGTGGATTCCAGGATGCGCATTTCGTCCTACTTGGGACTCGTCAGCTGGATGTACCTATCCCAGTGAGTGATGTTGTTCCCACTGGGATTCGGACTCGGTAGTGATCGCTCCAAACGCCAGCGCGTTACCCACTACACCACCGAGCCACGATAGCCATTTCTTAGGCGATAAGTATATTTTTTTCGGTATTATTGCTTGTATTATGCTGTCGTTGATTGGACGGAATTGATCAGTCTGTATTGGCATATGGGCTCCAGTGCTGATGCCTCGATGCTATCTGTTTTAATTCTAGTAAAGATGGATAGTGGCTAGCAGTGGAATCCAGGATACGCATTTCGTCCTATTTGGGACTCGTCAGCTTTATATACCTGCCTCCCACTGGGATTTGGGCTCGGGATCGATCGCTCTAAACGCAAAGGCTTCAAACAAGAAATTTTACTAAAACTATGCCCATCTCACAGGAGGTGTCTATCGTGACTTAGTGGTCTAGTGGACAACGAACTGGCGTTTGAAGCTATCGCTTCCGGACTCGAGCCCCGGTTGGGACGACATCACTCACTAGGAAGCAGTTAAATCCGCCGAGGGTTTCCAAATGGGGATGAAATGTGCAACCTGGTTTCCACTGCTAGCCACTATCCCTCATTACTATAGTCACAACGCGGGTAAAGTAGGGGCATCTCCACAGAAGCCCATATATAAGTGGAGACTGATTAATTCGGCCCAATGAACGACGGTATAATACGGGCAATTATACAATGAGCAATTTAGTTGTGTAAAAATAGTGCTTAAATGCAGTTAAAACGATTTATTGTTGGACATTGCTTGTTGTACATCGAAGGTATTCCAGTTCCTGCAACTTGAGGTGACAAAAAGTAGCACGAGATCGTTTTAGTCATCTCTTATTACTAAGACTGTCAGTCCTTAGAGCTGTATTCATTGGTGATACTATACATTATGTGTGCGTGTGAAATACTGAAATCAATGAGATAGTGTCTGCCTGAAATACAGTGACTATAAAATGAAGTCACAATTAATTGGTGTAAAAGTGAAAGCCTGGAATTGTCTTAGCATTCACCAAAATGTGTACATTAACACAATACTACTTAATAATTAGTAAGTAGTCCGAAACTTTAAACATAAAAGTTGAGGTATAATATGCTTAGAAAAATTACCGCAGTACTTATTATTTATCACCAACATAATTATTTAGGTGTACCATTTGACTATCAGTCCTCTATAGTTTCCACTGAAGATAACATTCTTCTGTCCAACAAACCTTTAGCTATGGTTTCGAATCTATAATTTAAAATGGAAATCTCAGTTTACAATTACCAAAACATAGAGAGCATTAATATCAACTGTAATTTATACACATAATTTTCAAACGACAAAACCATCTCATCTTGTAATCAATCCCTACTGAATAATTGAAATCTTATGAGCGTTTCGATTATCTGAACTGCTAATGGAACTGATATGACTCAGTGCTAAACTCCCTTCATAGTATGAGAAAAATGCTGATTATAATTTCCAGTGATATTTTTAACTACTTGTACATTAATCAGTAGTATATTTTGTGTGTAATTTACGTACGTTTTAGTTTATTTCGATTATTATTAGTATTACTATTATTGTTATTATTATTCAATTACTGTTATGTACATATATAGTTTCGTAGCATACACCTTCATCCTCTACATGCGAATTTGGCCAATCTATCTAAGCATGCATTGGAACGTAGCAGGCGTTTAGCTAGCACGGTATACTACTTGTTTTGAATGAATATTTCGTTTCTGCATTTCTTTCCCTCCAAATATCCACTTCTTTTCTTCTTGTTGCGTGCTTATCTGTGTAAAGCTATATATATATATATGCATGTATGTTGTAAACAGTGTTTTTTTTAGAAGGAGGGAGAGAAAGAGCTCTACAAGATGAAATTTATCTGAACCAATGTATGATGTAATTGAGCTATACATTTCGGACAATCTAATCACACATTTACTTGTCTCAAGTCAGCCGATATTAAACTGAGGAGTGGGAGGATATATAGGGAACAATTAGGACAATTGGAGGATTGAAATTCAGGAAAATAGGAACTAAAATGGAATATTGACATGGTAGATCCCAATCTTGGTTAGAAAATAAAGTTTACCAAACAACGTAAGTGTAATATGTAAGAACAAATTGTCTCTGTAGAGATAAAGATGGTTTCAATTTGTGTACGGCTATCGCTCCCATAAATCTCAGTATACGTCTCTAACTGTTTCTATATACAGAGAGTTTTAAAAGCTGTTTGAACATGCTAAGCTGTATATGAAGTGGTCGTTTACCGACAACGCTTATCAAGATTTCATACTTCATTTGTTTTTGAATTAATTTAGGTACATGTTTTCGCACCCTCACCAACTGCATGATACGATTACTTTTTTCTGTGTATGTGTGACAACACATACACATGTGAATTGGTAAACACAATGGGATATGATGTAATCATTCATACAAGGTTTAGGTTTTGCGGTGAAGCATGTGTTTCGTTTTTTCAACAATGATAAGATCAGCTGGGTAATATGTTTTCTTAATTGCTTATGTCAGCCCACGTCTCGAAATGATCCATTCAACTCCCCTCTGTTACGGTGGTAGAGTGATATGGACGCTTTTCTTAAGGATTATGTATACAGTTGGCTTCAGTGCTACCTGACCTCTACAACACATTTTATAAACTTCATCGGATATCCACTTTCTATAAGTGTTCTGGTCAGTAATTTGATATCTCCACCCATCGTATCTGATGTACTGATAAGACAGGTCCTATTAAACAAGCATTTTACTAAACCTCTCTTGTATTGGATTGTACAAAACTGTGAAAACTCAGGTATTGTCCAATCCATGTAAGCTGTCTGTAGATTGGTCATCCTATTGAACCATATCCTCGTCGATTCCAAAGTACGTCTAAGAATGGCAGACGATTATTATTATTCCCTTTCTCACAAGCCAGGCTGATGTGAATCTGTACGGTGTTAAGTCTTTTCAGTAGACAAGCAGCTAATCTTATTATAGTGGAAAAAACAGAACACTTGCTCTACCACAAACCTAATCACTGTATCAATGATCACTTCACATCCCATTGTGTTTATCAATTTACATGTGTGTGTGTGGTCACACATATGTAGGGAGCAGTAACCAAGCCATGTAGTTGATAAGGGTGAAAGAACATGTATTTAAATGGCTTTAAAAAACAAATGGAGTATGAAACGTTGATTAGTGCAGGTAGGAGACGACCCTCTTAATCTATAACTAAACATATCCTGGAAACAGGTCACAGAATTGATGTTCAAACAGTTTTCATAGTTTTATATATATGGAAACAGTCAGTGAGGTGATAGGCAAACAGAAACTGAAACCACCTTTATGTGTGTACAGAGACAATTTGTTCTTACACACCACACTTATGTTGCTTGGTAAACTTTGTTTTCATGACAAGATTTCAATCCCTTGTTGTTTTAATTGTTCTCTTTTTGTCATCCTATTCATTCTTCGCTCCATTCAGTTCTTTTTTTTTCCTCATTATATTTCTTTTATTCTATTCAATGTTAACTTTTATCCTTCCAGTTGAATCTTGTGTAATACAATAACTTATGTGTGAGGATTGGATTGAATTTGCTATGCATTTATACACTACGTGTGCGTGTGTGTGTGTACGCTCTGATGTATAATGTTGTATCGCTCTCATGTTGTTCTCATGCTTATTTCATTAGTTGTAATTTACTGTTGTCATTGTTCTTCTTATTGTACCGTTCATACTCAATTATATAACTTTCCTTTCTCAATATTTTCTTCATTGGTAGATATTGAAACGAACTTTACCGGCCGTTTACAGTTTGGCATCACATCCAACATTACCCTACTGTAAGTTTACTCACTATGTTAATTATTTACCTTACTTTTAGTATTATTATTATTATTGTAATTGGTACTTTTCTTACCTACAGAATAGTTACAGTCAGGTGATATTATTATTACTTGTCCCTAGAGTTCCTAGCGGAACATACAGCTTCACTAGCACGTCGCCATTTCACTCTGTTCACTGCAATATTTTGAACCTGGCTACACGACTTCCCAAAAACTTTCATTTCTTACTCACACATCATCTCCTTCATATCATCCTCAGACGCCCAACTCGTATCCAATTTCTTCTCCTGCATATTTGTTGGAAGATGGGTTCTTGCTTCGTTGGTTCGTTGTCAGGTCAGAGTTCCTCCTTGCTTATTCTTATTATTCTGGCCACCTGATCTCCATCTTCAGTATCCAGTGAGCGTAGGTGGCAGCTATTGATGTATATCTTTAGTTTGTTGGAAATGCTTTTCGTAACACACCAAGTTTCTCAACCATCATATAGAAGCACTGAATTACTTGACTGACATTAATGTTGAAAATCCGGATCTTCTTCGTGCTTTGTGCTGAGTCCAGTGCAATCCACTAGATTTCTACACTGATTTCAGATTGATGAAGGCAGTCTTGTCACTTCAAAGACGTCAAGGAGTTTTCCATTGTGAATCACTTGGTATGAAGCATCCTCGTATAGCATATATCTGTTAAATGAGGTTGATGAAGGTTTATGGCACTGAAAGCGTAGTGTTGAAGCAGTTGCCAAGTTACTTCTCGGTTGACGCTGTTAAAGCCATTCTCACAATCGATGAAGTTGAGGTGAAGAGTTGACTGCCATTCTATTCTTTGTTCTATGACGATGCGTAGCCTAGCGTTGCGATTTGATCCGCACATGATTTGTTTTTCCTGAATCCAGCGAGCTTGTCCCGGTCGTAATTTTGAATCGAGAGCATTTTTGGGTCTCTCCAGAATGATGCAGCTTAATATTTTGCTTACGGTGGACAAGAGCATGATTCCACTCTAGTTCTTGCAAAGACTTAGATCTCCTTCCTTTGGGAGTTTGACAAGGTAGCCCTTCTTCCAATCAATAGGCAGGTACTTTCCCTTTCTTCGAAACCTTCTACAATAGTGGTGTGATGTAAGCATGTCGGCTGTTGTCTCTGGTTCTGCTGCTTTCCCGGCTTTCTGTAACTTTATGGCGTTCAAGACTTTTGCTTTTGTCGGAGGGCTTGTGTTCACTGATAGTTCTACGGTTGCTGGTGGTATTTCTGGATGAGTTGCAGGTGGTGATGGTCGATTCGAGTTTTTTTAACTGATCATCCCATTGTTTCCTTTGTTTCTCCTCTTTGGTAACTGGGCTTCCTCCACTATCTTTCATTGGTTTCATCACGGGATATAATGTTTTCAAATTACTTGAGAACATGTTCCAAGACTACAAGATACATTCAATAACGAAAGAAAAAAGGTTTTCATAACAACTCTGATACTTTTCACAAACAAATAACATCTAAATGACTACAGCATCCTTGCCACTGGATCTCATTTACAGTATCCAGATGAAATAGTCATGATTTCAGTGAAAACGTTGACAAAACATGGAGTCTTTTGGGCACTTTCAAAGGAGTAATCTTAGTATGTTTATCCTGAGTTGTACACTTGTTAAATATTAAATGATATCTCACCAAATACTTATTTTGAAAATAAACCTATTGAAATTTTTGGGGCATTGTCCTCTTCATTTTATTTGCTTATGAAATCTCAGGTTGGAAACGAATAGACATGTCATTCAAATACACAATTACTTATGAAGAAGATGAACATAGTGGACTACAGTTGTCTGTGTTTTAGTATGTGAGTGTGAGGTATGATCTCTGAAAGTATAATATGTGAAGAGGTTATACTCTTCTGATCATCAATGTTTGTGTACCAGATTGGTGAGCACTGTTGAGGTTCTATGGGGAGAATGCTCACTGAGTTAGTAGATTAGGTTGTGAACCTTTAGTGACTGACTGATGTGATTTGAACATATTTTTCGTATATCGATCCGTCACCTTCCTCGATGTGCCAATTAGGAGAAGGTAGACTAAATGTCCAGACTAAGATTGTCTCACCAGTCCCTGGAAATCAAAATTATGAAGATGTCTTCTAAATTCTTAACATTCTATACAAGCAGATAGATAGTATTGGTGTAGGGACTGATCATTGCTGCTTAGCAGTTCAAGTTGCCACACATCATGTCAGCACATCAACTTAGAAAGCATCGATGTGAGAGATAGAGGAATAAAAAAGGAAACAATCAAAAGTAGTAGAAAGCAGTAAAAAAAAAAGGAGGAAGGAAGAATGAGAAAATACTGAAAGCCAGTACGACGAAAATAATTCAACCTGGAGGTTTTTGGGGACTTACTAATCGATTTCGGGTAAGGGGGACACCTCAGCAGTGCGCACCCATGACCTACCCTACCAGGATTCGAGCCCTAGAGGTTGGTATCACACGGGCGCACTGCTGAAGAGTCCCGTGCTAGGACGAAACAGCTGTTTAATGCTCCCGAGTTTCTATTATCAGTCCATAATGAATTCCAACCTGAAAGCGGTTAAGATAATATGTGGATACATATGTACCACTGAGATCAATTCCTAACCACAACAACTAGAGTCTCTAACCAATGGTTTCTGTTGTTACGTCCACATTAACCTGCATGACTTCAACCATATTTCAGTTTGACCGCTCTTAACCTTCTTCCTACTTTAACTTACTTCATCTAACATTGTGCGATGTGGTTGGCAGGGACTAGTAGGCATGCGTGATATATATCCCAGTCACTTCAGTCAGTCACTGAAGGCTCACAACCTTGCTGACTAATTTTCCTTTTCTCCCAAAAACTCCGCTCGTCACTTTTACGTTATTGATGTGGTGACACTGACACATGGTCTGTGCTACGTGAGCGATGATGGTTGAACACCTGAACCCACATCTCATATCAGTACATCAAGTAGAAAGGTAGTGAGGTGAAGGATGAAGATAAGAGAATGCAGTCAAAAGAAATATAAAGTACGAGAAGAATGAAAAGGGGAGTGAGAAAATGGTGAGATTAAGTATAGCGTCGTTAAGATGAGGACAATGTGCGTGGGGATACATCTGCGCTGCTGACATGGGTTCTGAGCCATATCACCTAGAGTCAGTCTCCAACTACTGGTTCCTCTTGTCCCGTGGACCCCAACTACCAAGTCTGCATCGCCCTACATGGCTCAAATCAACAGTCAGAGACTTCATGCATTGGTGCCATGTTTTAGTCTGGCCACGTCGAGCCTTTTTCCAGCCTGTACCTACTTCGGCCAACATTGTGTGACGAGGCAATATCTTACATTTCATCAGTTCAAAAACACTGTTCTCAAGGTATTCAAAAGACTCTAGATTTTGTCAACGTCTTCGCTTAAATCTGGACCGTGTTGTCTGCATACTTCAAGTTAGGTTGTTGGTCTTCTAGGTGAAAGTCAATCGCTATGCATTTGGAGGTAACTTGGATTATGGCTATTAACACATCCGTAGCGCAGTTAACCAGGAACTCTAACAGCAGGCACACGTGGTGGACACTATCGGTGGTCGTTACTTCAGATAACATTTATATATTATAACAATGTACAATCTATAAGAGATTTTTGAAGAGTTCGTTACAGTTGAAAATTACTGGACAGTCAGTTATTTCACATTCTAAAGATGAAATGCCTGAATTTCAGACTAAAGTTACTATGTTATAATTTATTTGACTAGCGGTGAAATGCTATAAAACAATTGGAATTTCCTAGTATCAATAAAACATGCCTGATATATGCGACGGGTATATCATCATTACTATAATTAGAATACAAGAAATATCGGGGCATCCGCACAGGAGCCCGTGTGCCAGTAGAGACCGATCACTTCAGTGAAATCAACGACAGTATAATACAAGCATTAATACTAAAACCTATACCCGTCTCACAAGAAGTGGGTACCGTGACTCGGTGGTGTAGTAGATAACAGTCTGGCGTTTGAAGCGATGTCTCCCGAGTCCGAGTCCAGGAGGGAACAACATCTCTCACTGGGAGTCAGGTACATCCAGCTGACGAGTCCCGAGTAAGACGAAATGGGCATCCTGGAATCCACTGCTAGTCACTATCCATCATAACTACAATCAGAACACAGGTAATATCGAAGCATCCGCGCTGGAGGCCATATGCCAATAGAGACCAATTAATTCGGTCCAGTCAACGACGGTATAATACAAGCAATTATACTATACCTGATATATGTTGCACAAACGGTTCCCATTATGCCTCAGACCTATGTAACTGACCCCACAATCATTAGATGGGATTTGATAAACTTACTTACTTTGTCTATAACATCTGTTAGCCTATGAATCTTGTTGCTTAGTGAGTTTGTAGCTTTAATATGACTATCCGAATCGATCGCTGCTACCTCGACATAGTGATCGATCTTGTATGTCACCACAGTGATCCAATAAGTTACAGTGGGTGGAACACTTGTTCCTTCAAGGTCCTACCATGCGAGAAAAGTCTTTTGGATAAGAGTAAGACAAAAAGGGATCTCTGTTGAAATGTAATTTACTACAGTATGATAGGAGTATGAGAGTGAAGTCGAACTGGTGGCTAGAAGAAAGTATGACAACAGTAAGGTGTTTCTCATGGATGACCAGTAGTATCATGTTGATGTTGCCTTCTTTATGCGAAGGTGGGTGAGGAAAGGTCAACTCTAAAGATAGCATACTTCTCTTTAACCTGCGGTATTCCGGTGCTGGCGACATAGGTTTTCTCTTTCCAGTGTTAGAACAATCAAATCGTATACCAACAATCCTCAGAAGGCTATATATGACACACCTCATTAAGATGTCCTGTGGACTCTGAGGTCATATAAACATTTTTCTCTCTTAGGTAATTTGTCAAAACAACTATGGTGTAGGCAGCCAGGAAGTATCAACCGCTCGCACACCTCCAGTCCCTAATACAACTATCAACAATATAATACTGTCTGTTTCTCACTTGTTGTCGCTCTGTCTGCATAGAAGCTTCCCCGTACTTGTTAAGCAAGGGAATGTATTAGTTATGTACAGGTAGTTTTCTCACCACTAATCGATAAGTAGAGATTATCTCAAAAATATGAAATAGGGGGAATAGGAGGACAGGACAAATCAACGTAGGACCAGGCATTACTGCGTAATGGTGAGAGTTGCCGCCACACGTCATATCAGTACATCAAGTAGAAAAGCAGTGAAGTGGAAGATGAAGAAACGAAAATTCAGTCGAAAGAAATATGAAGTAATAAAAGACAGAAAGAAAGAATGGGAAAATGGTGAGATTTGGCATAGCATTAAGATGAGGATAATGTGTGTGGGGATACATCTGCGCCACTGACATTGGTTCTGAGCCAATATCACCTAGAGTCTCCAACCTCTGGTTTCTCGTATCCCACGGACCCCAACGACCTGATCTCCACCTCCCTCCCTACATAGCTCAAACCAACAGTCAGAGACTTCATACATTGGTGCTATGTTTTAGTCTGGCCACCTCGGGCCATTTTCCAGTCTGAACCTACTTCGGCCAACATTATGTGACGAGGCAGACGGTGACTAGGCATATGTAACACGTGTCCCGACTATCTCAGTCTATGAAGGTTCGCAACCGTGTCAACTAACTTACCTCTTCACCCTAAAACTCTACACCTGAGTTCTGCATTACTCATGTGGTGACACCACGGAATACAGCCCGTACTATACTACGAAGGCAACGGTAGTCAAACATCTGAAGCCTTCTCATGTCTTCCACTTTCAATGGCCATGTTTCACAGCCATACAGTAGAACAGAGCGAACTGCTGTGCAGTACACGCGACCTTTAATAGACAAACGGATATCATGGCAACGACATAGGTGGATTAAGTTGGTGGAAAGCAGTCGAGCCTTTTGTATCAGTGCAGAGATTTAATCAGCCACTGAGCCACTAGTGCAGGGCTCATCCTTCTTCCCAATTAAGTGTAGTGTAGGGGTCGACACACTCAACCACTACACTCTCTATTCTTAGCTTTGGCACCGTTGAAAACCAATCCTAGTAAGAAACACATCCCAAACATTCTTAAATTGCCATTCAAAGTGTTCAGAAGACTCTGCATCTTGTCAACGTCTTCACCTAACAGGACTATGTCATCTTCATATTCTTTAGTTAATTAATTAGTAGTACAATTTGTTTCATTTCATCCCTGATCTAATTGGTTAACTGGGATCATTAGAAAGCCTGATTTATTATTTGTAGTTTCATTAAACTTCTATTGAACTAAAAATTGTATACTTTCAGTTTATTATCAACCTTGATAATCATACCTATTGTTTACTCACTCACTTATCATTTATCATTATAATCAGATAGATAATTATATGAAGTAATGTTTAAATTTTAGATTTATGTGGAACTGGTACTGGTTCAGTGCATATGTTTGAATGGTCAACTCCTGTACCAATTGTTGCTGGATTTACAAACACTTATAGTTTAACTGTAATTGGAATATCTAGTCAATTTCCAGCTGGTTCTAGAGGTGCTCGTGTCACTGCACTACAATTTGATGATAGTGGATATCGTGTAAGCACTTAAAATAAGTGTTTAGTATACTTTTATTATACTTTTATCATGATCACTTTATGTTCAATGATTAACCTATTTTATTAAAATCTTTCTTAGACAACTGTATGTGTAATTCATTAGAATTTAATACTTCAGAATGATGTAAGTTGATTTGAGGTAACCATTAAGAAGACTTTGTTAAGACCTAGGTTCTTAAGCTTTGTTGGTACTCATCAGTAAAGTGTATCTGCAATGTATATAAAAGTACTCCTAGCCTGATGGCTTACATTACAATAAATGATTGATAGAATTCTGTCAAAACTCAGTAGACAACATTGTATACGTCAGAATGATACAGGAAGAAATAACATTTTAAGTGTAATATGTCTTAGTTGTATTGTGTTCTCTGAGGTGGATTGTTTAATCGTGTTTCTAGACAGCGACATCACCAACACTAACTTCAGTATGAAGTGAGTTGTCAATATCTCTCCGTGAGTGATTTAGTAGCTTGCTCTGACCAACTGGTTTGTGATTAGTTGTTTCATTTCATTGTTGTATCATTGACTTCTCTGCTTGATCTCTGACCTATCTGTTGTTGTTGTTTGGCGATAGATCGGGTCTATGTCTATACATCTATTGATTACTGACTGACTGAAGTGAATGCCAAGCTTCTAGAAATTCTCTGATGATATTCTTTGTGTTTCCTCTCTCCGTCCAAAATTTCTACATTGTCGAAATTCAGTTCATCCCCATAGTTGTTATCCACGTGTATTGAGCAGTGAGTGACGAAATGTCGTGGCATTTAATAGCCAATTGGTGCTCATATAGACGAAGGCGAAGAGGGCGGCCGCTTTGTCCAATGTGTAGTGTTGACCACAGTGATTGCAGTTGATTTTGTAAATGATATTCGGTTTGTCTTCTTTGCTTGTTGCATCCTTTGATCTGCATAATAGTGTTTGTAGGGAATTTGTTGGTTTATGAGTGGCCATACCAATTCCAAGTGGTCTCAGCAATCTTGTCGTGATTTCTGATATATTCTTTGTGTATGGTAGGATGATGCGTTTGTTGATTTCTGTCGATGACTTTGTAGTTGATGATGATGCACGGGATAGGCATGTTGAGATAAAGTTTTGTGGGTAGCCGTTCTTGTTTAGGGTGGACATCAAGTAATTTTCTTCGTTTCTCCGTGAAGTTGTTGTGCTGCAGTGTCTTCTCGCTCTTTTGAATAGAGTCTGCACGCAATTGATTTTGTGTGTTGTTGGGTTTTTGCTATTGTAGTTGAGGATTTGGTCAGTGTGTGTTGGCTTCCTGTACACTTGGGTTTCCAGCTTTCTGGCATTTGTCCTACTGACTAAAACATCCACGAATAGTAGTTGGTTGTTTGACTCTTTCTCCATTGTGAAGTTGATGTCATTGAAAACGTTGTTGATCAAACTGTGGGTGTTTTCTATATCATCCTTTTTAATGACCACAGAAGTACCATCTACATAGGGAATCCAAAATTTTAGTTTAATCACAGGTAGAATGATGGCTTCCAGTCTCTGCATCACTGCTTCTGCTATTAATCCGGATATCGGTGATCCTATTGGAGTTCCTTTCATCTGTTTGTATATCTTGCCATTGAATTGGAAGTATGTTGTCATACAAAGGTCGATGAGTTCCATCAGACTTGAACATTTGAGTTTTGTGAGTTCTGAAAGGATTTTGTCTTCATTGATCAGGAGGGATATCGTTTCCTTGGCCAATTGAGGTTCGATGGATGTGTATAGTGCTGTAACATCGAAAGATATCATTAATTCATCTTTTTCTATGTTGAAATTTTTGATCTTTTCTAAGAATTGTGTTGGTAACTTGATGGAATGTCCGCATGATTGGACAAGGTGTTTCAGTTTTCTTGAAAGTTCTCATGATATGTTGTATATTGGAGTTCCTGGAAGTGAGACAATTAGTCGTAGAGGGATATCGGGTTTGTGTAGTTTTGATCTGCCATAGAATCGAGAAAGGATAGGTCCATTAGATTTCATACGCCATTTATCTTGTTTTATTTTTTTTCTGCTTTGAAGAGTTTATTCAAGATTTTATTCATCTGGTTGTCGAACTTCTGGATAGGGTTGATTTCAAGTAGTTGATAATACATTCTGGTCTTTGAGTAAATCCTCTACCTTCTTGATCTAATCTTCCTTGTCTATGACTACGGGTACATCCTTTATCTGCTGGAAGTATAAGAATACCTTTCCTATTTTTCAGTCTTTTTAATGTTTTCTTTTCTCGAATGTTCATTTAAGCGTGATGTTTCATCTGCCTGATCAGTAAGTGGTACGACTGTTTGACGTATTTCTTGTTGAATAACCTCATTTAATCCTGATGTTTTAAGTAACGATTCTAATTCAGCGAAAAATTTTGGCCTCAATGCATCTTCTTCTGTTGTAATTCAATCCTTTTTTAAAGAAGAAGTTCTTCCATTTTTGTTAGTGATTATTCTAATAAGATGACAGCGTAGCCGTTTCTTTCCTCGTTTCTAGTTGCTTCTAAAATGTTGAGCAGATTTTTTCTAAGGATTTTTTTTTCGTTCTTTGTATCACCTTCTTGATTTTCAATTGCTGTTGTTAACATTATCATATGTTGTATTGTGAGTATGCTTTCTAGTTTTCTCTTTTCATTATTTATTATTATTATTTGTCCCTTGGCTTCCTAGTGGGACATACAAGCTTCACCAGAACGTCGCCATTTCACTCTCTTCACTGCAATATTTAGAACCTGGCTACACGACTTCCCACAAACTTTCATTTCTTACTCACACATCATCTCTTTCATATCATCCTCAGACGCCCAACTCGTCGTTTCCCATTCGGGTTCCACTTGACGGCCTGACTCTTGATGTTCCCAAATGGTCTCCTCAGTACATGTCCAATACAGCCCATATCCACTTTCTCCTCCTGCATATTTTTTGGAAGATGAGTTCTTGCTTCGTTGGTTCGTTGCCAGACCAGAGTTCCTTGTTGCTTACTCTTTCTGACCATCCATCTGATCTTCAATGTCGAGTGAGCGTATGCGCCAGTTGTTCATCTATGATGTCTACAGTTTGTTGGAAATGCTTTTCGTGACGCGCCAAGTTTCTCAACCATCATATAGAAGTACTGATTTACTTGACTGACATTAGTGGTGTTGAAAATCTGGTTCTTGTTCGCGCTTAATGCTGAATGCAGTGCAGTGCAGTGGAGTAGATCTCCACACTGATTTCCGATCCTGACTGGCTTTGACATCTTCATCTGTGCCTGTGCCTCTGCCGCCTGTATTTGAAACGATGTTGCCTAGGTAGGTTAGAGACAACCTCCTTTAAATTTCTCCCGTTGATATTGATTGGTGCTTGCTGTTGTTATTGTTGTTGGTTGGGTATCTTCATCGCCTCTGTCTTGTCTACATATACTTGAAGTTCCGTCTTCGCTGCCGTGCCTCATCTGCCAACTTGTTACTTTTCGCCTGTAGATCTTCGAGTTTGTACGAAATAAGTCACTAGACACAAATCATCATCGGCGAAACCCAAATCTTCTGGGGTCTTTCATCGGTCAAACAGCCAGCGTATGCCTATTTTCTCGTTGCTCACAGTTTGTTGCATAATCCAATCCACCACAATCATGAAGATGATCGGTGATGTTAAACGACAGCTTTGTCTTACTCCTATCTTTTGATTTCCAATCACGAATTCGTATTTCCGGACCCCATGATATGCATCTGTGATCATCAATTGTACCATTTATCTTCCACTTTGTTCAGCTATTTTCCATCCTATTGGACAGTTAATCGGTTGTCTATATGTGATGTCGTATAGAAAGACGATGGAAGTTTCTCCACGATTAAACAACTCAGCTTCTCAGAGAACACACTTAAACCAAGATCATCTCCATTGCACTCTGTTCTCTGCAGTCTTCTCTTTTAACCTGACACCATGACTGCCCACAAGCTTTCATTTCTTCCTCACACCACCTCCTCCATGTCACCCTCAGATACCCAACTCGTCATCTGCCATCTAGGTTCCACTTGATAGCCTGGCGCGTAATGTCCCCGAATGGTCTTTTCTGTGTACTTCCAATCCATCTTCACTTCCTTCTGCATATTTGTTGAGTGATAGATTCTTGCTTCGTTGGTTCGTTGCCAGGCTACATTTTCTCGTCACTTATTCTTTCTGGCTATCCGTCTGATTTTCAGTATCGAGCTTAGGTGGAAGGTGGTTAAAAATCGTAGTTTATTCTTTACACACTCTCGACTCCAATTGTTGACTGGAAAAAAGTATTTGAAGCTAGATAAGAAAGAAAGTCTGATTTATTTGGTGAAATCTATAGATGACAGCGAGTAGTTTTTGCCTTCTCACTCTGTTTTATCGGATACTTAGACTGATCCCAGGTCTTTATTGTTTTCTGATTGCATTGTGCTACATTTGATGACATTGTGTGTGTGTGTGTATGTATGTATTTATAGATGAATTTCACTGACTAAATGTAACAAAAATATGACCAACTGAGGACCAATCATATTGCTCCAAGAATTTATAATTTTCTTTTTTATTAACCAATCATCAGAAAGCTGATGAAATTTATTCAACTGATTACTTTTATATATAAAAAAATTTTTATCTAGAGGTTTATGGAGATTTATTCATTGAATTTAAGTTGGAATTCATCATGAACTGATGTCAGTTGAAGGAACATTGAAAGCAGACCTAGTAGCACTAGACAGTTGGCTGTTTCGTCCAACTAGTATGCGACTCGTCAGAAGTGTGCAGTCACAATCCTATCAGGGATTGAACTCTTGACTTTCAGGTTCTATGGTCAGCACGTTACCATTGAGCCACTGGATCAGAATCTTCTGATCAAGAAATAACTAAAACCACATTTAGTTTGGTGAATATATACAGCCCAATTTGTGAATATATTTCAGTGACCTTACAGGTCATTTTGCCAACTATTGAAATGATCAATCACGTTTCAGTATTCTGGTCAGAAAGGTAGTTTTTTTTTATAAAGTAAAGAAGTGTAATTGGTTATTTCAGAAGTTGCCGGGTAAAGTTAATTTGAATAGTTAAACTGATTGCATATGGTCTTAGTATTGAGATATCTAGTCACCAGAATATGGAGCGTAGAGGCCATTACTTGAAAGTTAATTATTTAAAGGCCAGTTAGCCTACTATATCTCCGCATCTTTCCACTATTTATTTTGTTTGATGTATTGTTGACTAACTACGTTCTCTTCTTAGTTTGGTTGTGGTGATGCAGAAGGCAATTTCGGTTTATGGAATTTATATTCAACTATGCCAGGAAAACTGCCATACTTTGTAAGTTTATTATTATTGTTACTAGTATTATTATTATTATTATTGATACTAGTTGATGATTGAAGGTGAAATGAAAAATTTTATCCACTCCCGGACTCGAACTAGTGACCACTGGTCCTCCAGCTCGGTGCTCTACCAACTGAGCTACGAGGTTCGACTACTGACCAGATTGTATTTCACTTCAATCACCAAGAGTTTTTCCAGACTACCGGAGGAGTTCATGACGCTTTACTATCGCTTGATCGTACTAACACTGGCTGCCTAGTCAGAACTTCTCATCCCAATCAACATCTAGTCAATCTTGACTAGACAGCCAGTGTGGGCACGACCAAACGATAGTAACGTGTCATGAATTCATATAATAGTCGAGCTAAACCCTTGGTGATTGAAATGAAATAAAAATTTGGTCAGCACTCGGACCTCGTAGCTCATCGGGTGGGAAACTCCAGTGGTCTGTGATCCGAATTCGGCCGCGGTCCGAGAATTAGGCGGAGCAAGGCTTCCTCCCCATCGCCTTCCTCCAACTAACATCTGTCAAGGTAAAATCGATAAAGTCCACATAAGTACTAGTTAGAATACCGAAATAATATCTCCTTTACTCCGTGTTATATTCCTTTGATATCTTTAATCGTGTATATCATCATAGCTTTACTAAGTAATAAAAATCTACTAGACTGACAAAACGCAGTGAAACCTATGAAATCAGCCAGTGTATAGTTTAATTGAGTATTGACAAATATTGATGCTAAATGATACGGCTCTATAACTTTGTTATTATGGTCGTTCTCATCGTTTTCTTACAACAAGGAAGATCTATAGTCACCATTTGAGGAGATAGAATGTTAACAAATTTGAGTTCAGTGCGATTTGTCGAAACAGGATGGTGACATAACAAAGTTAAGAAAGTGTACGCTAACTGATCACCTTCAATCTACACCCACTATAAATACTAGTCTGCCAAACCACCCTCATAGAACTTAGATAGTCAAAATCTTAATTTGTATGATGCTCCCTCTCTCATTCCAGTTTAGTTAAATTTGGATTGGGATGAGAAGTTCTGACTGTGGGTAACGAGTGTCAGTACGATCGAGCAGTAGTAACGCATCACAAATTCACATGGTTTCATCGGGAAAACCCATGGTAATAGAAGTGAGATAAAAATCTGGTAAACAGTCGGACCTCGTAGCTCAGTTGGTAGAGCATAGGGTGGGAACCCCGGTGGTCTTTGGTTCGAATCTGGCCGCGGACGAGATTTCCATTTCACCTTCAATCATCACCTAGTATAAATACTAGTCTGCCAAACCACAGCTACCTCAGATAGTCAAAATTATTACTCTCATTATTATTATCGTCATTAATGCACTTCGGTTATTAATCGCTTTCCTAATCAAGTAATCCTGTGCATTACGACTTCAAGGTGATATTCATCACGAACCGATATCAGTTAAAGAATTACTGGGAAGCTGTTTCGTCCTAGTATGTAACTTCTCGACAGTGCGCACTCATGAAACCGCTAAGGGGTTGAACCCAGCACCTTACCATTGAGTCACTGAGTCAGGATCCAACGCTCCACATTTTCCTACTTCTGTGGATTTGAGATATAGTGCGAATTTCATCCAATGTTGCCATTGAGTATTTGTCCTCACATCCGAATTGGTTTGCCACGACGATCATGACTTCTTCGTAAAACTTCGAGAAGTCTCATCTCGAAACGCATCACTAATGAGCTCTAGACAGTAGTCCAGTTTTCTTAGACGGTACTTTGTGTGAGTGAGTGAGTGATGTCGTTCCAGTATGACAGCGAAGAATTACAAGCATTAACAAATAATAATAACTAATACCCATTTTACAAGAAATGGCTGTCGTCTCTCAGTGGTCTAGTGGAAGACGCTTTGGTGCTTGAAGTTATGGATACAAGGTTCGAGTCTTCTTGGAAACAGCATCACTTACTGGAATGCATGCAAACTCAGCTGACGAGTCCCAAACAGGACGAAATGTGTATTCTGGACTCCACCACTAGCCACAAACAAGTCAGTTATAAACTAATCAGTATCTTCTATCTCGAAAGACACCTGTCTCCACCAGACATTTTTGATGTGACTGAATAATCCTGGTTTCTTCTAACTAATATCTTACATAAACAGGAACAATTCGACACTGACCACTTGAATACTGTCCTCGCACTACTAAAAGATACAGAAGACAAAACTTAAAAGGTATTATTTATTGTTCGATAAATAGTCATAATGTAGCAGTTTATATAGTTACTTTACTGGACCAATAATATGGAAAACCTGTCTTCCTAGGCATTGGTTAATAATGGACTAATAAAGTGTCAATAATACAACCTTCGACCAAGATAAATAACTGACCAATAAAATGAGAATGGCACTAACTTTGGTCAAGGTTAAAGACGAATATTCAGACTATATTTTATACGGAAATTATTAACCAATCAGCTGTCTTTTTCTCCGTTCTAAAGAATTTTTTATTGGTCCTCTATTGGTGATAACTTTTGATTGGTACGTTAACTTACGAATACTCACTCTCTGGAATATAACCGTTACATACTAAACCTCAAGTAATTATCATACTACACCATAGTGTATCCAATTTTTTTATAATCTTTTTTTATTTTACAGCGTTGTCGGTGTCATGCAAAAGGTTTAGCTGATTTCTGTTTTCTCGGTTGTAGTAGCCTAATAGCTACAGTCGGTAACGGTGGAATTTCTACAACATCATTTGGAAGCGGAACTGAGAGCAGTACTGCTGGTGGAGCAGGTCACTATACTTCATCTGGACACAGTGGCATTTTGGGGAGTGGAAGTAGTCATAATAATAGTTATTCTAGTGGAAATATGAGCTTAGAACAGGATGCATCTCATTTAACCCTATGGGATACTCTGTTACCAGTGAATAGATCTGGTGTTATTCGTAAGTTGTGTGCATTATGAGAAGTATTCTTTTCAACATTATAATTAATCTCTGACATGAATAACTATGATTGCTGGTTATAAAAGTGGTGAAAGATGAGTAACATATTGATGTTTAAAGTGGCGGACAGTGGGTTTATGAGTGTCTCTCAGTTAAAATACTAACTGTAGGATGTAAGGAAATGTAGTTGATAAGTAGCTGACAGAAAGAAATACATATCATAAATCCCATTGTTGACCATCAGGTATATTGTTATGATGAATTCGATCTCCAATCTGCGACTGAGGTGAGTTGGATATGCAATAAGGATACCGAACCATGACCCACCGTCAAGCCGCTATGTAATCCGAATCAGGATAACCCTCTGGGCCCTAGCATCCATCCATCCAGATCAACCTAGGACCAGGCATTCCTGCATAACCGTCCAGTTTGCCGCCATACCTCATATCACCACATCAAGTAAAAAGGCAGTGAGGCACAAGATGAAGATAAGAGAATGCACTCAAAAGAAATATGAAGTACGAAAAGAGAGAAAGGAAAAATGAGAAAGTGGTGAGATTCAGTATAGCGTCGTTAAGATAGAATAATGTGTGTTGTGAGGATGCATCTGCTCTACTGATATCGGTTCTCAGCCATATCACCTCGAGCTAGTGGTTTCTCTTGTCCCGCGGACCCCAACCACCTAGTCTGTCTACATCGCCCCACATGGCTCAAACCAGCAGTCAAAGACTTCATACATTGGTGCCATGTTTTAGTCTGGCCACCTCGGGCCATTTTCTAGTCTGAACCTACTTCAGCCAACATTGTGTGACGAGGCAGACGTTGACTTGGCTGACACGTATACCAACCAGCCATCTCAGTCGATGAAGGTTCACAACCGTGTCAACTAACTTACCTCTTCACCCTAAAACTCTACACCTGAGTTCTGCATTACTCATGTGGTGACACCACGGAATACAGCCTGTACTATACTACGAAGGCAACGGTAGTCAACATGCAGGAGAAGAAAGTGGAGATGGATTGGGTATACACTGAGAAAATCATTCGGAGACATCACGTGCCAGGCCGTCGAGTGCAACCCAAATGGGGAACGACTAGTTAGTTGTCCGAGGTTGACGTGGAGGAGATGGTGTGAGGAAGAAATGAAAGTTTGTGGGCAGTCGTGTAGCCAGGTTCAAAAGACTATAGAGAAGAGAGTGAAATGGCGACGTGCTACTGAAGCCCTATTTCCCACTAGGAATCCAAGGGACAAATAATAAGTTAGACAGAGAGACGCTGGATCAGCCAATCAGTATTATTATTTTAAACAGTGAACTATCTATATTTTAGCTGTAGTTCCTTCGTTTTGCCTTTTCGGTCTTTCAACCCTAATACACGTTTCTACACGTTCATCTTGTTTTCTTCATTAATTAGTCGGATCGGGAATCAACTAAGAACTTATTGAATGTTGGTGGATGACAGTCGATATCTGTTCATCGTTAGCGGCCGTAGCATATAGCAGTTTTCGAAATCATAACAGTTTCGTGTCAATTTCTTTTAACCATCACCTAGTAGTATCAGTATTAATATCTGTATGCTTCAGGTACATTATTATCTTTTTAACATTATGCGTCAATTCATATCCACTGAGCTGTTTTGTTTTTCTCTACTTTATCAATGATCTAAAAGGTGTTCTCGATCCAGAATTGGATGCTCCATGCACATCAATAGCCTATTGTGGTTCATCTACACATATTAATCAATGGCCCCGCAGTACATCATTCCACTCTTATAATAATTTGATAAATACATCTAGTCTGGATACTTCATCAACTACATCAAAACGACTTTTCACTGGAGATAGAACTGTAATTGTTGGCACTAAAATTGGTGATATCTGTATTGTTGACTTGAGAAATCCTAAGGTACTAAACAAGTTCCCAGCTCATGAATCAGCTGTTAGAACGTTGTGTATTGATTCTGTGACAGATTGTTTAGTGACTGGAGGAGCTGATGGTATTGTTAAGGTACGTATAATCAATTTTTCCCCTGTTAATAATTTTATTTATTATAAATTGCTTGGTAGTGGCTATCAGTGCATACCAAGATGTGTTTCGTCCCTTTCTGGACTCGTCAACTGAATGTACCTACATCTCATCGGGAATTGAGAGAAGTAGGAAGGTGTGGACCAGTGGATTCTAATCCAATAACTCAATGGCAGCACGCTGGTCGCAGAGCCTGAATGTCCTGGGTTCGATCCCTGGCGGGGTGGCGGATGCCCACGGCTGAGGAGTCTTGTACTAAGGCGAAACAGCGATTCAATTCCATCAGGTTTTCAATGGTTCTTGAACTGATATCAGTCCAACCTGGAATCAATAATGATTTTTTTGTTATCGGTAATTACCTGTCAAGCAGATAGACTGTATCAAAATTGAAATCTGAGAACACTGACTGACAGTTCATTTCAACACAGGATCACGCTTCATATCAGCACACCAATTAACAAGGTAATGAAATGGAAGATGAAGAAGGAAAGAACACTAGGCGACGTGGGTCCGAATCTCGGGTGGGACATCAGTTATGTAGAGGTTAGTGATGAGTGCCAACAAGAACGAAACCTCGTCGTCGTCATCAACACAAGACAAGGCATTACTGTGTAACGGTCCAATTTTCCGCCACACCTCATATCACCACATCAAGTAAAAAAGCAGTGAATTGGAATGTGAAGAAGAGAAAATTCAGTCAAAAGAAATATAAAGTACGAAAAGAGAGAAAGGAAGAATGAGAGAATGGTGAGATTCAGTATAGCGTCGTTAAGATAGAATAATGTGTGTGCGGATACATCCGCACCACTGATATCGGTTCTGAGCCATACCACCTTGAGCCAGTGGTTTCTGTTGTCTCATGGACCCCAACCACTCAGTCTGCATCGCTCCACATGGTTCAAACCAGCAGTCAAAGACTTCATACATTGGTGCCATGTTTTAGTCGGGCTACCTGTAGCCCTTTTCCAGCCTTGACCTACTTCAGCCAACGTTGTGTGACGAGGCAGACGTTGACTTGGCTGACACGTATACCAACCAGCCATCTCAGTCGATGAAGGTTCACAACCGTGTCAACTAACTTACCTCTTCACCCTAAAACTCTACACCTGAGTTCTGCACTACTCATGTGGTGACACCACGGAATACAGCCTGTACTATACTACGAAGGCAACGGTAGTCAAACACCTGAAGCCTTCTCCTGTCTTCCATCTTCAGTGGTCATGTTTCACAGCCATACAGTAGAACAGAGCGGACTACTGTACAGTATACACGACCCTGAACAGACAATCGGATATCACGGCGTAATATGGAGAAAACCAGTCAAGCCTTTTGTATTCGTGCAGAAATTTCGTCGTCCACTGAGCCACCAGGGCAGGTCTGATCCTACTTCCCAGGTAAGTGAAGTGGTCGGCACACTCAACCACTACACTCACTCTTTATTGTTAGCTGAGCATTTGGGTGGTGAAAAACGCATCACACCTAGGTCCAAGGCTTGTTACCAACTGCTTCCATTCAACTAACATCTACCAAAGTGCATCGCGATGCTGAGTCTCCTAATTTGGTGGCCACATTGTAAATATGATTGATAGAATTCTGCATTAAACTAATTGGTTGCTCTCCTGTGTCCTATCAATGCATGTAACCGAGTGCTACAGGAGGTGAATCGCGGCCTGACTAGCACAATGGTGGCGTCATTGACTACAACACTGCAGGACACCGGTTCGAATCCCAAATTGGACACCACTTCGATCAGATGAATAGTCAGAGATGTTTACATAATAGGTAGCATGACGATATCTTCTAACTTATTCCAAGTGTTAATGAGATACACAAGATGTATGATGTGAGATCTGGAGTTCAACTGTCTGCATCCATTGGGTCTTGTCGCTAGATTTGTGTGAGAGACAGTCACTGCCTACATCAGTTTTACTGTTCACTAAAATGGATTAAAATACTGAATATATGATTCACTTTCACACTGGTCTCATTTGAGAATCTTCTCTTGCATAGATTTAACAGTATACTGACTTAGTATAAGGGTTTTTATATGATACCGTCGTTGATTGAACCGAATTGATCGGTCTCTATTGGCATATGGGCTCGTGTGTGGATGCCTCGATATTGTCAGCGTTCTAATTATGTTAATGATGGGTAGTGGCTAGCAGTGGAATCCAGGATGCGCATTTCGTCCTATTTTGGACTCGTCAGCTAGATGTATTTGCTTCCCAGTGAGTGATGTTGTTCCCACCGGTCCAATCAACGATGGTATGACATAAAAACTATTATACTATGACTAGTACATTGTTGTCGTTTATATCCTAGATCATTCCTAAATAATAACTGATTTTACGTGGAGAAAGAATCTATCTTATGAGTTCAAAAAATCGCTAACTTCCAGTTATATCAGTTGATAAAATCCCTGACTGTTAGTTTAAGCCGCATGGCGAAGATGTCTACTATTTGTCTAGGGTCTCCAAAACTATAGTAATCAGTGGTTGAGAACATTTAGTGATACGGTTGAAAATCGATCACAATGTCACAGATGTAATCACTTACTTCTTAACATCTTCTAAAGCTTAAATATTCGTACTAATTTTTATCTTCAAATTAATTCTTCTCTTATAAAAGTTTGCCTACTTTCATACAAATCTTTCCTGTTCATTTGTTCTTTGTATACTTCTTTGAAGTGTAACAACTTGAGGTGATGCACTTTTGTGCAAGATTCTACGTTGATTCTCTCCGTCTGTTTCACCGTCTTATTTAGGCATTCATGACAATATTATTATTATTATTTGTCCCTTGGGTTCCTAATGGAACATATGGCTTCAGTAGCACGTTTCCAGTGCACTCTGTTCTCTGCAAGCTTTTGAACCTGGTTCCACAACAGCCCAGAAGCTCTCATTTCTTCCTTGCACGATCTCCTCCATTTCACCCTCGGACGCCCAACTCGTTGCTTCCCATCTGGGTTCCACTCGAGGGTCTGGCGCGTGATGTCCTCAGCCGGCCTTCTCAGTGTATATCCAATCCAATCCATCTCCACTTCCCTCTGCATATTTGTTGAGCGATAGATTCTTGCTTAGTTGGTTCGTTACCAGAGTTCCTTGTCATGACAATGTAGACATTACTTTTCTCAATTATGAATAAATATCCATCGACCACTAAATTCATACTCTAGAGAGATAAACTGCCGTGAACTTTGGTTAGTTAAAGGAAATAACATATAGAAGGAGGGATACTATAAAGTTTCATCAATTGTGAGGGATCCCTGTGACATATGGGTTAACTGAATTAAGCTTATGGTGAAAAATTGAGTGGGGACAAACGTAAACATCACAACAACTCTCGAAGTCTGTGATTGGAGTTATGGCTCATTGGTTTGAGGAGTTGACTTTCAATCAATGGGTCACGGGTTCGAACACCGCCCCACCTATATATATATATATATATATATATATATATATATATATATATATATATATATATATACTGGGTAATGTGATTGAAGGTGAAATAGAGATTTCAACCACGGCCAGATTCGAACCCAGAGACCACCGCATTTCCTACCCGATACTCTACCAACTGAGCTACGAGGTCCGACTGCTCACCAGATTTTTATTTCACTTCAATCACATGCGAGGTTTTGCCCGACTACCATGTGAATTCATGGCGTGTTACTACCGCTTGGTTGCATTCACACTGGCTACCTAGTCAGGACTTCTCACCCAATCTGAATCTAACTGAATTAGAGAGGGGGAGCATCATATTGATTACTATTTGACTGCTCAACACACCCTTGACTAATTCAGTAGTTATTCATTTACAGCCTTATCAATGGAGTTAACATCCTAGTTTAACAGTTTATATTAAGCCTTTATAACACTGCTCACTTTGTAATCTAACCATAGAAGAATAATCTTAGAAGTAAAACCCCTTCAAATTATCTATTTCTTCTGCCTTCAAATGTAATGTCTCATACATTCCTAAAGTAAAACAGTGAACGGTTGGGCAATATCTATATTATCTCATAGATGAGTGTATAATCATGCGTCATTAAGCCTGATGTCACATTTCATGAGTAGAAAATCTATTCAATATATTCAAAAACTTTATTTCTTGATCCTTTAATTAGGTTAGGTTTCGATTTGTACGGCTCGATGGTCTACTAACTCAGTTATGAAACCCGGTTACTGACCAGATTTTTATTTCACTTTCAATCATCACCTAGTATCAATACACTAGTCTACCAGACCACGTCTATCTCGGGTGGTTGGAGACTCTAGGTGATATGACTGAGAACGGATATCAGTGGCGCGGATGTATCCCTGTACACATCCCCATCTTAACGATGCTATACTGAATCTCACCATTCTCTCATTCTCCATTTCTCTCTCTGTACTTTATATTTCTTTTGACTGAATTTTCTTTTCTTCATCTTCCACTACACTGCCTTTCTACTTGATGTGGTGATATGAGGTGTGGCGGAAAATTGGATCGTTACGCAGTAATGCCTGATCCTATGTTGATATTGATGATGATGACGTCTATCTCAGACAATCGAACTGGCCATGAATATCATGCTCCACTCCTCTAATTCAGTTACATTCAGATTGGGTGAGAAGTCCTGACTAGGTAGCCAGTGTGAATGCAACCAAGCGGTAGTAACACGCCATGAATTCACATGGTAGTCGGGCAAAACCTCGCATGTGATTGAAGTGAAATAAAAATTTGGTGAGCAGTCGGACCTCGTAGCTCAGTCGGTAGAGTATCGGGTAGGAAACGCGGTGGTCTCCGGGTTCGAATCTGGCCGTGGTTGAAATTTCCATTTCACCTTCAATCATCACTCAGTATCAATACTAGTCTGCCAAACTACGGCTATCTCAGATGGTCAAATGGTAATATATATAGGTCTGTGATTGATCTGATTTGTGTAGACTTTTTGGTTGGTAATTGTAAGACAGCCAAAATGGAATTTTTTAAAGACGGCTATGTAATTTGACTCAGAATCGATGAAAGTTGCGAAGATACGTCGATCTAGAGACTGGCTAACATTTGTAACTCATGATGTAGATATTAAAAGTGAGCTGTTTCAGTTGGCAAACGTTCCATTGTCATCGTAGACATTGTCACCAGTGCATCATAACTCCACAAAGAAGTAAAGACAGATAATTACAACGTGCTGTTTCTCCCTGAATGTGATTCGATCGGTAACTTGGAGAATTCATGAGAGTATGCTGAGTTTGATTCCTAAGCTTAAGAAATTCATACAAAAAGAACTCCCCTCTTCAGTAAAGAACACTACTCCAGTCGTAGCAAATCAACCAATCAGCATTAGACATCCTTCCTCCACTACACACGAGTCAACCAATCAGAACAAGGTGACCTTCATCAATTCATGTAAACAAAAACGGTGGACGAATGTCAACATGTTACAAACAAACTGAAACCATCCAGCTATGTATTCGCACACCTCTGTGAAAAAAGTAGAGGTGAGGATTCAACCAATTAGATTCAATGCACGCCTACACATTCATCAGGTGACCAATTAATTCACTTATGATACTGTCTAGTGTGACATCGAAACACTTGCCAACGAAAGCCTCAGCTCAGAGAAGAACAACCTACTATCAGCATGCACCTGTCTTCCTATCATAATTCATTGCTTACTTTATTTACTTTTATTTTTATTCTTTAGGCTTTGTACAGCGGTTGGTCACATTATTTTCATTTTCTTTTTTCCTTCTTCTTGCCTTTCATCTTAATGTGACATTGAACAACTTGGCCAGCTATGCAGTCCTGTCATATCCTATACTGATACTATCTCTTTATTCATTTTCAATGATAATTGAATTAAATCACTAGTCTTAGAAACAGGTTTCCTTTTCATAAACATTTTATTCTTATATGACCCTTTTAGATATGGAGATTGTCTGAACAAGAGTTGATGACCAGTTTCTGTGGTGATGTACACCCGAGTCGAGGTGCAGCAGCCGTAGCTGCTGCTGCTTTGTTTCGAGGTAATCAATCAGCTGCTATTATTGCAGCTACAAATCCAGGTATTTCAGATATTCATCTATTACCGACTGTTATTGGTGCATCACTTCTACATTCAAATAATCATTCAAAGAATATTAATAATCTTTCAATAACAGATTATGATTCATTGATACAACTAAATTCGTCTACATCTTTCTTACAATCTTTTGATCAATATCAGAAACAGTCTATTACTGCTGCATCTACAGCTTGTCGATTTTTAAGTTGTGGCGCTGATGGTGGTCTACGTATGCGTTCATTAATTGTTCGACCGAAGCCTTTTATAGTTTATTAATGAAAGAACAATAATACTTGAGTAGTGTAGAAGTATAAAACATAAAGCATAATATTTATCATGATTTTAAATATTTGTTAGGTGAATAATCCTGTTTATTTGTTTGTTTTTCCTCTTTCATCAGCATACATTCCATATACTACTTCAACAAATACTACTTATTATACTACTTATATTCATTTATCATGTGATTCCGATATTCTTAAACTGTCTCCTTTTATCTGAACAATGCATACGTCCTTATTTCCTTCTTATATATATATGTGTGTGTGTATGTGAATGTTGTTCTTCATTTAGCCAACTTTTATATGAAGTTGGATTTCATTAACTTATAATGACTGTTGCAGAATGCAACGAATGGATATACCTGTAAACACATATCGATAATATCTGATGGCGTTCCTTCCCATCGTCTCACTTGTAGACGTTAATATTGTTCAATTTGGGGATTTATTGATTAATTTCAAGGTTGGTATTCATCATGGATTGATATTAATTGGAGAGACACTAGAAATCTGGATTGCTGTTTTGTTCTGAACAGTGCGCAGTTATCATCCCGCCCCCCCCCCCTTCCTTCACGTCCTGCGGCCAGCACGTTACCAATGAGCGACTTGATCAGAATGCAATTTTTTCTGTCAGTGCAACTCTTATCCAACGCCGACATTGAGTATCTGTCGTCATATCCGACTATGCTGACCCCATTGGTCACAACTTCTCACTAGAACTTTGAAAATCACCTCTCGAAGCAAGTCATCAATCAGCACCAAATTGCGACTGTCTTTTGGTAAAAAAATCAGCTTCGATCAGTCGATTTACTTTTGTGCGTTACCGGCAACTCAGTCAAATTTGCTCATACATAAAAGATACAACTCAAACAAACCTGTAAGTGGTTGTGAAATCATCATTCACTGTCCATTGATAAGTGAGTACAGTATAGCTGCTAAGACATAATACTAAGCTGCACCGTACTTTAGATTACATTCATGTGAAACAATAAATAGCTTCACTCTGTTGATTCCATAAATCATCCGCTTTAAAGATTTTCAAATAAGGAACAATGTTTATCGATTAGAACGTAGATAAAACGCTTTCTGAACTGAAGTTACAACTGATCGATATTCATATACACGTCATCATCATCATCATTATCAACATAGGACCAGGTATTACTGCGTAACGGTCCGAGTTGCCACACCTCATATCAGCACATCAAGTAAAAAGGTAGTGAGGTGAAGGATGAAGATAAGTGAATGCAGTCAAAACAAATATAAAGTACGAGAAGAAAGGAAAAAGGAGTGACAAAATAGTGAGATTCGGTATAGCGTTGTTAAGATGAGGATAATGTGTGTATACATCTGCGCCACTGACTTCGGTTCTGAGCCATATCACCTAGGGTCTCCAACCACCAGTGGTTCCTCTTGTCCCGTGGACCCCAACCACCTAGTCTGCATCGTCCTACATGGCTTAAACCAACAGTCAGAGACTTCATACATTGGTGCCATGTTTTAGTCTGGCCACCTCGGGCCTTTTTCCAGCCTGGACCCACCTCAGCCATGTTAGCTGTAAAATCTTTATTGCTGAGCACTGGCTGAAATCCCGACCGACAGCTACTGCCTTGATGTGGTGTTTAGGCTTGCATATCACAACGACCCAACCAGCTACAATAGTTGAAACGATAAAGGTCTGTTGGACAGTGATTAGACAAAAAGAAGTTAATGCTGGTTGGATCTGAGTGTGACAGCAATAGGCTGTTTCAATCGGATGACCAGGCGTACTACACTGATGCTGCTATCACTCCGGAAAGCCGAGGAGGGGTTTAAAAATGTCGGCCACGGAAATAGAACACTCACATTACCTCGCCGCATGCCGGCGATAGCCACTGCTTTCGATCTTGCTTGCAATGATGTAAATCTTCCTTTCATTTTTACTCATAACCTTGTCAACATACATAATTTATCGTTGTAAAACATGTAGGATGTTAAAGGATTGTCACAATATGTGACCCTACTTCTTGATACTGATTATTTCTCATTTTCTTCATACTCAGTACTAGCCTTCTCACATCATTCGGCCTCTGTTTTAGTGTTGCAGCTAAGCTTCTAGCCTTAGACAACTTTAGTTGTGTATACACGCAACTAGTTGGATGTTAAAAGGAGCTGGACAAGATTGATTTGAGAAATCGACTTTCAAGTTTTAGGTATGAATATGTGAACAACATTTTTGAGTGGATTTCGACTCGATTCGACTTTTCGCTCTATCATTTATTGCTTCGTACTTGATGTTATCTGCAGTACCGTTTAGCAACAGTATCAGTTCCCTTTACTATCTAGAAAATCAAGAATAACGACAACAGTACACATACAACTTTTTTCTCCAACTTTGAGCACATTTTTTATTTCACAATGAATTAGAACAAAGTAATAATTCTAATCACTAACATGCATGTATATATGTATGCATATTCATGTATATGAATCAATTATAAACTTAGAGAAAACACTGCAGCGACAGAGAAAAAATAAACACATACACTATTTCTTTTTCAAGTATAAAATTGGTTCCTAATTTGCGAACATACATTTTAAAAAACTTGTGAGTAGTTGGAACATACAATGATTAGAGGGATGCTGAAACTGTTATGCGTCCGTGTATAGTCGTAACAAAAAGGTTTATTCCAGCATAATGAAAGAAAAATTGACGCGGATGAATGCAGAAGGAGGAGGAGTGACTGTGATAAGACGTCAAAATATGTTTTATCAACATCGGATAGCAGTTCCTACAGCCATGAACATACCAAAAGTACTTCCACCTTGAAACATACCTTTGCCAACAGTGTAAATTAATTCACGTCCACGTAAACCGTATCTACAGTGGAGAAATCAAGTTTATTCTATGAAAGCAACATATTACACTTGATAAAGCTGACGGAAATAGAGATGCAGAGGAAAATTTACTCATGGAAAAGCCAATAACACACTGAAGTAAAAGGCAATAAAGTTTTTTAAAAATTTGGAGTGAAACAACGATGACGATCGTGATAAAGGTAACGCGGGGATGCAACGCTACTAATGACGTATAGCTTTAAATCGTTAATTTCAGCCGTCATCATGATCCCCTACATATCTGAAACCGATAGTCAGAGACTTTACCGACTGGTCCCATCCTACGTTTAACCTTTATCCAGCCTAAGCTACTTACTTTAGCTAACACTGTGCAGTTGAGTGGACAGTGGTTAAGTACACCTAACATATATCCCACCTACCTCAGTTAGTCGATGAAGGTGAACAACCCTATCAACTAACTCACCTCCATCACCCAAACCTCCCTACATCGGACATGCCTGACGACAGAGTAACTGTTACTTCCATTAGCTGAGATAAAGACGGATAACTAACGAATAGGAGAAAGTTAGTGGAAATAACCAGTACAAAGAACACTACAGGATAATTAGCTGTCTTAATAAAGCTCTTCTAAAGAGTGAAAAGCAACTCTGCAAAATCCACATACAAGTCATGGTAAAAAATAATACTGACGGAAACATTGTACTGCAAATGTATAAGTTTGCTTACCTTAGACAACTGAATCCACCGAATATAGCACCGCTTGCTACACCAACGCAAAATCCCATTAGAAATCCATATTTAACTTTGTCAAAACAAGACGGCTGGGACGTTCTTCCATATAAATTGGGAGCGACTGGCATAATTTTGAGTCTACAGAAGCAAAGTGAAATTTAAGATTTGTCATTTGCCAAGACGAAAATTACGGTATAGCATAAAAGGTAAAATCACCAGAGAAGACTTTAAAACAACCTACTACATATTTTCAACCCATTCCACAAATGCCATAGCATACCGCTATTACTTGTATCAATCCCTTCGTTGATTGAACTGAATTGATCGGTCTCTATTAGCATATGGGCTCTTGCACGGTAGCCTCGATAGTGCCTGTCATCCCAATTATATAACTATGACGAATAGTGGCTAGCAATGGAATCCAGAATGTGTGTTCCATCCTAATTAAGACCCATCAGCTAGATGTAACTGCCTCCCAATGAGCGATGGGTCCCGAGTTGGAGTCTTGTTGGGAACAACATCGCTTACTGCGAGACAGGTATATCCAGCTAACGAATCCCAAGTAGGAAGAAACGTGCGTCCTGGGTTCCACTGGTAGCCACCATCCATCATAGTGATCTTCAAATATCTCGTCAAACCGACTGTTTTCACGATGAAGGAATGTAATGTAGCTGACCAACAATATGCATATCATAAGCCACATCCATCACTAGTGGTACTGGCTGCCTAAATCGTGGCATGTATAGTTAGAATTAGCAATACCAATTAAGAATGCAATGTAGACGCATAAACTCCTGTAATTTGTAAGCGCAATCATAGAACACACGATGTTAGAATTTTCTAGTAGTTGGTTGATTTAGTTTTTTTTAAAAGATATTCACCTCAACACTGATAGCCTCGTTCACTGCATACGACCCATGCCACCAATATTCCTCAAACACTGATTCCTATTGTCTCGGGGACCCCAAGCCAGATAGTCTACAACTCCCAACACGCCTCAGACCAACAATTAGGAAGTTCATCGACTGGTGCTACATCTTGATTTGATTAACCTGAATCCTCTTCCAACCTAATCCAACTTTTCCTAGCATTGCACATCGAAGGAGGCGGTGGGCTCGACATGCCTAGTACACATCCAAGCCAACTTAGTCGACTAAGGTTCACAAACCCATCAATCGACTTGCCTGTCTTGCCTACTACGTTTTTTTTTATCTCTATATTGTTCAAACAGTGGTTCCACCATACATGGACAATGCTACGAAGACACCTATTATCAAAATCCTGTAAGCGGTCCATGTCTTCTACTTTCAGCGGCCATGTCTCACAAGCGTACAAGACGGCAAGACAGACTTCGGTGCAGTACACTCGTACTTTGATAGATACCTCGGACACTAATACTCACACCAATATCCAAGTTGCAAATAATAAAGATCGAATACTATGCAGTTAATACCCGTGACTACCGAAATTGATTTGATGGTAAGAACAAGTTGTGAATCAGTAATCCTATCTCAGAGTCAATCACCATCAATAATGTTGTCAATCTCACGACGACAGAGTCAAATGGGATGATAAACTTCGACTACTATCTTTATCTGTTGTCAAGAATGAAGTGATTATTGTTCCTACCTACAACATAAACTGGGTACCAACAAAAATCACAAAAAAACAATCTAGTATTACTGCTGAATAAGAGAGGAAAGATAGAGGAGTCAAAAAGGAAGCAAAACTTGGAGGAAATACAACAAAAATGGACCAAGCAGTGATGAAACTCAGTATGTTGGTTAAGATGAAGTTGGTGTGGATATACTTCGCCAGTGGGATCATCTTTGTGCTATAGTCCCTCATAGTATCCAATCACAGTCGCAAACCACGAATTTCAGTTGTCAGATCACACAGTAGAACAGAGTGAACTGCAACGCAGTACATAGGCAGTTGGATATCCTAGGGAGCACCATAAATGGGATTAGTTGGCAGAGGCCAGCCAAGCCCTTCGCAACTGTGGGAGGGGTTCATCGGCCACTGATATCCCAGGACTAGTCCAACTTTCCGGGTGAGTGAAGTGGTCAACGCACTCAACCGCTTCACCCACTGTTGTTAAACAACGAACCGGCGAAGACCAGTCCTGGAGCAACGATTTGCGATTAGGTGGTGAGGAACGCATCTTAGACATTCTCATATTGCCGCTTAAGGTGTCGTTAAGAATCTGTATCTTCTCAGTCTCTTCAACCAATAGGACTATATCGCCTGAGTTTTCGAGATTTACCAAGGATTCTCCTGTGGCCCCGTCAATCCCTGTAAGGCTAGAGGACGAGAGGGAAACCTCCACAAGAACATCTATCAGAAGGTTGAATAAGAATAGGGGCATAGAATATCTTAGACGAACATCACTCGAAGTATACAACTTACTTAGTAACTCACCATAAGCCCTAACGCCAGCAGATGTTCAAATGCCAAGCCTTCAACAGAGCGATGTACTTATCCAACATACCTTTTCAGTGACATATTGCCTTGAGACCTCCGGGTGGACAGAGTCAACGAAGACGGAAAGTACAGCTAGTGTTCGGCGTCAGTAAACGTTCCTGTGTTCCAGGACCTGATGGAGGGTGAATATTTGCTCAACAAACACACAGGACCAGATCCGAAACCTGCCTGATTTTCTCGAATTTGCTTTTCCGGGTTTCACCAAGATGTCTAGTAAGAAGAGCATCGAAAACCTTGGACACCATGATCGTTAGACTGATTCCCCTGTTTGTTGAAGACTCAGACAGCCGCTGATTGAGACCAGTTAGAGAGGATCACATGTGATTTCTATATACACTAGCTAACAGTTCAGTTAAGATGACCAACAATCCTCCATCTCCGTCCTTAAGTACCTCCAGTGCAAGATCACCTCATTCTGCTGCTCTTCCTCATTCCAGGTTTTACCTATAGCCTTCTCAACTCCTGCAACAGCTGGAGGGCTTATCTCAGTATTTCCATTCAGGATCCGACTACATAAGGAACAGAGGAGTAGCAACTCGAGGCCAACTGAACTGTTTGTCCCACCCACTGTTCCAGTCGATTCTCCTGCGAGTGACATAAACCCACTTTTCTCCGCCACAGTCTTACTAACTGCTGCTCTGACCTTTTGCTTCAGTTCCGTTGATAAATCTAAAGAGCTATCTAACTCTACCTATCGCCAGTGCCTTTTCCATTGCCTTAGCCTTCTCTGCCCATCATTGCTCATGGTAATTGTGTAGACTTCTTGTTGGTCTACATTTGAGTTGCTTTCGCTCCTCATTGCCCTCGATTCCTACAAGAATACGTTCAAGTCTATCCATTATTTAAGAAGTTGCTGAGATTCCTTGACCCTTACCAACCTCTTCTTGAAAATCAATTACCGTCTTCAGCGCTGTTTTCATAATACCAGGCTTTCTTCGAATGAGCGACGGTGTTTTGTTCCAATAACCGTCTAGCCATGCTAGCGTATTTATTAGACGTGATGAAGTAAGATTTAATCAACCAGATATGCGACTGTCTTAGACTTAAACGTGTCTTTCACCTAAAGGGATACCGAATAAGTTCATCACAGTTGAAGGCTGTTTGCCCGAAAACCCGTTGGCATATCACAGATTATGGTGAGTTATCAGGTGAGCTATGCACATTGAATGATCCTCCATCAATGCTGTCAGTTATCTCCATTCTTGTTTAATTTTGTCACAGATGTTCTTATGGAGGTTTCTCTCACATCAGCTGACATCACAGAAATTGATCTAATCACAGAAGAATCTTTGGTAGATTTAGAGTATGCAGATGACATAGTCCCGTTGGGTGAAGAAAGACAAGATCCAGTCTTCTGGACACGCGTGGCAATTTGAGAACGTTTGAGATGCGTTTCTCAACACCCAGATGTAAATAGTTCCTCCAGGACTCATTTTCAGCGGTGCCACGGATTACAATAGAGAGCGAAATGATTTAGTGCGTTTACCACTTCACTTACTTGGAAAATTGGATCCGCTGTGGTGGGTCAGTTGGCTGATGAAGTTTCTGCACACATATAAGAGGCTAGATTGGGTTTCACCAACTTACGCCATGTAGTGTAGCCGAGATATCCGATTGCTTATTAAGGGTCGAGCGCATTGCGCTGCAGCTCACTCTCTTCTGCTGTATGACTGTGAAACATGGTCATTAAAGGTAGAGGACATGGAGTTTCTGATGTCTGACCACTGTTGCCTTTGTAGCATAGGCTGCGTCGTGGTGTAACCACATCAGCAAAGCAGAAGTCAGGCGTAGAGTTTTAGGGGGGACAGAGGAAAGTCAGTTGATTAGGTCATGAACCCCCATCGACTAATATGGTCGGGAAGTGTGTTGCGTATACCTAGTCACCATCTGCATCGTCACACAATGTTGGCTAAAGTATGTTCAGGCTGTAAAAACGCTTGGAGTAGCCAGATTAAAATATGGCATCACTGCATAAAATCTTTGACCGTTGGTTTGAACCATGTGGAGAGGTGCAGACTAGCTCGTAAGGGTCCACAGGACAACAGAAACCAGTGGTTGGAAACTCTAGGCGATACGGCTCAGAACCGATATCATTGGCGCAGATTTATCCGCACATTATCTTCATCTTAACCGCCATACCGAATTCAGCATTTTCTCATTCTTTCTCTCTTTTACTGCATTCTATTGCTTTTGGCCGACTTTTCTTTCGTTCTTCATTTTTCGTTTTATCACTTAGTTACTTGTGCTGATATCAGGTATGACAACTTGGACCGTTGTGTACTGCACAGCAGTCCAGTATGTTCTACTGCATGGCTATGAAACATGGCCATCGAAGGTGGAAGACATGAGAAGGCTTCAAGTGTTTGACCATCACCGCCTTCGTAGTATACGCCGTATTCCGCGGTGTCACTATATGAGTAATGCAGAAATCAGGAGTAGAGTTTTAGGGAGTAGAGGTAAATCAGTTGACGATGTTATGAACCTCCATCGATTGAGATGGTTAGGACACGTACTACGTATGCCTAGTCACCGACTGCCTCATCACACAATGTTGGTCGAAGTAGGTCCATGCTGGAAAAAGCCCCAAGGTTGCCAGACTAAAACATGGCACCAGTGCATGAATTCTCTGACTGTTGGTTTGAACCATGTAGGGGCGATGCAGACCAGCCGGTTGGGGTCCGCGGGACAAGAGGGACCAGTGGTTGGAGACTCTAGGGGATATGGCTCAGAACCCATGTCAGCAGCGCAGATTTATGCACACATTATCTTCATCTTAACACCATACTGAATCTCACCATTTTGTCATTCTTCCTTTCTTTCTTCTCGTACTTTATATTTCTTTTGACTGAATTTTCTTATATTCATTTTTCACCTCACTATCCTTCTACTTGATGTACTGATATGAGCTGCGGCAACTCGGACCGTTAGGCAGTAATGTCTGGTCCTATGTTGATATTGATGATGATGATGACTTGGACCGTTAAGCAGTGATGCCTGGTCCCATATTGTTATTGATTTATGTCTGGCACACATTCATAGTGTTCATGAAATATCGTCCCACGATTACAGTGACTACATTATAAACGCATTCTGAAAGCTACAAACGGGATGAGACTGGATGGACACACATGCCAGACAATACAGGCACTCACCTTACGAAATGTTTCTTAGGAATACATGTGCTCAGAAAAGGTCAATCCATAATTCACTAACCAGAAAATTAAACTGCCTATAGTGAATAAATAATCCAATATGAAAGACTACAGTATTTGCAGTCACTTCTGGTTAAAAATGTCAGTTACACATATCAAAAGCTGCAAATCTCACTGCTACAGAACAAGGAACTACGAGATTTCACATCTACACCAGCTGCCCTAACTTCAGCGTTATTGGCCTGTTTAAACACAATCTCAAAGATAATCAAATCTAAAGCAAGATTCGCCTATTATGAATTATGATGCTAATGCTTAACCATCTTATTCGGTATCGCCTATGAAACCTTAAAGTATCTCCAAACTTATTGATGATCGGCTGTGTGCGACGATTAATAACATCTTACGTATTATTGGTCATAACCATGGTCATGCCTACATAACGTTTTTTTATGCAACTCTTGTTGTATACAAAATATATTATTATCAACTCATATGGGGCAAAGTGTATCCTGACAGAAGTCATAGCGATCAGAAGTAATACTTTACAAGACTTATTTCGAAATCTCACACGAATCATCTGTATTTGGGTGGTTTTACACTACGAACATATTTCAATACCCGTGACAGATTTTTTAAATGGTGACTAAAATAAAACACATAGATTGAGTCACATCCAATACATTTGCAGGAATGAAGTTGGTTCTTGGTTCAAAGAAATTACTCAGGAGTCTTCGTGCAAAAAGTCCTCTGCCTGTGATGATTAACATCAAATATAGCTATCGATACAGTTCAAACAACAGCTACCCAATCCTAAATACTAACCCAGTCTTGTAACAACGGCAATTAGAAGCTGAAAAACGTGTCCTAAACAATCTCGAAATATTCTACTCAGTATCCAAAAGACTACGTCTTGTTAGCGGACTCCAGATTGACTAAGAAATATTCTATAACGGCTGTCCATCTGTAATATCGTACTGTGATACAGTATTATTTGCGAATACATCACTCGGGTAAGAATATCAGCAACGAACCGCACGAAACTTTATCCAGTAAATATTACTTAGGCGTTATATCCAATATCAAATAAACAATTCTATATGAAACTAGGCCCTACTACAGTGACCCAATTTCAATATTTTATTCCCTAAAAGAACTGATCTGACTACAGGCAAAGGAGGAATGGAAGAGTTCCATATGCCCTTTCACTGAATAACACCTCCCGATAGTCGTCACTTCCTGTAAGTTGACAAGTAGTGGACCATGCAGAGCGTCATGATCATCTGAACTTAAGATAATGACCAGCCATCTTTATAAGTCACGGATATCTTAGTATTCGTTTGTAGTTACTCGACATAAAACGAGAAGTTTACTCAAAAATGCCTAGTAAGCGATAGAATTTCTATAAGACCCCATGGACTAGTTCCGTGAAACCGTGGTCAGCATGATAACTATAATAAAAAAACATATCTAAATTCTCAAGGAACTAACCGAAACATAAATCACACAAGACAACTCAACACACAATAGTAGTAACGTTAGAATATGAGAAAAAACTGCCTGGAAGGTGAAGAAAACCGTCCAAAAGAACTAATAATCGTAAAACACAAGCTGCTCCTAGCTTTTAAAACTTTAAACATACCGTTTTAGGTAATCCGAAAAAAACGAAAGCACAGACGCGAAGTCACTAATGAATCAAGCAATTAGCAGCTGGCCAATTGAATGGCTCAGCTGTATATTACAGGCGTGTACAAAAATCGGCAGGCACTTTTATAAAGCCGCTGGAGGGTTAAAAAGGAATGTCCATAGTGAAGTCGCAGGCATACCGGGAAAACCTTGAGCTCTATTAAGGTGACCCTACCCTATTTTTGAATCAGCGTCAACCGCACATGGTCTTGCCTGGAAATGTGACCGCGTAAATCCTATTCTAACTGTTTTTAGTTGCTGGCACCCCCGTGGAAGTTAGCCGGATGGCATTCAGACATTTTATGAAAACCGTAGGTAAGCCAATATATTCACGAAAAAAGTCAAAGTATGTTGGTTGTTTAGCATAATTAGAACTGAACTGACCACACGCTACTGAAGCCAACTACGGAGAAAAAAAATAACGCAGCCACTCGTATGATTCCAGAGACGGCTGGCCTCACCTATGAACACCGACTAAAGGACCTGAACCTCTTCACTTTGTCCTATCGCGGAAAGAGGGGAAACCAAATTATGCTATACAGGATTCTAAGAAATGACTTCGGACCTGACATATCTTCTCTTTTCCTTCTCACTAGGTTGGAACACCTCAGATAACATAGTAGGAGACTACAAAAGCAAAGAACGAATATAGTCTCCGCAAAGTACTGGTTCTCACGTTGTGTAATCAACGCCTGGAACCGACTCCCAGAAGAAGTAGTGTCCGCATTACTAACTGACTCGTTCAAAAGGGGATTGGACAAGCACATAAATCTACTGGAAAAGGATTATTATGGGCTTCCAGCCTCCTATCCTCAAACAACAAATCTGAATCTATGTTGAAATAAAGCGACAGTCATAGCGGAATGCAAAATATTTTACACTTTCACGCCTTTTCACCCCTATGGTCGCTTTTCCTTCCAAAGTCGACTGGTTTAAGTAATCCCATTTCTCCCTTAAAGTCGCTTTCCCTTGCACATCCACTATTCTTCCCAACGAAAGCAGCTCAGAAATCCGCTTTCCTTCTCCCCTATCACGCCTCCCTAAAAAACTCTCAGCCTACTGGCTTTCTCCCCTGGTTTCCTCCCTTTTGAAAGCTTGGGTACAGATCAGCACACCTACACTATAGGCATAAGAGTAGTGACTTGTCACTGCCATGATATCATGTCAACTTTCCCAAAAATACCGATGTATTTCTATACACTCATCACTTCATTTGTTGCTTCACGTTCACTACATGCAATTCCATATATATATATATCGTTAAGTAAAATTACGAAGTTGAAAATGAGGATCGAAAAGGAATAAAGAGTAGTGCATACACACATATTTACTCACTGTAACACAACTTAAAAAGGCGCTGGACGGTCAAACACAACAACACACGGATAAGTACCAAGCAAAAGCCTGACGAGCCAAACAAGAATTTGAAAGTCGCAGACTGTTGTTTTAAATATTCAGCATTGGCACTATACACGTCTTTATAGGAGAAGGGGAGGCTGTACATTGTTTGTTATTTCGCTTCTTTAAGGTCATTACACTTGTTCACTACTCTCTCGAATGCGTTAACTAATGGCATGAATAGATTCAAGTAGTTGGTAGTGAAACAAACAAAGCTTTCGCTTCTCTAGCTCCTAATTTGTCTTCAGTAATAGCTATAGCAACCCAGTTATCCTGTGGTAGACTATGCAGAAGATATCTCTTTAAAGATCTAGTTTCCCATTCAGCGCGCTGAGTGAAGGCGATGGTACAACTTGCTGAGGTAAGTATGTAGCGTTGCACACTTCTCCAGAATCACTAGCCCAGGGTTCCACGTGATTCAACGTCGATGCTGACCTTCACTAAGCTGAAGATACACGGCCGAGCAGCGACGCTGTTTGGCATGCCATCGTATTACGTCGCACTGCTTGTAGTCAACTCCCCGGCTATCTAGTTGGAACGCATCGGGATTTCTGCACTTCTCGAATATACAATTCCATCTGGTCACGCCATCATGTTCCTTCTTGATCTCCTGCTCGTGGGTATATTACAAGTAAAAAAATCAGTGACTGGCCTCAGCACCCGCCAAGTTCTCACAAGGAAAATTCTTAAAAGTGCTCCCAGTAGTTGGCCAAACTATGGGAGAAGCCACGATTCACGCCAAGTTGATACGATTCCGAGTTTTCGCGTCTGTAGTGATGCCTCACATAAAATCAATCGTACTCCAAGAGAGAAGATAGTGTACATCATCGCTGAGTCGGTTGTCGAGGGTACGGAATGACAGTGTGAGGTCACCAGTTTTCCTACGGTAAGGCGGCGGGAATAGTTCTCGCCAACCTAACCCTCATGGGATAGATTCGGAAGGTCTGCCACAAGCTTAGTATCTACCCTCCTAACACACTTGAGCTCGTCAGCATCCTTTTCTGGGCATGGACTGGCTACCAGAATGCAGAATTGAGGCCTAACATATGTAGAACAGAGTATCCAGAAACTTTCCCGATCAAAACTTTTCAAAGCTCTTTGGGCGGACCATGACACACAGAGGTATTCTGCTTCGGATGCATTGCAGTATGCAGTTTTCGTGTCGTGGCTTCTCGTGAGCCCTCAGTCCTTCAGTCCCGAGGCTGTGAGTAGCGGTGTGCAACGAATGAATACTGGAAACAACTGCTATGACAAATGTGCATTGTTGCACTTTTACTGGAGTTAATTTCCAGGCATCATAGCCTGAGCTGACCAGCTTTTTTTCGCCCGAATCTGCTTCAAGTGCATACCCACCAGAATCACTACTTGTCACTTTCCAAGCTTTCACACCACTGGTAAGTAGCAGCACCGAAGAGTTGAGCGATTGTGGCAATTCGCTGGCATATAACAAGAAGTGCAGGAGGTCTAGGATCGCTCCTCCAGGCTTTCGCCTGGACAGTGCTTTATTAACCCCCAGTGTTTGCCTTCTTTCATGCAGGAAGTCCCTATTTCGTGCTTGCAGAGTCTCTGGTGATGTAGGGGATACTGCATTTCTGCTTTGCGGATCGCTTAACATGACTGGCTACTTGGCTGTTTTCATGACTCGAAGGTCTTGTTATTTCTTCTGGTTTTATGAACGGCTGACGGCGTATACATCGTGCCGGTAGGAAGATGAACGGAAGTTTGTTTCCCATGGTGAGCAAAGTAAAGGGAGTAGGAATGGTCAAACGTAGGTAATAGGGGTGGCAAGGAGGCTGGTTAACAACTAAACATGCTTCTCCCTCATCACCACCTACCTTTATTACTTTAGCCATGACCAAAATTCATCAAAATTACCCTGGGATGTGGAGATTAGGTAGCGGTTCCATGTTTTAAGTGTGCAGCAGGTATACCAGGGAGGGCTGAGAGAATAGGGACTAAGGTAAACAAGGTTCCCTTAGTGTCCCTTATCGAGAGTGACTAGATCAACTTGACTCGCTTGCGCCATCTTTACGTGGGTGGCAGAGAGACTTTAAGCTACCCTACGTTTTCTTTAGTAATGATCTCGGCGTAAATTGGCCTGGCTAATTCTCTCCCAATAAAACTGGTCATCTGGGAGAAAATCACGGAAACTTTCAAGAACCTCAGCTGGTTAGCCCGCATTTGGAACTTTATTTGCTTACCGGACGGCAAACCAGCAAAATTCCTCTTGGATACGCATGGTTTCTGCGCCTCCCATTGACGCTTTCAAGGTATAGTCGGATGTTTACGGCGCTAAACCGTGCAGCGGTCAATATAGGCCACCTGGTGAACTACCTCCTGAAAATAGTACCAGATACTAGAGTTACAGAAGGAGTGGTATCTACGTTGAAAAGAAGTACAATTTAGCTGCACCTAAGCATTTCAACTCTTGCTGGGTAATAACACAAAGAAACTGTGTTCCTTGTTAATAGCGAGATGCTTCAAGTTCCAGGTGTTTATCCCATTTTTACCGCGATGTTGAAACCTCTCCCCGTTGCCGGGTTCAATGAGGTTTTTCACTGTCAGAGTTATTCCCTTTTTCCAGTTTTGCATCATATGTTTTGATACTTTACTTCCCTGTATGTCACCAAGACAGTGGCCTCTAAATAAGGTAGGTAGGAGGCGGAGTTGCCGTTAATCTGCTTGGGTTGGCATACGGTGTGAAGCGCGTGGCTGCTGATTCCCTAACACTCTGAAAAGTCTGATACAGGGTGAGTACGCTAGACCCACCGCGCCGGTCACAAGTAACACCGTTGTGCGCGTAGATCTGAATTCAAGGGCTTACCCCGGGGTATTCGGCATAACAATGGAGGTCAAAAGAGAGCTGACGACAGGCCCCAAGAAACCAAATGAAAATCCGAGAAATCGGGGATGGCGCTCAGTAACGAAGAACTCGGATCTTAAAAATCGACAGAGGGGATGCTTACTCAAGTCATTCAACAGCAGCAACGAGTTGAGTTGACTGAAAACATGCTGGGTCTCAGAAATGCAACAAATTCGACGGCCTCATAGTTCTTTTGGGAAATGCTTTCCGTAAATAATGGGGCAGGAAGTGGGATAGTTTTACTTGTCGCTCATTTTTCAGGTCTAGCCGATCACTTTTTCATTCTAGTGAGATTCTAGTAATTGCAATTTTCAGCGTACATCATGCCGTCAGCAGTATATAGGAGGTGCATAAGTTTCAGGGTCACGGCTGTAGCACACGCCCCGTCTTCAAGAATATTCGACGGTCCAGATAATGGCTGAATAGGTCCTAGTTTCGAGCTAAACTTGTTTTTTCCAGCTGAACGATAATGCTGGTGCTTCAAGCTGCTTTAGTGTCTTTTTCTGCGAGACACTGGCGTTCTTCCTTTAAACTCATCACTCATGTGCCTCAAATAGGGATGTGTAGCATGCCGTGTGTTACTGATCAAAAAAACATGCATACTGCCAGTGGTCATGCCTGTAAACTGGCTTGTTTCTGCCAAACTTATGTCGTGTTAGAAATGTACGTGCTATTATATTATAAGGGCTTTACTTCATCCTTTTGGGCCTGTTTTCCTTCTCTTCCTCCCGGTTACGCCAAAAATAATTAGATATGTTTTGATCCAGAATATATTAGGGGTAATGCATCGCAGATTCGTTATCATTACTCTTTACTGCATTTTCTTTGGTAAGAATAACGAGCTCTTTACTGACTGGAATAAGCTCATGTTGGGCAGTGCAAAAGCAGCTGACAACCCAAAAGTAAGGGGTATGCAGAAGTATTTTCGTTTGAAAGTTACCTGCGGTAATGGCCACGTCAACCATGCAACTAGGTGTGAAATCATAGAACTGACAGCCGCCTACATATGAAGACTAACAGACTAACAGGTCGGAAGATTGGGCGCGAGCAGGGCAATGTAGCACGATAACGTGTCAAATGTCGTGGATGCTTGGTCAAGTGCTTCCAACTTGGCGAGCCCGTTAAAGCTATAAGAGCCAGGGACAACACTGAGTCTCTCCGAACTTCAGGCAGGTGGTTTTCAGGAAATGACTGCGGCTACAAGGCTTTAGCTTTTGATGATCAGATGTACTGTTGCATACGCGATTATCAAACGAGTAAAACATTATTAGTACTGTTGTTCGAGGGGGTCATCAACACAATCCCCATTTATGGAGTGCACCGTTGACACGGAAAATGGGATTTTACTGTTAGGTAGTGAATAGTTGGGAGGGTTTTATTTATGAGAGAATGAAGCCAAAGAAGGCAGGTGAAACGTAAAAAGCTAACCACTGTCGTCTATTTATCGTATAGTTGTTTGAAAACACTATTGGGGTTGCTATGAAATGTAGAAATTTGCGAACGGTGCTGACTTCGAAGGTAGTTTCAGGAGAGTGCACTCCATTAAAATGCGATGTCCATGTAATGTTCTAAGTTTTGTCGTGTGAACGCATCATTATCGGGTTCACTTCGTGTGTCTTCATAAATAACTGAGAAGTTCTGTGGTTGGACTTCTTAGGAGTAAGAAGTGATGACGATATGTCAAGTGTTTTATAGGGTCAAACAGTGTGTTATTTCTGCTGTTGAAGCCTGTATCAGAATTCAGGTGTTACTCAAGCTGATAAAACTGAAACACCGATGATTGCATTAGGACAATAGGAATAGTCCGAATTGACCTGAACTTTGTTAAAAAAGGATTCGGGAATCTTGCACAATTTTTCGAAACCGTGCTTTACACGGTGCATGCAAATAAGTAGGGAGACAAACTTTCGGTAACCAATTTTTATCACCTTATCAACCTAGTAATATAATATATTTCGAATAACACCACGACACCAAGCTGAGAATGTTCTTCTCACTGTAGTTTACATTTTGGCTAGCAACCAGCCACTTGTAATTATTGTTTAAACTTGCCTGTTATTCGTTACACCATGGATCAAAATTCTGGTCTTAGACCTTCAGACATACGCCTCAGAGTTCAGTGACGAATAAAGTAAGCTAATAGCTCGTTTTAATCTCAGCGGTAGTTCCATCTATGGGGACCTAGTCTATCCTCTCATGTGGCAAAGGAGGACCTGCAGCCACTTGCTTCAGTACCGACCAGGAGTCGCCGATACCTTTGTGGGAGGACCGGCATTGCCTTCGCAGGTGCTCCAGCAGCATCTCTTAGGTCTGTTTCTGATGGCCCTTGGAAAGACAAGAGACGAAAAGCATCAATACCTTGGTCGTTAGTCAGGATACAGAAGACGAGACAAACTTTCTAACAGTAAAATGAAGTTCAGTCAGCGGACGGTGAGATACGCTTATATTTCATTTTCCTAGGCTTCGGTAAGGCATCCAACAATGTACCCCGTTCCAGATTATTTATGAAACTGGGGGGTTTCGAATCCAATCCAATCTACATTGCACGGACCAGACAGTTCTCTGTTGGAGGCCACCTCTTAACTCTTCTTAGAAATCTGCGCAGAGCGCGGTTCTGCAAGACTCAGTTTTGTACCCTCAACCATTCCTCCTGTTCCGAAGTGAACTGTTGAGTATCAGAAAATCCTTGAGGGTTATCTAATCCGGTGATGCAAACATTCATCAAGAAACTGAGGGTGACGAGGATGCGCGTGCATTTCAGACAAGCTTAAACAGTTTGTTAACGTGGTCGGGGGAATGTCTTACGCCTATCAGCCCGAGTAAGTGCGTACTTATTGACCCATAATGACGTGTGAATGTCACTGGGGGATGATTTGAAAACCATAGCTCGCTATCTATTTGTCTCAGCTCGAAGCTTTAAGGTACTTTATGCTTCATGTGGGGCTTCTGCTTAGATAAGCAGTATTCACCACTATCTAAACTTAGATTTAAGCCAGAAGGCTGTGTACAAGTAGCAGGTACTTGCCTGTAAGGTAACACGGGCATTCGGAGATTTCTAAGCCTGATCCATCCTATGGCCCACGGGATGGATAGCCGGACCCACAAGGAACGATTTCACCGGCTGAACTCCGTACCCGTGTTGTATTGTAGACAGAAGGAGCAGCTAGTCATTCAAATCAGGCTTCTTAAGGAATGACTTTTGACATTATCTATCTTTTTCTCGCATTCCTATCATGTCGCAACATCTCACAGGACACCTATAGGGAGTGATAAAGAAAAAAACGAATATTCTCTCCTTTGAGTACTAGACTTCAGCAGAATAGTCAACCGGTCCTTTTGACAAATTTAAACAGTGTAATGAGAAGAAGAAGATCATCTGAAGCATGTGATGTATTAGCGCTATGCGTTTCGAACAACCTGATCACACATGGACTTGTTGAACCATTGATATGAAAATTTACGAAAAGGGTCAGTGAACATACTAGGAAACATGGGGTAAAAAGAGGCAGAGAAAAGGCAAAATCTTTATCAGGTTACTTTTGGTAATTAAATTAACATCAATACTGCCAGGTTGGGTTCAACGTGAGTACAGATTTTTTGTCGTACGCATAAATTTATTGAAGCTCTTGCCGTCGGTAAATTCGAATTCCCTTTACGTACACGAAAACAGCTTTTACTCAAGTTGAACCCACCCTGGCAGTACTGATGTAAATTTTCATGCCAACAGTAGAATGATTATGGTTTCGTTTTCTATCTATTCTTCCTATTTCTATGTTGCCTATTAACTTCATTGACCCTTTCCTTCAGTTTTAACACAAACGGTTCTACAAGTCCATGTGTGACCAGACTGTTTGAAGTGTACAGCGCTAATATATAACATGTTTCAGATCGTTTTAGTCTCCTCATTACTCTGTTTGGAGTAACCAACCCCTGAAACCTACTCTCAGAGAAAATTGGAGAATTTCCTTAACTATGATGATGCATAAGGCCTCATATAAATATTAAAAAATCATGTACAAACCGATAATTTTTATAAACCTCGTTATTTTTTACATGGAATCCAAACAGTATGGCTTCAGGCAACGTTTCTCAATTTCAGCGTTCTTCGTTTGTCGCGACAAGTTGTACGTTGGGGATTAGCGCCGTTTTGAAATCTTTTGTTTTTGAATTGGCATTTTTACCACATATGTCTCCCAAAGAAAAGTGGAAGCGGAAGTTTCCGGAGTTGGGATACACCTCAACTCCACGTCGTAGTGAATACTGTTTGGCTACAAATTCAACAGATTTTACACAAGACACGGGTTATGGCACTAGCTCTTCGATTGTTCAGAGCCCTAGTGGTGCTGTAGATATAGGCGTATTTCCTGACAGTTTTGATGAAGATAGATGTTCTAGCGTTAGACAATCGTAAGACGTTGCACAATTTAAAATTTATTTTACAGCCTACGGGGTAAACAACGTGTCGATATATTGTTGGCGCTCATGTCATTTGAGAAATCTGGATATATACTTGAGAAAATACTTCGATATCTCGAATTTAATGATTATCTCGCTGTACTGTGTGTATCCAAAGCTTGGAACTCTTTAAGTTGGCGTTTTCCTCAAATATTTAGTTTGAATAAGAAGCATGCACAAGCAGAGGTAAGCTGCATACTTTCTGATGAACTTGGTTTAGGGAAATCACGTTAAACAGTTCGCGAGACGTGAATTCTCTCGTAAACCACTGAGTATGGTCAACTTGCATGGATCTTTCATGTCTACTGATAGGCCGTATGATTTCAGTACTAAGGTAATGGATGCTGCTATTTTTTACTGATTCGTATGGTAACTTGTATCTGGTCCAACCATTTATTAGATGACGGATGTGTAGGTTTTTCGCAGATATATCACTTGAAATAGCAGCGTTATTACTTTCAAGTATATCTATACAGTAATAAACTTCAGAAACTGATATAACAGCGATCATATTTTACGTAGTTACTCTGTGCGACAACGCGGACATATATTCATGAAGAATTCGTGCATTGTGGAACAGATTAATGTAATATAAGTAAACGTTTGGTGAAAAGTTCACATCGTGTAAGCTCTTCATTACATATTTACTTGTATTAACGGAGACGCATTATTTTAATTCTTTCATAGCAGCATAGTAAAGAATAATCTTTTGAACCGTCCAGGGTCCGAAAACTTGGAAGTGGATGCATCTTGCATAGTATTACTTTAATGTTAAAACCTCATCTCGTGAAAACTCATGTGTAGTTAAGTAATCTAATTTTCGAATCCGAACTATTGTCTTACTTTTTAATCAGTAAAACCAAAGATACAAAGACGTTAGAGAAATAACACAGGAAGTATCTTTGGGCCTTACTAGTGCTCATCTAAAAAAATATTGTAAACGTAGGTAACTAAGCAAACCTGTAAAGAAAACTGAAGCAAAAAGGTCAGTGGTGAGTGGGACTATGGCAGAGAGAGGTGGGTGTGGGATTCACTCGTACGAGAGATGACTAGAACGATGGGGGGAACACTTCCAGAAACAATTCGACCGGTCTTCAGCTACTATTCCGTTGCCCCTTATACAGTTGTGGCATCAGTTCATGAAGTTTCCTGGTCTAAACCGTGCAGGGAATTGTGAGTTGCCTGGTTGTGGCCCTCGATGGCGTAGAAATATATGGTTGGAAAATCCTAATATGGCTAAAGGTTGGTTACAGTGGCGCATCATTTCCAAAAACTTCTCTCTCCCACTTTCTTGTGCCTACCTGTTTATCTCTTCTTTTTCCTACCCGCTTGTTCTTCGCATGCTGCTATGAAGTGTTACAACTTCAACCGATTCACCTCTGTGCGAGGTTTGCACATTGATTTTGTCTGTCTGTATTTGCCATCCAATCGGATTCTGTATGGAGCATTGAGATAGTGCCTTCAACACTATCATCAGACGAGACTGACTGATTGAGAAAACCAGCGTAGAATCTTGCACAGAAGTCCATCGGCTCAAGTTGCTACACTTCACAGTACACAACAGGCAGATAGAAAAAGTGATATCAAAGTAGTGTGAGGGAATAAACTATCTAAAGATAAAGTTTAGTGTGAATACTCAAGCTTTAGAGAAGATGTCAAGAAGTGAATACATCTGCACCATTGTGACACCAAGTGTCCTTTCGTCTCGGCAGCCCCAACCAGGCATCCTACATCTCCCCACATGTCTCTTACCAATAGTCAGGGACTGTCAGCCGGTGCCATCTCTTGGTCTGGCCACCGTGAACCCTTCTATATCCTTATCCAACTTACCTTAGCACGTCGAGGTAGGTGGTGACTTGGTATGCGCAGTATATGTCGGAGCCATCTCAGTCAACTATAGTTCACAACCTCGTCAATCGGCAACCTGAGTTGCTACGCTATAGTATTGTTTAGTTGTATGTTGATACCTTCTGTGTGACTACATATATTAAGAAACTTTAACGTACTGACGAGAAAGAAACCGATCTACCAGTCATGATTGGACTATAGAGAAAGGATGACAATACACTTTTCTGAATGAGCTAGACATTGTTGAGTCTGTCGTCGTATTTATTTTCTCTCAAGCGTGTGTATAAAAAATAATTTTTAATCAAAGTATTTTGTTCATATGTCATCATTCTGTAAGCCGTAAGTCTTCTACGTCTTCGAAGCGTCATATGAAGGAATAAACTTCGTATCATGTTCATAGATGCACTTACGCTTTAGACGAATTTATATATATTAAGTTGCGGCTGATTGGTTTAGGTAGTTGACTTTCAATCAGTTGTGGTTTGGAACAACACTGCTCCACCTACTGAAGTGTAGGACTGATGTAGACTGCCTGGTTGGAGTCTCTGAGACGACACAGATCAGTGGTTAAGTACTCTTAGTGACATTGATAGAAATCGATCACAGTAGTCCAGGTGTATTCACTCCTTAACATCTTATAAAGCTTGAGGATTCACACTAACCATCTTCAGATTGTTTATTCTCTCACACAACTTTGCCTAGTTTCATATCAGTCATTGTATCCACTTGTTCTTTGTATACTACTACGAAGTATGGCAGCTGGAGGTGTTACACTTGTGTGCGACGTTCTACGTTGATTTTGTCGGTCAACCAGGTTACCCTCGCACGAAAGGTATGGCTGACAAGTTTACTGAATACATTTTGATTTCCACTTTAATTCTTGCATACATCTATCGATATGATTGTCAAAGGTTTCAATCATTATGGCAATGCATATATTAGTTCACAAACTCTTGAGAAGTTTCTGAACACTGAAGTTTATCGTAAGTTTATACTCAGAACCTTAGTCTTTGGGAAACGGTCTTATGTAGATTTTGTTTGTGAAAAGTGACATCGAGGAAGTTAAGAAAGTGTCAATATTCAACTTAGTTTTTCTAAAAGTTTAGAATCACCATCTATTTTGGAGTAGTCTATTCTTGTTCCTGTCCACCCCAAGCGAAATATTAAGCCGCATCATCCTAGAGAGACTAAAAAATGCACTGGATTCAAAATTACGACCAGAACAGGCTGGCTTCAGGAAAAACAATTCATGTGCGGATCAAATTGCAACGCTACTTATTATCCTAGAACAAAGCATAGAACGCCAGTCAACTCTCTACCTCAACTTCATCGACTTTGAAAAAAAAGCCGATCGAGGCGTCGATCGAGAAGTAATTTGGCAGCTGCTTTAACACTACAGAGTGCCACAAACCTTGATCAACCTCATTCAACAGCTATATGCTATATGATGCTACATACCAAGTGATTCACAATAGAAAGCTCAGTGATGCCTTTAAAGTGAAGACAGGTTGACAGGTAAGATCAGGTTGCCGCCTACCATCACCGATGATCTTCCTGATTGTGGTCGACTGAACCGGACTGGACTGGATCATGCAAGAAAGTATAAGGAGGGAGAATAGGGGCATACGCTGGCTGTTTGACCTATGAAAGACCGTAAAAGATTTGGGTTTCGCCGATGATGATTTATGTCTAATGACTTATGTGGCACAAGCTCGAAGATGTACGGGTGAAAAGTAACCATTTGGCGGGAGAGGCAGGGCAGCCAAGGAAGACGGGACTTCCTTCAGGTGAACGTAGAGAAGGCAAAGGTGATGAAGATACCCAACCACCACCAACAATAACAGCAAGCACCAATCACCATGAACGGTAGGAATCTGAAGGGAGTTGCCTCTTCCGCCTACCTACCTACCTACCTACCTACCTACCTACCTACCTACCTACCTACCTACCTACCTACCTACCTACCTACCTACCTACCTACCTACCTACCTACCTACCTACCTACCTACCTACCTACCTACCTACCTACCTACCTACCTACCTACCTACCTACCTACCTACCTACCTAGGCAGCATCGTTTCAGTTACTGGCGGAGGCGCAGGCACAGATGACGATGTCAAAGCCAGTCAGGATCGGAAAGGCAGCAAGAAACGTCACCCTTCATCGATCTGAAATCAGTGTTGAGATCTACTGGATTGCACTGGACTCAGCACAAGACATGAAGAAAATTCGGATTTTCAACATTAATGTCAGTCAAGTAATTCAGTGCTTCTATGTGATGGTTGAGAAACTTGGTGTGTTACGAAAAGCATTTCCAACAAACTAAAGATATACATCAATAGCTGCCACCTACGCTCACTGGATGCTGAAGATGGAGACCAGGTGGCCAGAATAATAAGAATAAGCAAGGAGGAACTCTGACCTGACAACGAACCAACGAAACAGGAACTTATCATCCAACAAATATGCAGGAGAAGAAATTGGATATGGGTTGGATTGGACATACACTGAGATCATTTGTGGAAATCACGCACCAGGCTAGGCCAGTCCAGGTCGTTGAGTGGAAGCGAAATGGGAAAGGACGAGTTGAGCTTTGGAGGGTGACATGTAGGAGATGGTGTGTGAAGAAGAAATGAAAGCTTGTTGGCAGTGGTGTAGCCAGGTTGAGAAGACTGTAGAGAAGAGAGTGAAATGTTGACTTGCAACTGAAGTCGTATGTTCCACTAGGAACCTAGGGGACAAATAATAGATGATAGTAATATTCTTGTTATCGTGGTCATATCAGCTTCTTATGTTTGTTTTTTTAAAAATATTATACATTTATTCGGCAAGGAGTTTCTACACGCGTGTCCTATATGCTCTGGGGTTGCATTCTATCGACCCAGTGAATGGCCGAATCGTTTACACTGTCAAGCTTCAGGTTGTGGTGTTTCAGTTTGTTATGATTGTCAAAGAGAACACTCACCTAGTGAAAAATGTCACATAAAATCAAGCTCATCATCGAAAAGGTATGCTTTGAAATACATTTTATCATTGATTGTGTTCAGAATGCCAGTTTTTGGTTGGATATTCTTATATGATGAGAATTGAACTTTTATGTATGGTATGGTTTTAAAATCCTTCTGCTGTAACAGCATTACTCATAGACAATAGACTTTTCAACTTCCTCAAGACACATAAGAACCTTAATATAATTCTGAAAAGCATTTTTTTTGTTTGGTTATATATACGTCCACATCAATTGGTTTGACGTTCCATCGTGTCAAATTGTCTTGTCAGTTTTAACGGTAATTTGTTAGATTCCAAACCTTTTAAAGATTTCATTCACATTTATATTTTCATGTTGACTATCTGAGATAGTAGCTGTAGTTTGACAGACTAGTGTTCATACTGAGTGATGATTGAAAGTGAAATGAAAATTTACAGCGCGGCCGGATTGGAACCAGCCACTTACCGGGTTTTCGGCTCGATGCTCTACCAACTGAGCTACTTGATCCAACTGCTGACCAGATTTTTATTTCACTTCAATCATCATGGGTCTTTCCTGATCAATACCATGTGAATTCGTGACGCGTTACTACCGCTTGATCGTATTCATACTGGCTGCCTAGTTAGGACTTCTCACCCAATCCAGATCTAAGTGAATTAGCCAAACCACGGCTATATCAAATCGTCAATAGATAATCAATATGATGCTCCCCGTCTCTTGGATTTGAATGAGAATTGCTGGCTAGCCAGCTAATGTGAATACGATCAAGCAGTAGTAACGCGTCACGAAATCACATGGTAGTCAGGCAATATGTGTACTTATCAAAGGGTGTTCGTATGCTACTAAGACCCCATTCATCTCTAAGCGTATAAAGTTTTAGTATCTAATCTCTATACTGACTTAACTCCTTCAACAACAAACGCGTATCTAGCTTCAGCAGGTTTTCTTAGTTTACTTATTCACCTCATATGTAGACGTCATATTCTACCTTGATGCTGATTGATGATCTCTAACAGATGAAATCAACGTAAAACCTTGCAAACATGTGCATCGATTCAGTTTTGCACACATCACAGTAGTATACAAAGAATAGGTGGATAAAAGAGGAGTGATATGAAAGTAGACAAAGTTGTGTAAGCGAATAAACAATCTGAAGATAACGGTTAGTGCAAAGATTCAGAGTGAATAGATCTGCGCTATTTTAACCGATTTTTAGCCGTCAGCCACTGATTTCTATCGTCTCAGAGGCCTTATTTGGACAGTTTACATCTCTTCATACGACTCAAACCAACAGTCAGGGACTTCGTTGACTGTTGCCACATCTTGGTCTGGCCACCCTCAACCCTCTTCCAACCTAACCCAACTTCAGTAGATTTCATTTGGATAGAGGGGATCGGCATAGCAGCATAGTCTCAACTACAGGCGGCATAGGCACATATGACGATGTCAAAGCCAGTCAGGATCGGAAAGGCAGCAAGAAACGTCACCCTTCATCGATCTGAAATCAGTGTTGAGATCTACTGGATTGCACTGGACTCAGCACAAGACATGAAGAAAATTCGGATTTTCAACATTAATGTCAGTCAAGTAATTCAGTGCTTCTATGTGATGGTTGAGAAACTTGGTGTGTTACGAAAAGCATTTCCAACAAACTAAAGATATACATCAATAGCTGCCACCTACGCTCACTGGATGCTGAAGATGGAGACCAGGTGGCCAGAATAATAAGAATAAGCAAGGAGGAACTCTGACCTGACAACGAACCAACGAAACAGGAACTTATCATCCAACAAATATGCAGGAGAAGAAATTGGATATGGGTTGGATTGGACATACACTGAGATCATTTGTGGAAATCACGCACCAGGCTAGGCCAGTCCAGGTCGTTGAGTGGAAGCGAAATGGGAAAGGACGAGTTGAGCTTTGGAGGGTGACATGTAGGAGATGGTGTGTGAAGAAGAAATGAAAGCTTGTTGGCAGTGGTGTAGCCAGGTTGAGAAGACTGTAGAGAAGAGAGTGAAATGTTGACTTGCAACTGAAGTCGTATGTTCCACTAGGAACCTAGGGGACAAATAATAATAATAATCTAGGAGACAATCTGAACTTGCGATGCACAGCAGGTGGAATCAATGTACCTGAAACACTGACTTGCATCAATTCAACTCGTTTATGTCAATTACTGATCAACAGGAAATCGGTGAGGTGAAATTATATCCTTGTGGGTTAGTTAGTATTAATGAAGTTCACAAGTTTCGCACCCCTTAGTTGCAGACTTAAAAGGGACCCGCCATCTACTGCGACATCACTCCACATTCTAGAAGACAAATATATACCCCAAATGCTGCAAAGAGGATGCAGTCAGAGTTCGTAAAGCAAACGAGTTTTTCAAATCATATTTGTGATGTCTCTGAATAATGGGACCGTTTGTTTGAACTTCGGTGATGCAATCTGTCTTCATGTGAAATGTGAAAGTTAAATGGGTGCAGCCTCCTTAAATAAGGATGTATGTCACCTGTTTTGGCGACAATTATTCTAGTGATTTGTTGCCTTCTCTTCATTCTAGTTGAAATAATTTGACGACCGCATGGCTAATGAAAACTGCTGAAGATCCTATATTGACTGGCATACTTCTGGTAAAAATAGAAAACAGCACCTTACAAGATCAAATTATCAAGGGGAAGTTTTACTGCCAGTTTATAGATGATATCTTTTCACTCTTTAATCATTGGTTTTCCACAGATTCTACTCCGAACAAATGCTTCAACGACTTACTTCCTTCAGTGTATTCAACTTATCAAAATAAAATCAATGATTCCAAACATTTTCTTGACCCCTCAATGACAAGAAGTACATATAGGGAAATGATGATTGAAGTAAAGAGTTCACACTTCTTCAATTTCTTGTCGATCAAGTACAAATGTAATATAATCAGATACTTAGCATTCAGAGTAACATCGATTTGTTCCAGGGAGTGTGCGGTTAAAGAACTACTACCTATTCCTGATATTCGAAGTGACAATAGATATCCTGAAGCATATATCGCTTTTTGCATCAATTGCAAACATTGACTTACATTTCCAGTTTGAAAATATATTCGTCTGATAACTGGTTTTGTTTTACGCTGACACTTCGTTAATACTCACAGTTGTATGACCACTATTTACCTCCTGAATAACGGAAAGACTACCATTAATCGAAACTACCGTTTTCACGTGGATGTAGATGTAAGTGTGTTAGTTATCTTCAGCAGAATCACCGGTTGTGTGATAGACATGCAGCATGTTACTTGTGTTGATATCATTTGTTAATCATGTGGTAGGCTTAAAACTGACAGTTTACTTAGTGCCATGGCTAACAATAGAAAGTGAAGTGGTTGAGTGTGTCGACCACTTCACTTACCTGGGAAGTAGGATCAGACCTGCCCTGGTGGCTCAGTGGACGACGAAATTTCTGCACGAATAAAAAAGGCTTGACTGGTTTTCTCCATATTACGCCGCGATATCCGATTTTCTGTTAAGGGTCGTGTGTACTGCACAATAGTCCAGTCTGTTCTACTGCATGGCTGTGAAACATGGCCACTGAAAGTGGAAGATATGAGAAGACTTCAAGTGTTCGACCATCACCGCCTTCGTAGTATACGCCGTATTCCGTGGTGTCACCACGTGAGTAACGCAGAAGTCAAAGTAGAGTTTTAGGGAGGGAGAAGAGGTAAGTCAGTTGACGAAGTTATGAACCTTCATCGATTGAGATGGTTGGGACACGTACTACGTATGCCTAGTCACCGATTGCCTTGTCACACAATGTTGGCTGAGGTGGGTCCAGGCTGGAAAATGGCCCGAAGTGGCCAGACTAAAACATGGCACCAATGTATGAAGTCTCTGACTGTTGGTTTGAGCCATGTAGGGTGGAAACGATGCAGACTGAGTGGTTGGGGTCGGTGGGACAAGAGGAACCAGTGGTTGGAGACTGAGTCTAGATGATATGGCTGAGAACCGATGTCAGTGGCACAGATGTATTCCCACACACATTATCCTCATCTTAACGACGCTATACCGAATCTCATTCTTCGTTTCTCTCTTTTCGTAGTTTACATTTATTCTGACCGCATTCTATTATCTCCATCTTGTGCCTCATTGCCTTTTAACTTGATGTGGTGATATGAAGTGTGGAGGCAAATTGGACCGTTACGCAGTAATGCCTGGTCCTAGGTTGATCTAAATGGATGGAATTTGTTGAGCAGTTGAAACTGAGTTCGATCATTTTTCAACAGACATATTACACAATTCAACTTTCCGACTTGATTTCAAATCATCTTACAGGTAACACACTTCGAATTAGTGGAAAGTTAGTAAAATAACATGTGGATATAAACCTCCATATGGAGCATATCAGCAGTCAAAAAGTGACTAATCATCGAATATATATTAGAATCTCAAATTCCAAGTGCCATACATTCATGATGTAATCTAATCAGTTACCAAGGCAGCTTAGACAAAGCTTGACTGTATAGTTATTGAGGGATAACTTTGAAGGCCACACTAATAACTTTCGATTCACTCTAGCTATTTTGAAGTAAGACATGCTATTTGATGGATGTTAAATAAAACAAATGAATCGGATCTGATAGTGTGACGAGTAATGTAAAATTATGCATTTCACGCCTTTCCACATGAATAACACTCTCACTTTACAAGTAATTCCACGATGATTATCATCTATGGTAGTATGACGGTCACGAATATTCTACTCATAAAGGTCAATGTGATGTGAGGGGGTGGTGGCTTGCCGTGGCGTAACGTGATGATCGAGTGATTTGTGTTCACAAAAATGTTGAATTGATTATGGTTGTTTGTATTAGATCATTTATGACATTACGCACAAGTGAATCTGAGGGATGACTAGAGAGACTGAAAAACCACTGGTCGTATCTTGTACGTCGACTGAGATTGTTCAATGAGTGAAGTAATTGGGTTCTTTGTGTACCCGAAGAATGAGACAGGAAATAATCCATACGATATCAACTTCATATGATCATCAAGATCAACATAAGACCAGGCATTATTGCGCTACAGTCCAAGTTGCCATACGTCATCTCATATCAGCTCATCAAGTAACAAGGCAATGAAATGGAAGATGAAGAAGGAAAGAGAACTTGGTCAAAGGAAGTAGAAGTAGAAAGTAGTAAAACAGAAGAAAGAACAATGAAAAGATGATGACATTGAGTATGGCAATTCAGATGAGGAAAATGTGTGTATGCATCTTCACCACTGACATCGGTTCTGAGCGATATCATCCAAAGTCTCCAACCACTGGTTTCTCTTGTCCTATGGACTGCCGCCGGCTAGTCTGCATCGCTCTACATGGTTCACACCAACAGTCAACGACTTCATGCATTGGTGCCATGTTTTAATCTGACCACTCCAAGCCTGTTTCCAGCCTGAATCGTTGATTGGACCGAATTGATCGGTATCATATAAAAACAATTAAACTAAAAACTAAACCCGCTGCACAAGAAGTGGCTATCGTGGCTCGGTAGTTTAGTGGTTAACACTCTGGCGTTTGAAGCGATTGCTTCCGAGTCCGAATCCCCATGGGGACAACATCACTCACTGGGAAGCAGATACATTCAGCTGACGAGTCCCAGATAGGACGAAATGCACATCCTGGATTCCACTGCTAGCCACGATCCATCATTAACTGAATCTATTTTGGTCAACATTGTGTGACGAGGCAGACAGTGTCTAGGCAGGCATAAGTAACGTATATCCCAGCCATTTCAGTCGATTTTCGTCATTACTTTATCCCTTTTCCCACCCTTCCTACAACCTCCTACCAGTCTTGATTACTTTCTTTTTCATCTTTCTTCTACATTGATGTCCTGATGCTGAATGTGGCGACATGGGTGGACAGATATGCAATAGTGTCATGCCCTCTGTTGATATCGATTGACCAACTAATGCATCTAACCAATTATGTACAGTTGATCAAAGATAAAAACTAAAGTCTGCTATTGACAATCATTAGTCTCTGGGATTTTTAAGCTTGTAGTAATGAGAATTGTCATTGTTGAGATGATATGTTAGGAAACATGAAAAAACTAGATTTTGTTGTTGCTGTTATTATTGAAGGATATGCTTGAATGGTACATTTTTTAATTGTTGTCTTAGATTATCTCCAATTAAAGTACCGACATCACCTGCTCGAAGTCCTCGATCTCGTGATCGAATTACAAAGACTATTCTTCGTCGTCTATGAATCATTTGTTTGTCATCTATATCCTACCACTGTTCTTTCATCAAATGTACATATTCTTCTTCGTTTCAGCTTGTTAACTCGTGTAGTTTTTACCATAATATACTCTTGTTTCATCTATTTCCCTGCCTATAATAAAAATCATTTTACTGTAGGGAATGTGTTTATTTTAGTCCATCCGAAAGGATATTCGTTTCACTTTTATGACCATTTAATTGGTAACATTATTATTATTATTATTATTATTACATAACTTGCTCGGTTCGGAAGCTGTTGATTGACCCGTCTCATCCATGTTGTTGTGTGACTGTTGTTATACGTTACAAAGGTATTTTTTGTGTTCCGAACCAGTCAGTTGTGTAAATTATAGTGCATTGTAGTGAAGTAATTTAGTTATATATATAGATGAATGAGGTAGTGTGAGATGAGATATACAAACAAATATGCACGATATTTCGTGTTGTTGTATACGGTGTTGCAAGAGAGAGAGAGAGAGAAGTAAGGGTAGGATTATGTAACTCATTATTTGAGTGAATTGAGTATCCGAGACTGGGCAACTACAATGGACATCAATCATGTTCAAATTCAGTGTTTATACTGAATAAGCCAAATTATATGGATAAGTGAATTGCAACTAGACAAAGTTATCAAAATTTGGCAACAGGATTACTTCAGGAATGTAACAAAAACCATCTCATTTCATGCAGCTTAGTGGCTGAATAAAAGTGCGTTCTTTCCACATAACCTAACTGTCTAGCATTCGATTCTGTATGACATCAGTTGACATTTAGATGATTTCATTGGTAATTGAGTGAAGCATGGGAACTTAGTTTGGTTGTAATTCCATCTTAATCTGTTTATTAGAGTTGTTACACAGTTGAACGGTATTCTTTGCTGGATAAGCTTACAGAGATAATTTATTGTCCACACTCATATTACGTAACTGCACAACATTGTGACTTGCTTAGTGTGGTTCTAATCCTGTCCACTTCTTTATGATAAGTGTAGTAGAATATAGCACAAATCTGCAATAGATGCAGACTGATTTCTATTACTGAATGTATTTGGTGTTGATTTGATCAACTAAGATTGGGTTACCAATCTCCCTCTCTCTCTCTCTCTCTATATGACACCCTATCGTGCGATAGTATGCAATTCCACGCTTACCAGTAGACCAGCTTTTCTCTAAATAAAACCTTATCTTAATGTTAATATAGATAAGTTTTTCCTATGTCATTCTAATTGAACCTGGTTGATTAGTTTGATCTGCGTATTTGACCTTGTAATCACTGGAAAAGACATTCAAAAACACAATTCTAAGAAGTAAACAATATTGTTTCCAATTAGCTGTCATCATGTTTTATGCTAATATATATATATATATAAAATTCCTTATATGTAAAATATTAAACCAAACATGATGAATTATTTAGCTTGTGGTAAGTAGGTCATGAAGCATGCAAATACTAGTGGTCACTGGTTCGAATCCAGCCATGGTCCAAATTTTCATCGCATCTTCAATCATCACCTAGTATAAATGATAATTATCTCAATGATTTTTGTTTTTTGATAAGGCTATTAGAAGTCTACTTTGTCCATGAACACAACACCTGATCAGGCTTAAGAATTATCACATCAGGATTCTTCTGTAAGTTTTTCAGGGACTTGAAGTGTTGCGTAGTTAAAATGCATCTCTGTTTCGGACCTGGGTTATGGCATTGATGAGCGATATCAACTAGTTTAGCCTTCAACCAACTCTGGTTATCCGAAGAGGTAGGAACAGAAAAATTAAATCCAAGGGAAAGAGATTCTTTCTCACATACCGAAAATTCAACTGAAGACAAGTTCGTCACATATTTATCTGGATTTCCTGGAAATGACTGTATGTGAAGGTCATTGATACACGATTTCAATCACTTTTCTTTAGCTTCCACCTTTGGTTTAATCATAACTGAACTACAAAAATTGATTAATTTGATATGATAAACTAGAGAAATGTCAGACAGCACAGAAGAGGCAGATACATGAAGTTCAATTAGTCGGCATAACTTCTCACTGCAACTATCAATATGAAAGTTCGTAAGATAAATAAGATTTGAGACATTAGGATGTAATTTTGAACATCGTATATGATTAGATCTACATGATTTATAAAATTCCGGTTTCACTTTTTCATATGCTGTTTTATACTTGAGGTTGAACAGTTCATCTAATCGTTTAACAGACAAATTTTGATAAGTGCAGGTGACAGACATCCATCGTCATCTATAGCAAAACATATCATTGAAATCAATCATAGGGTTAATACGAAAACAGCCTTTAAGATATTATACACGAGCGCGCATATTGAAGTATACCGAAGCGTTAGCCATTCGTAAACTTAAACGCCCCCTGTGCGTACATAAACAATTTGTTGTTTCACTTAATTTACCTTGGTAATCCTTGGCAATCTGGTTATATTACCAAGACTAGTGTATCACAATCTTTTCATATTCAATATATTTCACCTTTAATTTTCATGTATAAATTGACTTGACAAGTAAATGTGTGAGGGATCAGATTGTTCGAAATGTATTACGCAAATACATAACACATTTTGAGGGAGTTGTGGAGATTTGGAAATATTTCAATCTATTATTCATCGAAGACTGACATCAGTTGGAGGAACAAAGGTGGCGGTTTGCGCTATATCGTGAGCTAACAGAAGTTGGAAATATGGAGCATTGGATTCTGACCCAGTGGCTCAGTGGTAACGCACTGGCCGCGGAACCTGAAGGTCGCGGGTTCGATCCCTACTGATGGGGTCGTGGGTGCGCACTGCTGAGGAGTCCCATACTAGGACGAAACGGCTGTCCAGTGCTCCCAGGTTTCCTTTGTTCCTCCAAATGATGTCAGTCTTCGATGAATAACAACTTGACATAACACATTGCTTAGATAATAATCTACGTCTTCTAATAGCGTTATCAAAATTTATTAAAGGGACTAATTGTTTCAAATATCTTAATGGTGATAAGAATAATGGGAACAGCACGGTACTGCAAGCATTTAGACAAACAATGTAGATCAAGACTTAGAAAAGTAAAAGTTACATAATACTGAAGGATGAAATATGTAGATAATCAAATTCTGTTTATTAGAAATGTCACTATTAAGGTTCATGAACCAGGTTATCCCATTAAATCGATAGTTGAGTTCAGAAATACTCCAACATTATGAACTAACAAAGTATTTAGCATCAATATTGTCTCCTGTTAGAAACTGTTTAAATTCCAGACTAGTAAACTCTTACGAGTTAAAACTAAGGCTTAATGACCTACATATATAATAGAGAATGAAAAAATGATTAGCTTCAATGTAATACATCTTTATACTAAAGTACCAATCAATATAGGACTAGAGGGAGTCAGAAATCAACTAAATGTTGACTCAGAACTAAGATATCGATTGATCAAGTCATATTAGGCGTACAGCTATGCTTGACCTCCACAGTCTTCAAGTTTCAAGACAATGTATAATATAGACATACAGAAGGAGTAACAGTGGGATCACCAATATTCCCAATCGTAGCAGATATATTTATGAATAATTGGGAAAACATGACTTTACAAAAGTTATAGTCCTACACCTAAGATATGATGGCGATATATCGGAATATATCGACAATTTCCTTACACAAACTCAGTAGTAGGTGCAGTGCAACTCACTTATGAAGTAGAATATAAACAAGGAGAATTACCTGTGTTGGATTGCACGATAAGCAGAAGGACAGACGGTGAATTGGATACTAGTGCCTACAGGGAACCAACACATTCTAACAGGCAGTTGGACTTCAAGTCATTTCATCTAATGTCAGTTAACGCGGGTTTAGTTAAATGGTGGAAAAAAATTGGCTAGTCAATGCAAGGATCTAAACAAGGAATTGAAGCACATAAAAGAAGCGTCAATAATTAACAACTATCCTCTACACTTTATTAAGAAATTCGTACGAACACATAAGTACGAATAATAAGGAAAGCACAAGTAGAAATGAGTTCACTGTGTTACTCTATGACAAAAGGCACATCAGAAACTTTATTTGGCATCCCTAAGAAAGCTGGAATTAGGGTGGCATTTAAACGTACAAACTCACTCTGAGATAAGCTTTGTCAGCTGGGTTAAGGATCCGATAGAATCAATTAAGTAATCTAATCTATCAAATTCACTGTAGTGATTACCACGTCAAGTATTATTATTATTTCTCCTTTAGGTTCCTAGTGGGACATACGACCTCAGTATCACGTATCCATTTCACTCTTCTCTCCAGTCTTTCCAACCTGGCTTCATGGCTGCCAAGAAGCTTTCATTTCTTCCTTACACACCATCTCCTACATGTCACCCATGCACCCCCAATTCAACCTTTCCATTTGGATTCCACTTGACGGCCCGGCGCATGATGTCCCCGGTCGGCCTTCCGACTGTATGCCCAATCTAGCTCCACTTCCTTCTGCATATTTGTTGCTTGATAGGTTCTTGGTTGGTTGGTTCCTAGCGTCCCTTGTTGCTTATTCTTTCTGGCCATTTGATCTTCAGTATGGAGTGAGCGTAGGTAGCAGTTGTTGACAAATGAATGTCTGTAGTTTGTTGAAAACGCTTTTTGTAACGCACCAAGTTTCTGAATCATATAGAAGCACTAACTTAGTGTTGAAAATCCGGATGTTGTTCACGCTTTATGCTGAGTGCAGAAGATCTCCACACTGGTTTCAGGTTAATGAACGCCTGTCTTGCTTTTCCGATTCTGACTTTGACATCTTCATCTGTGCCACCTGTAGTTGAAACACTGCTGCCTAGATAGGTGAAGGAGGTTACTTCCTTTAAGTTTCTCACGTTGGTGGTGATTAGAGTTGTTGGTTGGATATCTTCATCACCTCTGTCTTCTCTATATTCACCTGAAGTCCCGTCTTCGCTGCCTCTTCTGTCAACTTGTTAGTTTTCGCCTGTAGATCTTCAAGTTTATGTGACATCAG